GATCCAAACTCATCGGCCCACAAGTCGAATGATTGGGAATGGAGCGGTCCAACACCGGTGACGGCCACGGCGGCGGGGAGGTGGGATGAGTGCGTTAGGATCTCGACGCTGTCGGGGTCGAGCTGCTCATCGGTGATGGCTTCGGAAGAAGCATTGAGAACAGGCGGAATATGATTCTCCGTCTGGATGTGGGAAGGTATCGCGGGCGAGTGGGGTATGGCGACACTGTCCTGGACATCTCGCTCAAAGATTTGAGAGCCCGCAGGTGACGAGAGGCGAGGCGAACTCGAGAGTCCGCGCGTGGGCGACGTGGGGTACGTAACGAAGGGCGCCTCGTTTTGTGAAGGGGATGTCGTGGATCGCGATCTTGTTACGGTCGACAGTTTGGAGGCGTCGCGGGACCGGGGGCTCCCTGGGGCCATGTTGGTGTTGGTGTTATTGTGATTGGCGGGAGAGGAGGTGGCAGCGGTGATGGTCGCGGCCGTGGGCTTAGGAGGCGATTGTATCTCGGGTGGTGTGTCGGTCTTTTTCTTCTTACCCAGGCTGAACAGTGATCGCTTCTTGGAAGTTTTCTCGTCGGATTTGGATGCAGACGCGGGGTCCGCCGGGATAACCTTGGCGGGCTCGCCCAACCTGAGCGTCGTGGTGGCCGGGGTGTCTTGAAGCGGCAAGCGGGGTGCGCTTGTGATCGATGGAGACTCGGTAAGGCTCATGGCGACGGGAATTTTTCGACACGAATCGGTGGCTCTTAATGTGGGGGACTTTGCGAAGGGTGTCGGAGGGCGAAACGGAAAAGAAGGACGAGGGCAAAACCGGGGACGAGGACGGGTCGAGTTCGGGCGTTTATCTAAGACAGATGAGTCGCTCGTTGAGGAAGCCTACTCGAAGATTCTCTGAGCTGATACGTCGGTCAGTCAAAAACACCGTCTTGTCGCTCGGAGATTAATACAAGCGCAAGCGGTGCGTGCAATGGCAGTGCATTTTTTTCTTCTTCCTTCGCCTCCCCCCCTTTTAGAACCGAGGGTTTCGGGAGCACTGCTTATGGAATAGGACACGAAAAGGGAAGATCAATGCAGCAGGATCGGAGGGGGAGAAGGGAGGGGAGGGGTGATGTTGAACAGGCGATCAATCAAAATTGCTGCAGGGTTTGGCTGAGCGTGTGACCTCATGATACAGAGTTTGAAGGCGCTCGATTCGCCATTTGTTGGCCAACGCCGCCGTCGCCGCCGTCCCCTCATAGGCCGTAAAAGGGGGCCGCCAGAAAATAACAGAAAATACAACAAAACCAGAAGAAAAGAAAAAAAAAAGAAAATGAGAAAGAAAGGAAAGGAAGAAATGCATGGTTGACGAGGTTAACTAGGGCTATGATTTCAGAAGAATTGTGTTTCTGTCCTCCATTCATGAACAATGTACACGTACCTCGAATAGACCGGCACTTTGACAGATCGTGTTTTGCGCAACGGTTGGACGAAGGGTAGGGTTTCGAGTAGATCCCTCTGGGTGGCTGAGGTCGTCCACGAGAAGTTGCAGGAGACAGACAGGAGAGGATGGGGCGGGATAGAAGAGGGAGCCTGGAAGAGGGAGAGGAGAAGAAAGAAAAAACCCCCAAAAAGGTGGGAAAAGGTCGGGCGATCCGAAGGGGCAAGTGATATTCGGATAACCCTGGAACGAAGGACGGGGTTCCAAAGTTTGGATTCCTCGAGACGAGAGTCAAAGTGTGGGTGGCCAAAAAAAGAGAAGGGAAAAAAAAAAAAAAAAAAAAAAAATCCAAAACCAAAAAGCGCCAAGTTGACTGGCTGCCCTGAATGCAGAGTGGTGATGAGTGATGAGCGTGCGCTTTCCAAGTTGGGTGGAAAGGGGATAGTCTAAATCGGGGCAGGTGGACTGGACTTGGACGTGTTGGACTTGGACTCGGATCTGGGCCTGGACTTGTTGGATTTGGGACCGAGATGCATGCGACTTGGAAAGAGCTGGTTGCTGTCGATGTCGACGTCCAAACAAGTTGGAAGCAGCGATGACGGGTTTGGATGGTCGGTTGATTTTCGATGACGTGATGTATTTTCTGCTGCACAGGTACAACTGTACGCTGAAAAGGAACTTCGTTCACTGGTCGAACTGGTCAAACTGGTCGAAACAAAATGCTACGAGATCAAGAAACGTCTTCAGATGATGATGGCGAAGGATTTTGTCACCGGAAATGGGAGAAGAGTGTTATCAGTAAATCAGAGTAATGGGAAAAGGAGGCATGAATGGGGTTAAGGCCGAAAAGAAAATAATAATAAAAATGAAAAAAAGAGAAGCAGCCGAAACCGATGAAGGATCAATTTGATGTTGTCCAAACAATGCGAATAGGAACGGAGCATTGGAGTAGCGCAAACTGTGAACGAAGTCACTTCGGGTTGACCGGTCGCGGTACGGTACTTGCCAGTGACAGTGCTTCGGGATTAGGACTCAACGAGGACAATTGATAGGACAGCCCGCACAGAGGACACGGTACAGAGGTAAGGCGAGAATAATTGAAGCGTATAACAATGATCACTATCACTAGGAGAGATGCCGGAGCACAACATTGAACGATCAAATGTGATTGGAATTGATCATTCTCTGGATCTATATCACACCGAACATTAAGTATTAAGCCCTGGGAATTGATCATTGATGGAACATTGATCGAGTCGGGGACTTTTGATGTGAAAATATCCATTGCCAATAATAGGAATCGAATATTTGAGACAATGGAGCGAGTGATGTTCATAAAAGTATTAGACTCATCAATCACAACGTCTCTCAAGGCAGTCGAGAAAAGACTGACCGCGAGGCACAAGAGCATTGACAGCATCACTCAGCTCTGCCTGCACTTTTGCTCTCATCCAAACTCCTTGACACTCTCCACACTATTGCTTCGTATTGATACTGAAGTCGTCCCAATTGCTCGGACGGACGCGTACTCATCCTCAACAGGCCCGGCCCCGCTCAATCCGAACATTGAATTGGGCGTACGAAGTGGTCCTCGCGATTTTTCTCTCTTTTTCCTTTTTTTAACCTTCGCCATGGAAACCATTGATTATCGCAATTACACATAGACACACAGACGACGGAAGCAGTCTATGAAATAAATACCTTCGTACATAGCAGAACATCAGGATTGGGTAGGCATCATACACACATCTGGATCAGATAGATTGCGAAGAGCGGGGAAGGGAACCAAGAACATCCTTTCACTGAACTGAAGTTTCCAGTGCCATGTCCGACGCCAGCCAGCTCCGCGTATTTCCTTTCTGTTTCGGGTGCAATCCGGCTTTAGTAAGTCTCCGTTGCCCCGTTCTCCCATCTCGACTTGCTCGACTTACCCCAAATTGCCCGGCTTGAAACACAGTCTCGGTCTCACGCGCAGCCTATTAAACAATACCAAGATAGTGGGCCCTCGACGAGAGAGCTGTTGCTGATGTCGATATCCGCTAAAGACGACAGGATTGAGACTACCAAGTACACCATTCTAAACATCTGCCTAAGATTCTGACAAGAACGTGATCTAACAACCACCCTCAGTTCTTGAAATCAGGTCTGTGAACACAGCACTGGTGCATATCAAATCTGTTATGTACTCCATTTTCTAGTCCTCGACGAATAATGGATCATCTGAACTCGGAAGCGTCAATACCAGAGCTATCGACGTCCGATTTCGTGATGACACAACCACGCCAACACCGCAATTATTTTGGATGCATGATTGCGTTTCTATTCAGGGACAGACACACGTAGCCCATAAACCCCCCTATCCAACTACCTCCGCACCCTTACGAACATTATACCAAAATGCCCTCCTTTCAGACACAGACTGGTAGTTAATCCCACGTACACACATACGTACATCAAGTGCATAAGCTCAATAGCACCCATAGCCCCCTTCGCCACCCGATTTCCTGGTGCCTGAATCGCGAATAGGGGGCTCCTTAATCATGCCAACGCGCTTTTCGGCAGTCTCCTTGCCATTTTGGTGACGATTTCTCCACTTTCTACTTGGAAAGGGACTCGGGTTCTCCCTTTGTATCCAGTGGCATGAAAAAAGAGTCGTCAGCTTACAGAGCCACTGAGTAACTTTCAACAACTTGGCATCAAGAGGATGGGGACCTGCAAGTTGTTATTGACTTACGTGTAAGTTAGAAAAATCTCAAGCCATCCACGCACCACTCCACCCCTCATATCCTTGTACAGCGCCTCAAATTTAGCCCTCGCCCACGGCTTATACGGCTCCTCATCGGACGTCCAGGGGGGCCCTTCGAAAGGGGCCACACCTCAGAGGCTTCATCGACCAACTTATCCCAAACCCAGACTCAATCACTCCCATTTCCAGAGAACGATCGGCTAGCCTTCACCGCTGGCGTGCCCGCTCAGACGTTCACTCAGGCGTTGTTGTCTCCAATCTGTTTGAGCCCCTCGCTGAAAGTGCAAGCCGTGGACGCTACCGCGCCGCGCCGCGGTAAAAAAAAAAATGTGGTGTAACCCCAGGTGAAAGACGGGAGCCATTCTCGCTGAGCACGTCAAGCGGCCAGGTAAGGGAAGGTAAGGCTTTTTCCTTGACCGCAAGAAGGGATCTGGAGGTGCTTGGCTCAAAAACGCGAGGGCTCTGGAGAATTCCGCTTGGAACGCCAGGTCGTGGGAAGGCGATGGATGCGAGTGGTATGAGCCTATTTTGAATCCCGGGCTTTGCTTGCTACTCGAATCACACCTGATAATCCTCTACATCAAAATATTGCATCTCCCTCCCTTCGCTCTGCATCCTCTGCATGTAGCGCAAAGCAGTGCCTGGCCAACGACCATAGTCGCCTCGCACCACTATATTTTAACAGTCACAACCTCGCTTTGCTCGATGTTCTTTTCCCGAAACCCCTTCCCAATCTCCAACCCTTAATCTCAAATCAGCAACTCCATTCACTCGAAGCTCAACCCTCCCCAAAAACACAATTTAGGAGGCGCAGTGTACAACCAGAAAGAGAAAAATGCCGCCGGATCTCGGCCCCAACAATTCAGATCATGGCGATTTCATGTGCTCATCTGACGAGTGCGAAGTCTACACAGAAGCCGAACAACGCGAACGTTATGGCGACGGCTGTTCCTATTACTATCCCGTCTACGTAGGCGAAGTCCTCGATGACGGGCGCTATCGCGTCGAGCACAAACTCGGCTGGGGAGGCTACTCCACCGTTTGGCTGGCCCAGGATATGCACGAAAATAAATCTGTAGCCCTCAAGATCATGGTCCCCGGGGAAGAAGGTGAACGCGAGTGTTATGTGCATAATGAAATCATCCAAAATGTGGTTGATCTTTCGGGTCTCACTATTTGCAAGAGGGCTTTTTACATCGACATCCCGGAAGGTAAGCGCCATATGGTATTGGTGCTTCCTCTACGTGGCCCAAGCCTTTATTACTCTGTAAATTGGGGTATACTCCCACCCGCCTCCCACCGAGTTCCTGCGGCGAAGCAACTGCTCCTAGCTTTGAAGAGACTTCATGATGCGGGAATGATCCACCGGGGTATATATTAACTCAACCCTTCTAAACAACTCATAGCTCTCCCTAGGAAGCCGGCTAACACTGAATATCTTTAATAGACCTGAACCAGGGAGCTGTTCTATTCGACATGCCACCCATTGACAACCTCACGACAGCCCAAAGGTATGAACTATTCGGCCGGCCGCGAAAGATTCTCTTAGATGAAGTGTCCTGGAAACAAGCCGAGCTTGTAGAACCACTCAAGTTTCCAAAAGGCTGCGTTGGGAGCAATGTCTACCTCGGCGACTTTGGCCTTTGCATCAAGGCCGGCACGCCAGTGAAGCGCAGGATGCAAGGGCCCGCTAGGTTCTGCGCTCCAGAGCTATTCCACGGCGCAGACCCAAGCTTCGCCACTGATATGTGGGCTTATATGAATCTCTTCGCTTGCTTTTACCTGGGTACCGATGCTATCTGGGGAGAGGGACTCCTACTGACGACCCGCATCATTGAGACCTTTGGCCCGTTTCCCGCCCATTGGAAAGGCTCGCATTACCTCCAGCATGTGGATAAGTCGGGTTGGTTCAACCCAAACCCGGATATGGATTACTGGTATGACCCGCAGACAAAGACTGTTCCGAAAATGAGTCTTGAGAGTAAAATAGATAGGTTACGCCCTGACATTAGTGAGAATGAACGGTATCATGCCTTGAAAGTTATGTACAGGGGGTTCCAATACCTGCCCGAGAATAGGCTTACGGCGGCTCAGCTCCTCGAAGACGAGTCATTCAAGATTGTCATGGGCTTCTACGGAATCTAGAGGGCTTATTGTAACTGCTGGTCTGGAGAGCTGAGGACATAAACGCTTCAAAGCTCGAGGCTCGAGGCTCAATACGAGTGTTTATTTGATAGAGGACCTCGGAAGTCTGGTCGGCGGATCAAGCTGGTATCTTCTCCCTTACTCGGCACTTACTCTACGGATCTCCGTAATCCTTTCTCGGCGGTGGACCGTTTTCCGGAGTGAGTGGTGTAGTTCTTTACATTCTGGGCACCAAGGTCCTTAGGGATTTAGTTCCCTTTCAATTTAAGTGGCTTGCACGAAGTTCGTAGCCAGATGCGAACATCACCAAGCCAAGACAGCAACAGTTTCTTCTGTCAACCGACCCTTTATAGAGCGGATACACCTACCAAACGAGCACATACGACCATAGCTCGCAGATAATTGAGGGTCCCGTCCGCTCCCCTGAACACAAGCTGCGAAGCGTCAGACTAGTAGTTGGGTCGGTGACGACCAGCGAATCCCTGGTGTTGTATGTTTTTTGCCCTTTCTCTTTCTTTCTTTCTTTTTTACTCGTCACTCTTCTAGTAATTATGTACAGCCTGCTACAGTGTCTAGGGTCCTTACAATGTGTATATTTGGCGACAATGAGGCTCTTATTGAAAAGGGAATGATGCTACCAAGTTAATGTCGTGGGAAGGCCTGAGAGAGAGTTCCAGGTCTGTTGGTGTGGTTTTGTTGATTGGTCTTTAAGCCAGACATGTGTATTCCTTGACCTTTACATGAGATTGATACAGAACGGAACGTGACGAAACGGCTCGTGTCGTGGGTGGGCTAGCCTTGTCATGCCCAAGTCATGCTCTTCCAAATATCCCAAATATCTGTGAAGGGGAAATATCCCTCTTGAACATATACTCAAGAACTCATCCTCCAAAGTAGCACATCATCCCACCCTCAAAAGGAACATTGAAGTCGATGCAACGACTTCTCTCTAGGCCCCCGTTAGGAATCGGCTAGATTCGTCGTAAACGATTCAACCCATAAAGGAAGCTTCTTCAAAAGAGGGGAAACCTAGGTCTGGTGACCTCTTATTGTAACAAGATGCGAGGGGTAAACGATGGGAAGACTATTATTCCAAGTCCATCCTTCCCTGAAGAGAGTGACTCGACACCATAACTGGAACTAATATGAATGCTTTTTCCCCTCTGCGCCGGCGCCTTACCTAGTGTCTGGTAGATGGGCTCCGCCATTATGACAGTCAAATGTGAAGGACAATCCCGCGATGCCTCGTCCAAAATGAGCTGGTCCTTTGAATGAACAGTAGTTGAACTTCGATGTCCATTATGTAAGCCACATCGAGTCTCTTCAGGTGCAAAGGTCTGTGCGACGGTTCAATCTGTTCCAATTGAGTGTCAATTTGAAGGCTTGGCTCTTTTCGAGTGTACCTCGAGGTTTGTACATCCGCTTACATAACCCAGCGTAAATCTCTGTGATGCTTCAATCCCGAACTTCCTCAGCAACTTTTTCAAACCTCACGCGAGCCGACAGCACCTCCACCGACGCCATCACCGCGTAGTCAACCGCCCATCCCTCTGTCCTCCGCCAGAGCTCAATCCCCTCAATTCCGTCCCTTGCCTCTTATCACCACCACCAAGCGACGCATTGAGCTCCTAGCGGAAACACCCAACCCTCAAATCCCCGAAACAGAAAAAAAAAATCTTTCTCTTCTCGTTCGTGTCTTAATAAAAACAACACAACCTTTCTTCTCGCAAAAATGAGCTCAACACTCACAAGACCCCTCCCCAAACTCCTCCGCCCCTCCCCCCTCCAAGGCCTAACAACAACGCGCGCCCACCAAACCACCGCCCGCACAAAACGTGCCCTCCGCATCCGCCCACACGCCTCCCACACTCTCCGCCAACCAGCCACCGCCCCGGCGCCTCACCTCGACGAAATAGTCTTCAACCCGCCATCCTCCCAACCGACGGTCTACCACACGCCCTTCAAGTTCCTGCCCCAATCCGATCCCCGACGAAGCAACAACCTCCAGCTCCTCTTCCACAAGGACGCTGCCGAGGCTGCTTCGAGCGCGAACGGATATCTACCGCCTACCGTTGCGCCCGTCGCCGAGAAGAAATACCACTTGACTAAGGAGCAGGTCGCGGAGATTCGGAAGCTGAGGACGGAGGACCCGGAGACTTGGTCTGTGAAGAAGTTGGCGAAGAAGTTTGATTGCTCGACTACGTTTGTGCAGATCGCTACGAGGTATCAGGTTCCCGAGGCGTATAAGGAGAAGTTGGCCCAGGGCGAGATGAGGATGAAGGCTACTTGGGGTCCGAGGAAGATTAAGGCTAGGGAGGAGAGGAAGGAGAGGAAGAAGATGCTGTTTAGGGGCGAGTTATAATTATGGAACGTCTTTTGGGAGGGGTACCAAGTCACGGCCTTTTTCTCTCTAATTTTTGGGCGGAAGAACAAGGAAGGAAGGGGCTAGGCTGCGTATTCCACGGAAGAAGTATCTTGGTATGAAAGAGAGGAGTTGTACGAGGAATCGGGAAAGTCGAGAGGCCGAGATGAAGAGGCAAACCACGATGGGGAATGGGATTCGGGAATGCTCCAAGCTCTTCTGTACGATTATCGAAAAAACTGCCAACATCACCAAAAGTCCGTTGCACGGTCTCGCTTGTATAGATGGAACAGGAACCGCTGTCGCCATAGAACGGAGGTTTCCTAGGGTTTCCTCCCTTGTATTATTTTTTTGTTCTCTTATATTTATAAAAATACGACTCGTAACTTTTGTTTGCTTTCTTTTTTTTTTTTTTTTTTTTTCCCTTTGTTCTTTTTCTTCATTTTTCTTTTTTTCTCTCTTTTTGTTTTCCCTGATAAGAATACTTGCGAGTGTTGCGGTCGTTTTTAAATCAGCCCACCTCGGTGAGAGAAGAGTCCCTCCTTCAGACCCAAAATCTCGAGAATACCGTCGAGAAGCCTAAGGAGGAGAAATGAAAACGTACCCGCTAATTATGACCAAGCCTCCCATAGTCCGAAGACCTGCAGTCCAGATCCAGGACACCTTGCCGCCGTCCTTTGCATTACCTATTTGCGCCTAATAAAGAAAGAGATGACTAGGAAAAGAGAACAAACCATGTATGAACTGGAGAGTGAAGAATCCCTCCCATCATTGATTCTTCTTCATGTCGTCTTCTCCAGGGAGGACCCTCCAGCACCAACCACACCAACTCCGCACTTTACCCTCAACCTCCCTTTCGAGGATCTGAGAGGCGGACTTCTCGTCATGCCACTCGGGTACGCTCTGGCCAACACGGATCTTGACTACTGTCTTGTTCGTAACACAGCCGCCGGCGCCCTCAAACGGGTGCACATTGTATCCGGAGCGAGGCTCGACGCCGGGACTCTCGCGGTCCGAGTGAGGTGGGGAAGCAGGGGCAGGGGATGAGGATGGAGGTGTAGGGATCTCACCGGCGCTATCCATCTCGACTTCGGTTTCGATGGCCCCGAGGCAGTCGCCTTCACGACCGCAAGTAACGCCACGGTCACCATCCGTTATGCCCATTTCAGTGTACTTGCTGCGCCATTTCCAGATACTAGATGCTTTCATCAATCCCCGAGATCGGAACAGGCAGAAGCTTTTGAGAATGATGGAAGACACATACCGTAGGTAGGTCTGGTCTTTGCCACGAATGGACCTTCCGCATGGCTGGCAGAGCCAGACTCCCAAGGTCTCACACTGGCAAATTCCCTGCTGGATTACATTCGAAGAGATTGGTGTGTCCGGATCTAGCATGGGGTTGATGTGGTCCTTCAGCGGGGCTTCGGTGCAAGTCTGGCAAAGACGGCGATGTCTCTCCTTGAGGGCCTTTGGCTCAGGGGGCTTAATTGCACAATTCTAGGAAATTACAGCAAGGTTAGTCAGAAAAGAGCGTTTTCACGACCCAAAATCATATAATGGATATGTGTCGATGTGATTTGCAAAATAGTTGAGTCTTCAAATAACACAGTCCCCGTTAGCGACATCAGAAAGGCAAGCCTACCCGACAAACCACCCTTGAGCAGCGCCGACATTCGGCCACCATATCCCTGGCACATTGGCCCGCCTTTCCATGGAAATTCCGTAGAGAGGCATCATTCTCGCGCTGGATGTGCCAGATGCCGGCCCTAGCCCGGTACCGGAAAGTATCGCTTGGGTCCACAGGCATCTCGTCCTGATAGCAGCGGAGAGTCGAGGCAAGAAGGGCCTTGCGATATTGAATGAGGCCATCATGGGCGGCGCGGCATGTGCGGGAGAGGCTGTCGAGCGTAACGAGGTCGATGTGCGATGCGACTCCAACGGCGATTCTAGGATACGACAGAGAAGGAAAAGATGTTAGTGATTTGCCCTCTAGGATTGGAGAGAGCTAGTTGTTTTTGGTAGACTGGGGAAATTGGCCCAGAGAACGATTTACGTACGGATAGATGGATAGAGCTGTTCCGAGCAAGTTGGTAGATTTTGTCGAGTCGGGAGCGCTGCTAGGAGCTTCTTTAGGTTCGGTAGGTTCCTCTTGGAAGATGTGCATGTTGCTGTGTTGCACGGCCTTGCGGTGCATGTCGCTTGAGTAGGTATTGCGAATGGGCGTAATGCGCTGCCGGTCTCCAGGAGCCGGCTGCAGGTCGACCAGGACAGCCATGTCGACAGTGGAAATGAAGAACGGGAGAGTGTTTTAAAACTCGAAGGGCAGAGGATTCCGATTCAAACAAGTTCCGATTTGGATTGCGGTTATTCCCCTCTTGATAGCAGAGGGCGCGCTTAACATAAGCTTGTTAGTAGATAGAGGAGATCATGGCGGGGTATGGCGATCCGATACGCAGGAAGGACTAAGAGACAATCTGATAGTCAGAGCCCCGGACAATTTGATTGAAAAGCAAGGACGGTTCGAGCAGAAAACGAAGGTAGAGACGTGTCCTCTGATGCTTCGCGACAGAAAAATGATAGGATTCCGGTGCTAGGGACGAGAGAGGGAGAGAGAGAGGTAGGAGAGGTGAGAGAAGCTGAAACTACGCTATTGTCGAGGCCAATGACGGAGATGCACGGATCTGGGCTTAGCGTATCGTGGAGCACAATTGTAGGTACAAGTTGTCAAAGGTACAGAACAGTTTTGAATGTGGAGACGAACAATTGAAGCTATGTACTCGATGACTTCAAACAAAGGAAGGAGAGCTAGAACTGTCAGGATCAGGTGGTTCCTGCTTTGGGTACGGAGCAGTGAGATGGTGTGGCAAGTGGTGATTCTTCCCTTCCTAATTTTGTTACTGGTGAGCTAAATTTGGATGATTCCTTCCCTCCCTTCGATCCCGCGATTTTATATCTTCTGTTTTTTTTCTTAAACCCCAACAATTCTCCGGTCGGATCTAGTAGATGAGGAACAGCACGGCGAGCGATGGCTGTGTCAATCCACCTAAGACGATATTAGGATGACCAGGTGTTGGGATCGAGGGAGCGCAACGATGATGCGACGAATACCCCGCAGGTCCTGACGTGCTCCTGGACGCGGCGTCTAGAAAGGTCGATGGCGGGGTGTGCCTGGTGCTACAGATTAGAATGGAGGGCAGCTGATGATACTTAACAGAGGACTTCGTACCTGATGTTAAGTTAGTTAGGTTCGACTATCACGGATGTATTTGGTACTTTTTAATCGATTAGGTTCATGACGAAGATTGATGTCGAGGATCCTGAAGGGAGCTTCTCCGTCTTCCGAACACGTAAAGTTCATACCCACACGCATACCAACACGAATATCCACGTATGATGGGAAAGTTAAAGGGACATTTGCGAGATGCGTATCCTGATTGAAGAGGCGCTATTCCCTAAAGGAGCGAGATGTTGAGGCTGACACCTTGGAACCGGAAAGCTATTCAGGGTCTCCTCATGCGCTGACGTCACTGTAAAAACCTCAATTCCAGCATTGCATTGCCACAGCCCTTATTGATAGTTTACAAGTGGATGGCTGTGCTGACCAAGGGGAAAACGACAATGGTTCGTCATGGATGAAAATTTAACAGCATATTTTGGTATTTATGTGGCCAATTTGTAAACTAGTATATCGAGGTCTATTCTTCGCTCCTGTTCTAGACCACTGAATCTGTATCAGATCAGTCGGCTGGCAGTTGCTTCCATTGGTTTCGTTGGGGCTTCACGATGCTGGACATGACGTCTCAGCACTTCTTAATGCCAGCTGTCTCCACCCGGCCACTGTAACTTCCGGATCAAGCGGTTCCCCCTTCATCCCTTGACCAATCAACTTGGTGTTTCATTTCTGAAGTACATTGATCTCGGTGAATTTCATACCGGGATGGCGCCCTTATCCTGACACCTCATCTTCCAAGTTTTAGACCTTGCTCATTACAAATCGTTTATCGTCTCTCATCAACTCTATCGCATATAGAACAAACCGGATCTAGGGCATGAAATCGACATCTGGATAGATTCCCTCGCATCCTCCCTCATCGCCGCCAAGTTGTCATCGGACTCACTTGTACCTTGACTTTGATGTCCGGGTTCCTCATCGGCCTCGTCGGATACATCCCGTGGACCTTTCGGGATCCAGGAATCATTCATAGGCGAGGGTTTGGCTAGGCTGTAAGAGCCGTCTCCTTTCCCAAACTCCGTATAGTAGCACACATCTGTCTCGACACCTTCAAAATGAGGCTCCTCCACTGGAACCTCCCGTGGCCGCGGACCCCTTCGGCCTTTGACTTTGAGCGCGTCATCATCCCCCTTGAAGACGCCCATTTACACAGCTATTCGGCTCGCGTGGGAAATGAAAGCCCCGACCCTATGAAAGACCCGGATGTCGACGAGGGCGGAAAGGACAGCGAGCATGAGGAAACGGGCATGTTGGAGATGAGCGTGTCCGAGTACTCGATTGAGGGGTTGAGAAGGGAAGTGAGGAAGGGTGCTCGCGGAATCCCTTCTGATTATGAGCGTATGTTAACCCGGGGAAGGGCGCCCTCTTGCCGGCCCAAGTTCGAGACTTTCTCGGCTAGCATTCTTGATGTTGACGATATCCTCTTACAGTCCGTTCCAAGGTTGTGAATAAGGCCATTCAGGATATCGGCATGGGGAGTTATAACTGGCAGCTCTTCATTCTTTGCGGCTTCGGCTGGTTTGCAGACAAGTAGGTTCTAACTCGCCCCGTTTGGAATGTACCAGATGGCTAACAACATTTTTTTTTGATCTCTAGTCTTTGGTTACAAGTGAGTAATAGGTTCAAGCCTAATTACCATATTGAAAGGGAATCTCGCTGACCAGGACTTAGGGTATCTCCTTGACCTTACCATCTCTCTCCGCCGAGTTTGGCGTCGCCGAAAAGACCGTCCGCTACACCACCAGCGCAGTCTTTCTTGGTCTCTGCTTCGGCAGCTTCGTCTGGGGCGTCGGCAGCGATGTCCTCGGCCGCCGAATCGCCTTCAACATGACCCTTCTCATAACAAGTGTCTTCGGCATGCTCGCGTCCTACGCGCCTAGCTGGGGTTGGGTCTGCTTCCTCTACGGCGCCCTCGGTTTCGGCGTAGGTGGAAATCTCCCCGTAGACGGCGCGCTATTTCTGGAGTTCCTCCCAGACGCTTCTAGCTCCTTACTCACTTTGCTTTCCGTCTGGTGGCCCATCGGTCAGCTCGTCGCCTCGCTTGTTGCGTGGTTCTTTATTGCGAATTGGCCTGCCGATGAGGGATGGCGTCACTTTGTCTTTGCCATTGGTGTTCTGACCTTCATCATGTTCCTCGTGCGATGCTTCGTCTTCCACCTCTTCGAGTCACCCAAGTACCTCCTCAGTCGCGGTCGATATGCCGAAGCCGTCGCCGTGGTACAGGGTATTGCTTACAAAAACGGTGCCAGGACCTGGTTAACCACCGATGTCCTGGATGCCGTCGTCGACGACGCCGCGCGTGCTGAAACTCGCCCTCCTCGAGTCTCCGCCGCGAATGTCATACTAGAGAAGCTCACTTCCTTCTCAGCAGACCGTCTGCGCCCCCTGTTCAACACTCGAAAGCTCGGCATGGCCACGGCACTGCTGTGGTTCTGCTGGGCCACCATCGGCATGGGCTACCCCCTCTTCAACGCTTTCCTCCCCCAATACCTCTCCCACGGCGGCAGCGGCTCCTCCACCGAATCGACCCTCACTCCCCGAGACGACGGTTCCTCCGCCGCCGCGCCAGAAATTTCCAACGAAACTTACCGCAACTACGCCATAACCTCCATGGCCGGCGTCCCCGGCTCCCTCCTAGCAACCTACCTAGTCGACCACCCCTCCCCTTTCTTCGGCCGCCGCGGCACCCTCGCTCTCTCTACCCTCGCCTCGGCCGTCTTCCTCATCCTCTTCGTCACCCACGGCACCACCCCTTCCTCGCAGCTCTTGTTCTCGGCCATCGAGGCCTTTACTCAGAATATCATGTACGGCGTCCTCTACGCTTTCACCCCCGAGGTGTTCCCGGCCCCCGTTAGAGGCGCGGGCACGGGTGTCGCGAGCTTCTTGAATCGGCTGACAGGGCTGATGGCGCCGATACTCGCGGCGAATGTTCCCGGGGATGGGAGGAGTGAGCCGGTTTTCTTGGCCGGGGGGTTGATTTTTTCGGCGTTTGTGGGGGTTTGTTTGATTCCGGTTGAGACGAGGGGAGCACAGATGTTGTGAGGAGGCGAGTGAGAGGGTTGTTATCTTTTCTCAAGGGTTATCATGTTTGTTGACAGGCGCAACAACAAAAGCATATACACATGGTCTATACACAGGGGCGGTTGTTTTGTATCAGGCACAGGTCGCTTTTATATTCATGTGAACGAGCACAATCTGCGTTACACGCTTGGTATATATCTAGCTCTCTACATTGTACACTCTTTTTTGATAGCAAACCATACACTCGAGTCTCCCGATATGAAGCCATCCAAACCTTTTGCGCCCACCTAATTGCAAGCTTGCAAACATGCCAACAGAGCGAAATCAAAGACAGAACGTAGATGGGAGAGACAAAAACAGAGAAGTAAAAGAAGCAGTCCGGATACAAGTACACCGCTGAATCCAATCACCGATTTCCCTTAGCTCCCGCCGGCGCATCCACCCTCCTCCTCCTAAACGACTGCCCCATAGCATCCTTGACCATCGGATCCGCCCGAATCGTATTCTGCACCAACCACTCCGCAATCTTTCCCCTCACAGTCTTCAGCATCTCCTCATCCCCCTTGAACGGCGACAGCTCCACGTCCAACAACCTCCCCGAGAGCTCATCGACCTCGTTAGCCAGCGCAGTGACGCGGTCGATCTGCGCGTGAACGGCCTTGTCGGAGTCGCCAGGAGTCTTAGAGGGAAACGCGAGGGGCCCGATCTGCGAGAGGGCGATGTAGAAGGTGACGCAGAGTCTGCGGGCCAACGCGACGAGTTGGAACTGTAGCAGGGGCGGGTGGCTGAAGAGCGGGGACTCGAGGACGGGGTTGAGGAGGGAGAGGAGGGTGGAGGATGGTCGGGTGGTGATGTGAAGTTCGAAGGCGGCCATGGCGACGAGGAAGAACCAGCGCCAATAGCGCGCGAAGTCGAGATACCCGAAAAATCCGAGGACGTACTGGACGACGGCGTAGATTACGTAGTGAGGGACCACGCCCATGATCGTGCCCCTAAAGGCATATTCGTACCTTGAGGCGCAATCCTTCCATTCTATGACGGCGGGCCCGAAGCGTTCGTAGGCGAAGCGACTCGCCTCGTTGAGAAGCGTATCAGCAGCGATCTTGAGACGGATGAATTCCGAGCCGTCGGAGGTGGTGCCTTGGGCTGCTTTATCCGGGTGATGCACGGCGGCGAGGCGGCGGAATCGGGATTTGATCTCGCGGTCGGAGGCGGTGGGGGGCAGGCCGAGGTAGGTGTAGAAGTTGCCTTGGCGCCGGAGCTCCCAGGAGGCTTCGTAGATGGTGTAGAGGAGGTAGAGGGAGATGACGAGGATTTGGATGGTGCGGCGGTCGCGGGCGAAGCGGGGGTGGCCGGGTTGGGGTTTGGGGTCGCCGGCGCGGATGGTGAGAGAGTACCAGATGGATTGGGTCCAGCCTGCGACGAGCTGGGGGAGAAGGGTGGGTTAGAGATGTTGTTTTGGGAGAGAACGGGAAGGGGATTCGGGGACTTACTGATGGGAGGAACCACCAACCGATGAGGGAGAGCATCTTTCGTGGTTTGAAAGAGTGGACGGCGACGGATATGGGGGGACGGCGTAGTCTTATTGTAACAACATGGGGATTGAGGGTGATGTGTAAGCGTCGAGGTTAGGATCAAGGCGGATTGTGTCGAGAATTCGAGTTAAAGAATGAGGCAGCCGTGATTGAAGGGTACAATAGTTGGTACTTCTGAGCTTGAGGATGTTTGATGTCAGCCTCGGGCGCTAAATTTAACAAGTGTCAATTACAGGGGTCAATCGATAGGCGGCTCCGCTGGACCCCTGTACAATTGTACTTATTCTCTTGCGGGCGGTTTAATTGTTAAGCCTCTATGATTATCAACAGCATCAATCAGTGCATTCGACCTCGTCCGGTTGATTCGAGAAAGCCCACAGACGGGTTTCTCGTCGCTCCTCACTTCTCAACAATGTCACTTTTAAGTTTACCTCCCGAGATTTTAACACAAATATTTGATCACATCGACTCGTCTTTTTTCCGCGAGAATTTAGCCCATCTCACAGTCTCCAAGCTCTGGTTTGAATTCGCTCGCCCAACGTTCTTGAAGAACATCACACTTTCTGCTGAGAACCTGCGAGTTTTGGTCTCCTCCGGGGCTACGAAGGAGCCATCTCCGCTTCAGGACAGCTTGGAAGCCCTATTCCTAAAGATAAGGGGAGATCAAGTCCGTATCTCACGTTTCTACCAAGAATACCGCTATCGCCAGGGATCCAATGCTTCGAACGCTCCTCCCGCTCCAGACGAGTTTCACGGAGACAATGCGCTCGAGACCTGGCTAAAAGACCTAGACACCAACCTCGCGCAGCTTGCAATCATGGCTCAGAAATCTCGCAGGTTGCGCGTCTTGCGTATACAGGCCTGGGGCTATCCCGCCCCTGCGCCTCTTCCTAGTTATGACGGCTACTATTACCTCTCACTACCCACGATGCGCGCCTTACTCTCAGTGGAGAACCTGAGCGTTCTCGTGCTCGACCTATCCACCAACTTTTTGATTTCATCAAGAGGGCGTGGGGGGGATGCGGGTGGTCATATTTGCACCGCCATCGGGACCCTTCTTGGGACTCTTAGAACCCTTCACGTACGCATGCGCAGCATTTGCCCCGATGTCCTGAAACCCCGAGATCCTAATGGCAGCCTACGCGTGAGTACGGTGGTTGTCAACTTGAGTCTTGATTTGAATTTAGGAGGGATAACTTCGGCGTCTCACTCGAGACAATGCGGTCCTTTGAGTTGGGGATTTCTTCAGCTGAAGGCAGACATGCGGGAACAGGCGGAAGCTCTCGCGGCGCGGATGGCTTCCCCGAAGACCGTGAGGATCCTGACTCATTCATATCCGAACTTTCGGAGGCAGTCGCTGGATGTGTTGACGGGGAAGACCATGATACTAGAAGGCGATGTGGCGTGGGATGAAGATGGTGAGACCGTCGAGGAGTACTCGGGGCGGCCGGAATCCGACTTCTCAGATGATGACTCTTCCTTTTTCGATGATTAATGTTACGACTTAGATCCGACGAGATTGGAGACTGTGGACTTGGCGAAGGGACCGACGCGTGGTATGTAATCAATCAACGCCAAGCGTTCTTGACTCGTTTTCGAGTTCACGGATGTATATGAGTTCTATGAGAGTTCCGCTGTCACGGAAGAGTAGGCGCTTCCTGGTGAGGTCAAGGCGGAGTCGGTTATCAAATCGTCATATAACATACACAACAGAACAGGTAGTGAATATAGCTTACGATCCATTAGATCTGCTGCTTTCTCTTCCTACGGGTGTGTCTTTTGTGACCTGTGTTGTCAATGGCCCTCCTTAATGCGTATCAACTAATGAAGTGCAGGAAAAGGTGGGTGCTGTTCACGATAAGGCCCCTGCAAAACGATGAAGCTCTTGGATATGCTCAGATTATGATTTTTCTTTATCAATGTGCTGGAACTAGCCGCTGATTCTACCATATCAGTGCTCCCAGGCGGTGTGGCAGTCATAACAGCAAGGCGAGCTGTGTTGTCTGCAGTCGAGACAGCCAAGACGCTGTATAAGAACACTGGCCGTGATAACCTCTTTAGCCAGGAGGCAGAATCCATGTGGACATTTTGGAAAGATCAAGTTGTCAAATGCCTTTTAAACATTTGTTCGCATCGAGGACGCGTCTGCTGAAGGCGGCGGCTTCAGGGATGGGGGGGAAGGCCAATCGCGGTGTCAGATTAAAGGCTTACAGGCCGAAGGGCGGGATCGCATATTATGTCGAGCCTTGGTACAGCTGGGAATAGACCAGCCTGATTACAACAGTGACAAGGACAATAGAATGGAAGGGGAGGAGGATAAGGCTTACCAGGATTATAAGGCAAAGAACAACATTGAGTACACATAGACTAGCAACCCAGAAAAGAGGGACACTGATTCCTAGCCGACACCGACAGAACGGATAGGCAGACGAGTACCACTAGCAACTACAGAAACGGCCGCAGACACAACCTACGTTCCTTGAAGGGAGTCGGATCGGATCCGTTTGATGATGGCAGAACCATAGGAAGAGTAACAACAAGGTCCCAGTCCCTTCACGTGAAGTCCTGAGATTTGGCCTTATGTATACACCTGTTGGCCCTTTAAATTTTAAGAGAGGTAATGATAAAAAGCAACAATAATCATAACCAGCAAACTTCTATTAAACCAGACCGGATACCACTGCAGCTGAATGACTCAGAGGGAAAAACAGAAGTTGGCGGGGGGTTTAAGATGAGGAATCAGGGACTGACGGGCTAATCCTGTTAAGCACCACTTGAGCGGCACCCCATCTCAGGTTCCATATCTCATTGTGGTCTGCGCCCCTGACGATTGTGCTACGATACTTAATGGGTCCATCCTCATGCTGCAAATCCCAACATTGATCAAACCACAGCGTACCCTTAGTACCTCCATCTCCAACCATGAAGTCGTTCTCCGCGAAAAAGACGTCGATACTCAATCTCCTTCCGGCGGTGCGTAGAGCCTGCTCTAAACGCGGCACGAGAGTGTCGTAATCTCCCCAGTCGCCCCAAACACCCTCATTCTTTTGCATGAATAGCACTGCATCGTCCGAGATGCCTTTTGTACTCTCGGTGTATATGTGGTTTATGATATCTTGCAAGAGCTCCTCTTCAAATCTGATGCCATCATTGTCTTCTCCATCTCTGACATCGCTTGCAGACTCCGGTCTTGGGGGGGCAAGTTTGTGAATGACGGGTTGGCTAAAACCGACCGAGGCGGCAACGGCAGGACTAATATAATTGTTTATCAGACTCACAAACTTGTCGGTGTGGTCAATTATGCTAGCAGGCAGCAACTGAGCCATTCGCATAGTTGCTGAGCTTGTATGCGAAGGGAGGATCCAGGGTGCACCGATGGCAAGGTACGGTCTCTCTGGATGAAGAATCTCAGGGTAGTTTAGTACGAAGTCGAGAGCGTAGATTGTGCCGCCGCTATGGCTGGCGACAGAGACGTGTTCAATTTCAAGGTGTCTGAGCAGCGCTATGTTCACCTCTGGTCCAAGTCACCACACTATTAGTTCCCAGGGTGTAATACGAAGCATCCGAGGTATTATATCTTGAATGCTAACTTGGGTAGCGTAGGCTAACCTGGGAAAGCTCACCACGCCAAAAGCTCATGCGAATTTTCTGATCAACCACATCAGTACCCCCAATGCCCGGTCTGTCGGGGCTGATAATGCGAATCTTGTGCTTCCTTGCGATATCATCCTTCGCGATGTGGAGCAAGCGCGATCCCATCATTGGCGCAAAGAATAAAAGCACGTTTTCTTGCTCGGGATGAGTCTTGTTTCGATAGCCGAAGTCGGCATATTTGACCTTAAACGGGCTGACGCGACCCTTGGCTGGATCTGCGGGTAGTTCAAAGGTCTGATTAAATCGTGGGTCGTCGATATAGTTAGGCCGAGCTGTCATAGTGCAATACACGTAATAAGACCTGGACTTAAAAACGTCAAGTAGGGTGTTACCTAGCGGAACAGACGAGCAGGTTAAGAAACTCAGATATAATCTATCGAGGTAAAGTTAGGTGATTCGACGACATTTCGTCGATGTAGATATATCTACTTCGTATTCGCGTATAGCGTGCGTGAAAAGATATATTGTCCAGATCAGGGTAAAGGCTGACTAATCCGCCTTCTTGGCAGTGGGCGCCAAAAGCGAATTCCAAGTTAACTGCGCTGGGCATTCCTGTTTCTTTTTATGTGTGATGTTGCGGTCAGGCCGTCTCAGCATTAAGAAATATTAACTTCCTTGACAACTACAAGTACTCCGGGTTTCTTAGAATTGACTCTTTCTGGCAAACAACAAGCTTAAATAATAAGCTCATTCGCGAATACTAAGAACAACCAGGCGGACGCATTCGCACTTGAGGTTGTTTATCCTGGTGAAGGGGCTAGCTAATTGGATACACTGCTGATGGTCGAAGTGGATAAGTTTGGTACCATCTTCCATCTGCTAACTGCGGATGGACAATTTCCCATGAGGTAGCCGGAAGCTTCTGCTTGACACGAAAATGGCGAGAGACTATAAGATTAGAGAGAATGTACGGTCTCAATAAATATATAGTCTTCTTCTTAAAATAGAGTGGTCCTTCCTTAAAGATATGTATGAAGGATAGAATTGAAGAGAAGCAATACACATTCAGGGTTGCCATGGCATCAGACTGTTCCAGAGATCATACATTAGTCCCATTTCAGCGACGCCTTGTATTAGGTGCCGCTTTGAGAGGTTTACCTTACAAGGCCCCGTTTTGGGACTTCCTTACAATTCATTTAAATTGATTAGAGTAACCATTCCGAAACTTTCTCACCTATTTAGATTGAACATTCTCACATTTCCCAGAACCTTGTTTTTAGAAGCCTATAAGTATTATATATCCATAACTACCTCCGATATAACTAGTTCTCGTGTCAGCATACTGAGACGGGGAAAAAGGTGACTGCAGTGTAATTAGTGCAGTTCTCTCATGGGCCGCAAGGGCAGGGCGGAAGAACTTTCTTCCTTTACAAGGATAGGGGCATATTCTTTTCTTTCCTTCCCTTCTTCCAGGAGAAATTCCAGAAGTTCTTCATCATCAAGTTATCAAGTTCAAGTCATGTTCTTCAGCAGTTATTTTAGTCCTTCTTCTAATTGACTTCCTTTCAGTCAGTTATCATAGTTCTCGTCTGGCCCTATTTCCGGACAGTTCTTCTATTGTTTTGTGTGTGGAAGTGTCCTCTATTTGACTCTTCCACCACCTCATGACTTCCCCCTATTTGGAAGCCTTCTTCTTTTCTGATACGGCTCTATTCCCGTTGATCAACCATTCCGACGTTCCATTTCCATTCCTGCAGGCGGAATTGCAGCAGCTTCTTGCAGGAACCATTCTTGACCATTTGACCACTTCCTTCTTCTTTCCTTCTTCTTCTTCTTCTTTTCTCATTTCTTGTGGTGTGCGGGCAGGCTGCACTGCTCCGTCTCAATACTATCTAGGCTGTTTAACTATATTATGATAATTCCCATTATAACCTATAACTTAGAACAGTCTTATAGTTCTTAACTCCTACTTATAACATAAGATAATGCTGCACTCTCTTAGGCAGTTGCTGATCTTTTTGTAAACTTCGTTTCCCTTGTGCTTGTGAACTTTTACTTTAAGCTCCATCAGGTAAGACAAACCCACCTGCACATCGTCAAAAACAGCCCTGTAACCGAAGATATTCAGGCGTTACTTAGGATTCGGGTTCAGCCTACACCCGACAAGAGTCTCCTAAGTGATGTTCCGGCAACGCTTAGCGAACTGAATCTGCTCCTTAGTCCAGAAGCTTCTTTCTCCTGGCTAGGAGTGATTGTATCTGATAAGTGAAGTATGTATCGATTGCCATTCTGGTCCCAGACGTAGAGGAATATTTTCTGTGTGTCTAGTGTATTTGTATTGAAATCTGCCTTGACTATGGGAGCCTCCTTGTGGTGGAAGAATCCCTCTGGGGCGTTTGATGTTTTCAGGTCAAGATGAACCTTAATGGCTGAAAGCTTCTCGCTACGTCTGGTTTTTGTGTGGAATATGAGTCCACCCTAGAAATAGGATGGAGGATTGGTGTTGTAGTATGTGATAGGGGTCTTTTTATATAGCTTACGGGTACCATCTTCGCCGAGCCTCTAGAGTACAGTCTGGGGATCTGCATCGCATATGGCCCACTGCAGGTTGGTTTCGATGTATTTGCCCAACGGGTAGAGCGCAAATAGAGCGAAGGTAATGATTAGATTGCGCTGCATGGCTGTTACCGCTAGGAAGACTTTAAACTCCGAGAATCGAGAGCGAAAACTTCGTAATAAGACTATTAGTATACCGTCCTTAAGAGCTTAGCCCCAAAACACCTAAATCAGCTTAACCAGTCCGCCCAACCTGTTGGATGCACTCGACGCCTGGAGGCGATGAGATGGTTAACTCCAGTCCAGACCAAATGGCCAGGTAGATTGATAGGATGCAGGAAAAGGTCGGTGGCTAGTGCGCCCCCACGTAAATTAGTATGAAGGATGAAAACTCCATGCGAGGAACGCAGGGCAATACACACATGTCCTGGAAATTTGATCTATACGTAATATATCATGTCAGGGTCGAGCAATAGCTGCGATTCCCTTAAGGAGCTAGCGCCAGAGTCTTCGAGCACGCGACCAATTCCTGATTGTGGAGATCCTAATGACCACCATGTGTGAGTCTCAAGCGACATGTATTAGAAGAGAACCTTCCGCTCACTATCCTTCCCTTGAAGGGCTGCTCTCCGTCCTTAAACGGCTTTCTTTTGCAATACTAGTGAATGAGTGCTAAGGGCTTAATGGTCCCTTTTCCTTGGTTTATTCTACGCTTTGACGCTGTCTCATGCGGTGCGTGGCGGCGCTCTAGAACTAGCATTCTAAGAGAATCGAGACGAGAAATTTTGGCCGAGCTGGGTTTTACAGTAATCCGTACGAGGAAGAATTGGAATCATTGCTATCGACAGAAAAAAGAGCAGCGCCTGAATCCTCCGGAAAGCTAGTGTTTGGAGCTTTTGCTATTGCGGAGATACCTTGAATCGTGCCTCTAGGAAAGTACACTAGTATCTCCAAGATATAAAGGGTGGTGAATGTTAAAAATACAACATACCTCGGTATTATTAGTCGGTTGTATCAAAATACATCGATATTACGCCTCAATCTCCAAGGGAATGAATTTTGGACAAAGCATCTTTGTATTATGACCGACACTCACTCGTTGAGAATTGGAAGGGCTCTTGTAGTTGAGGAGTGCTTCCAGGTCGTACGGCAAACCAATCGCTTCGTCAACATCAATTACACACGCCATGGGTGATCCGGGGACAAATCTATATCACATCCCTGTCGGCAGTTCCCAAGAGCCGACACCAGGGGCCATCTTTAATCGCAGGTGGCTGACAGGCCATTAGAGAAACACCTTCCTCCAGCGTGGCATGAGGTGACGGCATGCAGTGTTGAGAGGGAGCCATTCTTCAACTAGGCGGCATCAGTGGCGCCCCAAGCGATGCTGGCGATGCCACCAGCTCTGCAGACAGAATTCTTGACGTCGGCACCGTGGGTAAATTAATAGTACCACTTGGTAAGGCTTGTAGTCTAGTCTCCGGTCCTGGTCGTAGTGCCGTCGTTCGCCATTGTTCCTTCATAAAGTGCGCCAACCAATACGGCACCGGCCACTTGGTAGTTTCAGCTGATGTCCATGAGGCGGGACGAGAACCAGGTCATCGGCGATACATTAGTTTGCTGTATCGACTCTCGGAGTACAGAGCACTGATGGGGCATTTATTTACACGGGTTTGACGCCTAGGGCTGAAAGACACCCCTCTTTTGCGGCTGAACCTGGGAGTCCGATCAGAGAGGCCAAGGAGATGTGAGGTGTAACGGCATCACTGGATGAAATCACACAGAGCTGATCAGGTGACATAGAAAATGGCGCAAACATCGGGATGCCGTCCCCGGTGCCGTAGCCAGAGCCTCGGAAATACTGCAACTAGTTGTGACGACCCAGGGCGGCTCATGGTTGCAAAGCACAGTCAGTCGATACGGGATTGTGTGAATCAGTACGGAGTAGCCGTGCCTTTTGCTTACTTCGAGCACGGGTGGCGTCGAGTCGAGTTCGCCACTTCCGCATTCACCTCATTAGAGCCGCTGTAGTAAGAGAGTTAACAATGAAGCTAGAATAAGACCCGGTAGTTAAATAGGGTACTGTGCTTCATCAGTGACGTGATGCATCACTCTTCAAACACTGGGGACAGGTAATATATTCCGCTGGTATATACTTCGAACTGAGTATGGTGTGTTCCGTTGGTACAGAGTATTCTAGACTAGATCAGTCCAGATGCTCCATCTGACTCCTACCAAGTCAGAATGGCAGCAATCGCAAGCCATACAAGCACAGACTTGCACGACAAACTGGTTGCGTCGCTCTCATCTTCTCCTCCCTTGCCACCACCCCCATTGCTACTACCTCCTTTGTCGCTATCGATATCGTCAACCTCAGGATCGTAGACCTCGCCCTGCTCCTGTGCCCGGAGGCAGCTCAACTTTGCAAAGCCAGGCTCAACCTCAGCCGTAGGGTCCTCGTTGAACCGCCCGAAGAGCGTTAGAATCGGGCGGTAGCTGTGCGTGACGGTCCGCCACCTCTGCTTCTCCTCCCTCGGTCCGTCCCTGCCATCCAGTGACCATCCATCGCTAAAGGTGGTCGACCCGTTGAGGTACTGGATCGGGACGCCCCATCCTACCACTCTGTTAGTATCTCAGCCGCGCAAGAGCATCACGGGTTCGGTGCTTGACTGACTGTCGCGCAGAACTGACAAGCTCTGCATATATCCGCTCCCGCACGCAGAGGGCACCTCGATGCCGAGGCAGCGGTGGCGGACGCCCCACGAGGGGCCCTCATCCGGCCTTATTTCGTAGGCCAGGCGAGCCGCCTTCTCGAGGCCGGTGATGCAGGCATCGTTGACCCAGGGCGCGCAAGAGCCATCGGGCGTCGCCGACTTGTTGTCGGGGTTGTTGCTGATAGAGGCATTGCCAGAGGCCGGCAAGTACCAGATCCAAGCGCAGAAGAGCCAGTCGGGATGGGCGTCGACAACTGGACGGCCGCCGTCAGAAGCGTTGGCGCTGGGCACATAGAGCGACCCCGGCGCGACGATTCGGACGTCCTCGCCGATGACTCGGCGCTTGCCCTCGGCCTCGAGGTCCGCCGGCAGGCGTGAGAGGTCGACGCCGGTTAATTTGATAGTCCAGCCGTCGAGCGACGCACCGGGCCACGGCTCAGACACGTTGAAGCCCGGAAGCGAGACGGTCCCGGTGGCATTGGAGCGCGCGACGGCATCCTGCCAGGCCGGCGTGTGCACCGAGATGTTCAGCACCGCCGAGGTCTCGCCATAGCCGCCGACTTCGAGAGCGGCAGAGATGCCGCTGAGTAGAGCGAAAGTGAGCGCTTTAGAAGCCATCGTGAGTAAGCCGGGCTGGAACCGGAGGGTTTAGCAGTCGAGGGCTGGTTTGGGGCCTCATGGTTGATCATGGGCTTGTTTATAGAGGACAAGGATCCATCGTTAGGTCATGTGATGGAGTAGTTCGTCGCCCATTCCTTCACGACTCAGCCTCAGCTCGATGGAGTTGCCAAGAGAGATCGCCGGCGAATAAAGAGCACACGTGATACTTAAAAAAAATTTGTCTCCTGGTCCATTACGTCGAAGAGAAAGACGGGCTCATTCGCCGGCACATAGTCGAGGCCTTGTCAGTCATAAAGTTCTCCGCATCCTCGCCCGTTAAGCTGCCGCCGAATACGGTCCCGCTTTGGACGGATCGATGGCACAGCTTTCCCGCCATTTGTTGGACTCCATGGACGTTTGTCCTCCGGTACATCCTAGCCATCACCGCCTCGTGGTGCCCGCCGGATTTATTCGATTTTCAAGACCCCCAAATCGTGCTGGCCCTCCTCGATCTAGTCTTGCTGATGCTGCATCTCGGGGCGGACGTCAAAACGGAGTTTATCCTGCGCTATGACGCGAGCATTCTCCTCACCAAGCTTCTGAGTTCTATTCACTTTAACGCCCAGCTCTACGCAAGTGGCTACGAACTTTACCGCGAGGAAATTTTGAGAAAGTGTGACGACGTTCAGGGCTGTCTTACATTGGGGCAGCCACGGGAGGAGGTGCACGAATCTCCGGGACAAGTTCGTCAGCCGTCAGAAGTACCCGACTTGATTGTCCCTTACCGTCAACCGTTCGCTCCTCAGTCGGAGGAGGTGTCGACATGGTTGTGGGTCAAATCTTGGATGCCGTGGATAGGATCGGGCTAGGATTATGGTGCTAGTAGAGGGTTCGCTGAAAGGTGACAAGCTAGGCATTTATACAACAAAGGCATGTCCACGATACTGGAGTCAACATAGTGTATTGCCCATCACTATCCTTCAAGTAAGTTCAGACCCTCCCGCCCACCGCTTAACATACTTCTACAACCAGAGACAGGGCGAAAACAGAGATATAATGACCATGCATCCACATGACCCGGATTGGCTGACGGCAAGCTGGGTGATGAAGACGGCTCTGACACAAATCATCATCGAGGATAGAATCCGAGGCCCATTTCCCCTGTGCCATCTCGACCTGCATTTTGGCAATATGCTTTTCGACGACGAGTACAATCTAACGGGAGTTGTTGATTGGAGCAGTGCTCAGGCTGCCCCTCTCGAGCAGCTGTCAGCCTGCCCGGAAGTAGTCATTTTCCCAGGGTTATCAGATGAAGAGAACCGACCTATTGTCGAACTGAAAAGGCTTGTCGTGGAGTCCCTAAGGGAAATGGAGGGAGCTCACGTAAAGAAGCCGGCCTTGGATAAACCGGAGGTAAACCTGACCCAGAATGCGAGCCTTACGCCCCTTTCCACTTATTTGGCTACTAAGAGTGCGGAGATTACCTATCGCCAGTACATGGTTTCGCTAAGAGGGAGTCTTTGGGCCGGCAGGATAGTCGCAAAGCTGCTCTACGGAGAGAGTATTAGCTGGGATCAGTTGAAGGAGGTATACGGCGCGATGCCCCTTTCCTAAGCGATTTTCTATATCTGCAATTATAATCCAGAAATTAATTCGCAAGGCGTTTGTGGCACTGTCTGGGGATGTAGTTCCAGCCTTTACATTAACGATGTTACGGCGGAATCGTCGCCTTGAAAGTGGCAGGGACTCAACTAATTAGGTTTTGGCCGTGCTCTGGCCACATACTGCAGATCCCTGGACGTAATGTATTATTTTTACAAAACTGCTCTCCAAGCAGCAGCTATGGGATGCCATAATGCCACCATCCAACTGCTTCTCGAGAAGGGTGCTTGGTGTTACTGCTATCAGCGGTTCGGAGTCTACGGAACTGCACTCAATGTGTTTATGTTTTAATGTAAGTACTGCATGATTACGAGTCATGGATGAGAAGGAACGGGCCAATATTGCCGTTGTCCTCCGAACCCGGCAAGTCTGCGTTGAGGAGGTCTAGCACTAGCATTCATCGACAACTGCCTACGAACTGTCGGGTCCCTCTGAGGTCAACTGTCCCATAGGGCTTTGTAGACATACTCAGTAGTAGGCAATGGGCTAGCTAGGCTAAAGGCAAAGTAGCAGCCTCTGAGATAACGCTCAGCAGCGGGCCGAAGGAGCTCTTTCGAGAACGGACGGATAGCCCGTTTTGGGGTTGCTAGACCAGCTGCCCCAGTTGGATCTGAACACAGAGAGAGTCCATGGCGGGCATGCTGGTGTTGGGAAGAAGAGAGAGGTGGAACAGAGGGGCTAACTCGAGGGTATGGCTGACTTTATAGTCTAGCAAGGTCTCAGGAGCAGCTAGATTTATTACTCTTTGTTCCCTTCTAGATGTATCGAAATGGGGAGGAGGAGCAACTGACATGGTTATCACGGGATAGAATCAAGGATGAATGGGTAGAACGAGTAGCAACGGGTTATATTATGTTATAATAGTTTAATCTTCAGTACTTTTTCTGTATCTATAGAGATATCTGTAGCCACTTATTTTGGTCTAGCAAATTTAAATATTTCTATTTTCACTTTTTTATCTTCTTAATCTTACATATTTGAAACCCTTGTCCATTTCATATGTATTTACGTCTTCTAAGTGACAAGATTTCGAGGGTCGCTTTCTTGGCTGGAGAAGGATAGCAATCACCTTAGAAGGATCAGTGGCAACTAGCAACTAGCCATCCAGACCCCATCCCCCTCCTCCTCCTCTCTCTCTCTCTCTTTCTCTCTCTCTTTTCGTTTTTCTCTCTTTTCCGTAGTTAAAACCAATCATCACCATCATCACCGCACTGCGGCCTCCAGCATTACAGCTCAGAGCCATCAAGGCGTATAATAGATATTGTAGATAATTACCAATTTCCGCCATCCGGAAAATGCCCAGCAGCTGACCACTTGGCGATGCTTTGGGTCCCACAACTAACATCTTCCCTTCTATGTGGTCACTATTATGTTCCATACCCACAGTTGAAGGAATAAAAAGCAGCGGTAGATAGGCGCCAGGCACTTTCAATAGCCCGCCTAACCGGCTGGAGACATCTCTTGGAATGTGATCGTTGGAACCTTGGTATGGGGAACGAAGTGGTGGTTACACTCGGTGGCGGTCTCCTACCGCCTAAAGCAGGCTCTCGTCCGTGATCTGCTATTGCGTTCGCGGGCACCCGGTCCCTCGCTTTGTCTAATGCCCACCATTATGTAGTCACATTGGAGTATCGTCAGCGCCACGGTGGAGAATTAGCGAATAATATTGGCCTTCAGCTACCAAGTGCATCTTCAAAAATGAGCAGAGGAACTACAAATCTAACACTTTAGTTTAGCACTGGGGATACATGAGAGGGCCTGGCCAGCAGTGTGCACTACACTCAACGAGTTTCCAATTTGGGTAAATGGGCAGAGCAGCCCGGTATGCTGCTTGTTATTTCAGTATAAACACCTCACCCCGACCCTTCGCGAGATCCCCTCCTACACTTGCTTCCGTGCCCGGCCGTTTGTCCCAGTTGCCCATGCCAGTGTAGAACCGACGCCCTTGAAAAGTGCCGTAGCTGCCGCTATGACCACGGATAGTAACATAGAAGGCGGTGGCTTTCCGCCAGAGTCAATAGCCACGTCTTGCTTGCTAGTGAGATGAGCTGAATCCGCATCAGCGTGTGTCACCAACGGCGCCTCCAGAGCCACTGGGACTTCTGGAGTCGGCTCCTCGCTCATTTCAGGAAAAACGTCTTGGAAAAGCATCTTGGTTGGCTCGAGAGATTCTTGTCGGTAGACCTCCCATTTCATGCCATAATCTAAACTAGGCACTTGTTTCTGACTCCAGCCCGGCTTAACTCTTTCACGGGCCTTGATTTGAGGGGGCTTGTAGACAAAGTTGAGGATACAAAAGCTTGGTTTCTTTCGATCACAGCGGAGCATTCGCCGACGGTAGGTTCAAGGAGCGAGTAGTTTTGCTTCCGATCCATGTCGATGGAGACCTTGGACATGTCGCCTTCAAACATTGGCGGTACAGCGGTATGCATGTCGCCTTTAAATCGAGCAGATGGGGGAAGAGTAACGACCTTGGTCGTTTCTATGGTGCCGTCTTCCACTTCCCGAGATAGGGAGATCTCGGTGCCACATGTAGTTGCGGATACCACTGTAACTCGATCCTGCGCGGTTGCTTTCTTCAACGACAGCCGCGGGTCTTTCCGAGATAAGGAGATCTCAGTGCTACATGTAGTTGCGGGTACCGCCGTAACTTGCTCTTGTGCGGTTTCTTTCTTCAACAACAGCCGCGGGTCTTTCCTAGACAACACCCGCCGCTCTTCCTCTGCCGGGGTCTGACCATCCGTCTCGGAAAGTTGTACCGCTTCAGAGTCTCCTATCTCGTCATCGACAAACCTGGGACTGGGAAGTGCAGCTGGGAAGTACAGGTCACGAATCAAGTCCTCCTCCTCCTCCGGGCAGGGGATTACGATTGGGCTTGCACCAACAGGAAAATCCCGCTGTATGACTAGGAAAGAACCGCAAGTTGAGAAGGATATCGATTTGGCAAGCTGGCAGCGGGAGATGTAAGACTGTGCTTTTTTCGGGCGAGTTAGCTGCGTTCAAAGCGTGACTGGTTGGTTGTCAGACTCGTAAAATCGGCAACGTACTCTTTTTGAAGTGAAACATGAATGCCGATTTTTCCGTTTTCAGTGGCTCCAAAACGGAGTGACTATGAAATACAAGCAAAGCTCTTGTCGGGTGAGATGCTAGGTGGGCGATGTTTTTGAGACGGTCAGAGATAGCCAGCGTTCTTATTCTCCGTACGTTCAACTGATCTTTCAAAGTACTGCTGCACTCGAAAATGGTGAGGTTGGTGCGGCCCTGGCATGATTCGTGGAGGGCCAGAAATTCGTTAGACGGTGAAAAGTGGAAGTTGTAAACGGATGGCGAAGACGAAGAGAGATCACCTTTGGCCGTCCATGTGAAATCCTGGTGTCTTGCTTCGACTGGGCTGAGGCGCTCAACAAGCAACTTGGATTCCGACGGAATATGCCCTTCGTGTACCACATATAACGTGCGCAAAATTCAAAATGCAGTCGCGTCGGCGCTGATAGCAAGTGGGAAATCGAGGCCATCAGTAATCGGATAGTCCAAGTAGTTGACAAGCGCCGTGAAAACCTCCTCGGACCGAGACTTTGACGCTCTCAGGCGAGAAGAAGAATTTACTGGGTACAAAATACGTCATCTCATCCCATACTATCTCTGGGCTTGTGTTCAGTTGCGAATGCCACATCTCGACCATATTTTCTATATCGAGCGCAAAATCGAGCAGCTGTTGGGGCATGCTATCGAGCACCCACTTGTGCTGTTTCGGACAGGCTCGAGAGATGTACTTAACCCACTGACGGAGTACCTGAGTTTGGGGGTGGCCGTAGCGGGTATTCTTTCGCTGGTACTTAGCTGTATAAAACGCTTCAAGCCAGGCTGATAGCACACGAGGCTGCCGGAGAAAGGTTGTGAACGTCTTTGCGAGGTCGGCCACAACTGATCCAGTGCTGAAAATTAGTTCGTCTCCGAACTCGAGACAACGCTCAAGATGGCCAAGCCAACGCACAGATGCGTAGAGCGTAAAGCAGTGGTGTTTGTTCATGTATTCTTCGGAAACACGTTTGTTAAACGCTCCTGAGAGGGGCTGGGCGGGGCAGTGGTATAGCAATTGCTTAAGACAACAGAGGGCCATATCCAAGTTTGCTGTTGCAGGATGTGGTATGAGGAGCTGAAAATCCGATGGTGATGGTGATGGCGATGGCGATCGTCTAATATCGTGTCCTCGGGATGAAGAGTTAGCGCGTCGTTGACCCGCGAGAGGAAACCGGCTGTCTGGCCCCAATGTATCAGACAAAATGTTGGGTTGATCCGAGAGGGAAACACAGTATGTGCTGGCTGCGATCGACTCGCGTTCGATAAGTTCTTGGACAGACAAGTGGATGAATCGGAGTGTCAGTTCGCCTTGTGGAGACTCCGGATTTGGTTGTGCGGTGTATGATTCCACCAGCCCGGCACAGGCCAAGACCACGCACTCTTCAAATTCACCCACGTCCTCATCGGGCCTCAGCGCCGATGCCGACTGTTCGTAGATTGATATGGTCTGGCGAAGTTGACGGACCGTGAAGGGAACCCTGCTAAAGGTAAGCCAAACTAAAGTTCGTGTCGCCAGGTCCGCGGCGATCTTGCCTGACGCGCATATTATCGCCACTATGCGTTCGTACATCGCCTCGAGGCCTTCTGGGAAATGGATCTGATTGATCATGTCAAACCTCTTGTCCTTTGTGATGTATCGTGAGCGCAGACAGCGAACCATCAGCCGTGCTCAGAGAAACATCCCATCGGCGCCGATGCACAACTTGTCCGCAAAGGGTTCCGTATCGCCAAGGCAACTCTCCGGGAGCAGCTCTTCCTCAAACATGTCCTGGATCTGGTTGAGGCAGAACTGATGGATGTCGCGGCTCACCTTATTCTTGGCGGCAACAAAGATGTGGTTGGCACGCACGGAACTCTTCAGCGCTGCCACGTTGATGCGACTTAAAAGCATCATACGAAGACTGGGGACGTTGTGCGACAGGCCGACTAGGGATTCAATCAAGAAATCGTTGTCGCTACATTCGTCGATCCCATCAAGTACGAGGATCGCGTCCTCGGGCAAGCACAGACGCAGAATGTCGAGCAAGATCAAATCTGATGCGGTTAGTTGCCCTGTCTCGATTCCTCCACGACAAAGGTCAGACGGTCTAGTAGACGAGAGTCATATCGATTCTTCCACAGTAACTGGGCGATTATGGAGCGAAAAGCCTGCGCCGATTGGGTACTACTAGGGAATTGATGATCGAAGAAGTAGTAGTAGGCATCGGGGCTCGGATGCGAGTCGCAACTATTCTGCAGCTCCTCCACCACAGCTGCGGCAAGTATAGTCTTTCCAGCGTCGGGATGGCCTATCGTGGGTGAGCCCTGACTAACTCAATGTCCATTATATATCATCGGGTTCGAGTTGAGACTTACCCTGTATCCAAATGGTGTTGGATCCAAAGAATTTCCTCGAGTGTGCAACCGCCTCGCGGCCCTCCACCCCTTGATTGTAAGCCTTCTCCTCAAATAGCCGCATGGCTGTTCCTGGATCTCGAAGCCGAAGCTCCTTCTCGAGGCTGTCGGCGAAATTTGGCGGTGCAACCCATTCGGCGATTCGAGTCCTAGCCTGTTCTAGAAAGTGTCCAAGGCAACGTTAGCTGAGCTGCAACGGCAGTGAATGAGGTGGATTTTTTTTTTCTTTTCTTTTTTTCTTTTTGCCTCACCTTTCCGATCATTCTCCAGACATCTCATCTCCTGGCGAACCTCTCGAAGACACTTAGAAACCTCTGCTCCGCGTTGAGAATTCAAATCCCGTTCCTCCCTTATGAGTTTGCGTTCTCTCGCGGCCAGATCTCGCTCTAGGGCGACGTCCTCGCGCTCGACTGATTCCACCTTTCGATCAGCTGCGGCCCTTGCCCTCTCCTTGACTTCTTCACTCGCGTGCCACAGGACGAGTTGCTCAAATATGAATCGCCGATGACCGCGCATCTGGACCAGCAGCTCGCCGAACCGTGACTCGAAGGGTTTCCAGAGTAGGCTGCCAACTACAACAGCCTTCTTCTTCATTTCTAACCCATTTCTGTCAGTGACATCTGCTATCATCGCATACGGAGAGATTTTTATTGCTTACTGCCATCGGACTTTGCGAAGATTCTGGCCGCCGTATGAAGAACTGCAAACATGTCTTTGTAGATCAACACGATATGCGCTTGAACCCTCAGAGTGTTCGCTTCATCTTCGGTATCAGGGCCCCTGTGTTGGCAAAGGTCAAGCAATTCTCCGTATTGTGGGAGTTCATCCGTCAGACTCGACAGCATTTTCGTCATCTTCTCGAAAAAGGTACCGTAATTGCTCGCCAACTACATCACCAATTAGTCGCTCACCAACATACCCTTTTCCAACGGGAGCACGATATATCTATTGGAATGTTTTTAGGCGACAACGAACCTGCAAAACAAGCCGCAACGAGCCCCAGAAAATGGCGGCGCATTCTGGCTTGGAAGAGACGTAAATGTTAACGACCTTGAAATACGGCTCCAGCCCATCCGAAAATTTCCTGATGATGTTTAGCCATCTTTTCCCAGACGGCCCCTTCTTCGCAATGATGTCCAAGCGCTCCAGTGATTGTAGAAATGTGTCGGCGGAGATATAGGTGGAAAAGGTCTCTCGTTCTTTGTTCGACAGGGTCGCGAGGAACTCATTCTGGGCCTGCCGGAATTCGTCGTAGTCCAGTCCCTGTAAGTTTGTTTAGTCCAGAATTATGCAGCACTGAGGTCAACAAAAGAAAGGTTCGGGTAGCAGTGGCATACTCTGGACATCGGTGCGTGCGAGGTAGGAAGCAATTCGGAGTGTCGTCGATGATCTTATTCCAGAGCCTGGTATTACGGCATCATGCTGTTTCTCTTGGACAACTTAGGTCGGTGGGCTTGACCAACTTCCTCTTGGTCTAATGCCGCATCTCCCAAGAGCTTCTTCGCATGTCATTTCGAAAGGATGAGAACTTGAGCACTATTCAAAATCATTGATCAATGGAACCACATTCAAGAACCGCGTCAAGAAAGTGGCCGGCCGGACTAGAGGCATACATTGGGATATATATGAGAGTGTTCCTCGACCTTCCCAATATTAAGGATTGATTGACATTACCATGCAACACGGTCATCACACTCTGGAGCTATATTTTAAGGGCGCCACTATATGGCCCACTTGTTCCATTAGATAGCCAACTTTTATATAATAAAAAAATTCCAATAAAGTCACAATACATTAACATCAAGCCCCACCAAAATTTCTATATACTACTATATACCTTTATTTTATCAAAGTCACCCTCAGAAAAAAAATCATTTTAATTTAACTATCAAAAACTTTCCCAATTCTACTATCAAAAGCCTTCCTAATTCCACTATCAAAAACCCCCTAATTCTATCATCATACTATCACTATAGACCTCCTTTTAACTTAAAATCATAGCAATAGCCATCCCCTTATCAGGAAGATATTCAAAACTCTTAAAGAGGTAGAAGTAAAGCTTTATAAAGAAGCCTAGGAAGCTAGATATAGCCTTAAAGTCTAGGATAAATAGCTAAATACAATTACTCCTAAATATATTATCTACTCTTATATTAAGAGAAGAAGATATTAAAAACTACTAAAGTTAACTAAAGATAAGACCTATAAAAAAAAAAATAAAAGACCTTAAACTAGAAGATAGGATACCTATTTTAAATTATAGTAAAATAACTTTATAATAATTAGAATAAATAGACTATTAAGACTATAAAAAGCTATATTAATTATTTTTAATATAATTATAAAATACTTAAAATTTTTATATTCTTAGAATATTAAAGTAATATCTTAAAGAACTATTATAAGGAGGTTATTAGATAGTAGAAAAATAGTAATAAGCTTAAGTAGATCCTAATTAATCTTAAAATTAAAGATAAGGCCTTTTATAATATTATCTCTTAAAATATCTTAAACCTCCTTTCTAAATACTATTAGAAATAGCTTAGTAATAAGTCCCTAATTAAATAACTAATAGCTTAAATTATAGATAATAGTAACTACTTCTCTTCTTTTAAAGTTAATATAGATAATTATATTACTTATTTCTTTATATTACTAAACTTAAACTTTAAAATATTAAAATAATATTCTAATATTATCTTTTTTAACTATATATATTATATAAATAAGTTTAATATACTATTACTTAATATTATTAATATCATTAATATAAAATATATATTCTAAATTATTATTATATTTTTAAAAAAAAAGACTTAAACTAATTACTTTTAGGTATTATATTATTTTTATAACCTTCTATAAAGAAATAATATCTTATTATTATTAATTATCTTATCTAATAGAAATAAAGTATTTCTAAATACCTTTAATACCTATCTAATTTTTAAATATATTAATTATATTTTATATTATTAGTATATTAAAATAAATATTATTATAAATATAAAAAAGTATTTTCTAAAGGTAATATAAATAGAAAGGTAACTAGGATTTAGTAATAACTATATTTATAATATTAGTTTTTAAACTTTTTTAGATATTTAAAATAATTTAATTTTAAATATAGATAAAACTATATTCTAGTAAAATCTTATTACTTTTAAAGTATTTAAAGAAGATATTTTAAATTAGAGGGTAGTAAAATATATTTTTAAAATATAAATTAAACTTTAGAAAAATAAAGTTATTATTTATTATATTAATAAAAAGTAATATTTTAGGTATTATATAACTTCTATAATTAAGTCTTCTTATATTTATTTAAAAAGATATCTTTTCTATTTAACTAATAACTTAAAAACTATTTTTAAATAACTTAAGTTATTTTAGATAAACTAATATAATTAACTAAGAAATAAATAAGCTTAAATAAGGAATAAAGCTTTTATAATAGCTAATACTATATTATTTAACTATATTAGAAAATATCTATTATTTATTATAGTCTAGGAAGTTTTTAATATTTAAATAAAGATCTTACTAGAAACCTACCCCCTAGACCCTTATATTTATATAATTTTATATATATATAGAATCCTATATAAATATACTTTTTAAAAATATCTTAAGTAGTAGAAGCCCTTTAAGCTAAATCTATTTTACTAATACTAATATTAATAATAGGATTTAGATCTAGCTTCTCTCTAATAATAGTAATAATAGTAAGTTATTTTTAAACTATATATAACAAAAGTAAAAAGTAGACCTAAAAGTACTATTATAATATAATAGAATTACCTATTAAAGAAGAGAGGTTATAGAATAATAAGTATATAATATATAATATTAGGATTTAAAGCTATTAAAATATAAAAAAAATTAGAAGTAAGATAGCCTCCTACTTCTCTTAGAACTAAAACCTATTATAATTTAGATTAAGTTAAACTTAAAAATACTTATAAACTAGAAATATAGCTTCTAAAAGCCTATTAAATTACTATTTAAGGCTTTTCTATTTTAGTTAATCTTATAGAGCTTATTTTTAATAATAAGGGTAATATTAGTAATCTAATTAAAGATATTCTTATATTAGTTAAAGAAGATAATAAAAAGGGCTTAGATAAGTTTAAATATCTAATAGATTAGATATTTGATAATATAGATTAACTTTAGTATAAGTTTTAAGTAGAAATTAACTTTAATAAAATAAAGGTATATAGTAGTATATAGAAATTTTAGTGGGGCTTGATGTTAATGTATTGTGACTTTGTTGGAATTTTTTTATTATATAAAAGTTGGCTATCTAATGGAACAAGTGGGCTATATAGTGGCGCTCTATTTTAAATAATACGGGCGACTGCTCTTATAATATTCCAGTCCCCCTTCCCCTGCCACTCTCTACCACTGCTTGACGAGGAGACCCTTCTAAGGTCTTGGCGTCCCTTCTGGTTGTTCGTTAATGGGCACTAGCCTATCAGACTGTCAATATTGCATCCTAGATAACAGTAAGGAATCTTTCCTCCTCCTCTGGCGGCCGCGCCCTGGGATGACCACTGTCTATAGGTAGAGGGCGCTCGATCTCGAATTCCTTTCAACATATCTAGTTGCTAACTAGTGTACATATTCAGTTTCTACCTCAGGGATGATTTTGTTTTCGAACCACCGCCACCATTGCCGCAACCCCGCTTGGGCGACGCAAACGATGCATGTAGTGTACGAAGCGGACACCCTCCGATAAGCCAGCAGACCAAGCCCCGAAAGTAACGAGTTGTTAAACTCACAGATACCCCTTAATTTCTCGCATGTACCTCGTCTCTGCGACTTCCTGTGAGGCTGATGAAGAGCCAATAAGGTAGCTGTCGGTATCGCTGGTGGTACCTTGATGATGCATCGATGATGCAGCAGCTTCCATGATGACATGTGCAAAGGAAGTAATAACGTGCAACCCTTGACTGGACCAGTCGACCCCTCCCCAGGCTGTCATGGCGTCAAAATGTTGGGACGTAGCATATTAATCTACGAGAGGGAAGGAAGGAACGAATTACTCCTGAGAATTGGCGCAATCCGTCATTTAAAGGCGTCTGCTTCGTTTTCCAACATAACCCACCCCATAAGCTCTCTCACCCTGCTTTGTTCCCCCCGCTCCGCTTGTAAGATATCTTCTGGACTCATCTTGCGACATTTCCTCATCGCCAGGCGAATTTTATAATTGGAGCTATTTTGCTGCTCTTTCCAACAGGCGCCTTTATTATTATTAATGTAATATCTCCAACGACACTCCAGTACCCTCGACTTCCTCTCTGGCCCGCCCGCTCCATCCTGCGAATCCCTCTTGCGCGACATCCGAAGGAGGCCATCTTCACTAACCCCGAACCACGGGGCATCGAATCCACGAAGCCTATATCCCGTCTCTAGACATCAACATGGGCACTTTTACATTCAAATGGTACGGTCAGCCCCAACATCTGGCACCTAATGACATCATGAAACCCGATTAGGAAGCCTGTGGCTCTGTCGCGAACCTCGACTTGGAAAGGAGCTTCGCCTTGGCGCTGGGACAAGAGGATACACGGCACAAAGCTATTCTCTTTCCAGCGCAGCCCAGCGTTCACGGCACTGGCCTTACCATCTACCACTCTCTATCAGCTGCTAACATGGACCGTCTCGGTGAGCAGGAACAAGCCGGCGCAGGAGGTGTACGTGACCGGCACATTCGATAACTGGTCCAAGTCCGAGAAGCTGGACAAGATCGGCGACGATAGCTTTACGAAAACGGTTGCGATTCCAGATGCTTCGAGCAAGATATATTACAAGGTTTGTGGAGTTTCATCAATCAGTACTTCTCTTTCCTCCCGCCGAATACCTTCCCAATCAACCGGCTTGCGATCCTCAAACCTCGTCCCGCTTGAAGAAATTCACGGTTACGGTTAAAACCGAAGCTTGTCTAGTGGGCAACATCTGGGATCAGCGTCGGAAGCAGGTCCGCTTTTCCATATGTGCTCCGAAATAGTTCGCCTTGCCCTCAATCCACAACTAGTGTGCTTGCGATGAAGCAGCTCGCTCGTCTTAGAGAACGAGGGCAGTGCCTTCGACCATCCTCTAGTATGGCAAGCCGACGGAATCTCGAAGGAGAGACGGCACACCAAGCGCCGGTGCCGATTTCAGCTGCGTGGCCTGTTGCAAAGCACACTTGTTACTCATTTGGTGCCAAGACCAATGATAAAATTGTGGCTTCCGCGCCATTCCTTGAAACCGAGACACATCCAACTTCGCCCCGCAAGGCTCAAAGAGACTCAATCCCGAAGATGCGAGACTGGGGTGTTGGATGCGAGACTGCAGTGCAGTACAGTGCACTGTGCATCCAAATCCCCAAAGAAAAGGGGGTGTACCTCGCTTTGGGCATAGTGAGGCTGTCGCAAGTATGCGAGTGATCAAAAGGTTAAGCCTAGCCCTATTGTGAAATTACGTTTCCTTTGGTTCAGTGGATCCTGCATCTAGCTTCCTGTACGCTGCCCGACTCCGGCGAGGTAGCCTTGACCTCTGTGCTCAGAACTACCAATCGCCCGACCTGGTAAATTTCTCGACATTACGCTAGTATTTGGACGACATTGGTCGCACGCCCAAGTGGAAGAGCATGCAAAATGCAAAGGCGCCTCCCGGTTCGGCAAAGTGGCAGAGTGGTGATGAGACCAGCTTGGCGCCAATGCATCAATGGATCAATTGCAAGCACAAATCGGGGAAAAGATCACGAAATCGATATGCAGGGCTGCTCAGGTGCACAAATTGAAGCTGGTTTCTGCCGCAATTCTGGTGGGTTTCTGCTGCACTTTTCATACTTTTTGCGTGCACACGAGCAGAGAAATCAAAATGAACCCTGGTGGCCCATGCTCATTTCTATCCCTGCCCCGTCCCAAAGCTCACCCTGCCCTGGGATCCGAGCAACACCCTGAACCTGGCCCTGTCCGTTTCAGTTTGTCGCACTCCTTGAAAAGCTGGGGGAGAGAACAGCAAAGGGAACACGGGCCAAGATGGGATCCAGAACAAAAGATGGGTCAAAAAAGGAAACTAGCTCAGCATGGTTTTTGAAGCCGCGATCGAGTGGAAAAGCTGGACGGATGATTCGAGTGTACCTGCAGAGTGTGGCTTTCCGGCCAAGTGACCACTGGCCCAGGCAGCTACTATTGAAAGCGTTGCAACCAAGTTGCTTACCGTCCACGCACGCACCCCCGCCTCTCGTACTCGTACTTCGTACTGGTATGCTTCGTATGACGATGGATCTCCCGTCAGATGCCAGATGGGGGAAACATTGATATGTCCGTCCTTTTTCCTCAGGATTGTGGACAAAGTGTACAATGTACCTACCTGTACGAAATACGTTCGAGAACTGCCTGATCTGGGCCCTCTTCTAGACTGTCTCGTGACCCCAATTAAATCCCGTCAAGACCGTTGTTCTAACTGCACCATGAGGCTGTTGGCTTGAGACAGTGGCGCTCTGGGCCAATTGAACCCAAAGGTCAGCTGTGGCGAGTTGTGCTGCAACCCATACCCACTTCGAAGCTTCACCGCCGTGTCATATACGCTGATGTCTTACACATTACCAAGCCAAGCGGCGTCATCCTTCAGTTACAAGGTACAGACGAAACGAGGGCAATTGAGCGCAGCGTGTGCCCATGTTCGAACCAAAAATGAAGGCGTGAACTGTGGGCCTCGCTGTAATAACGGGTGTTGTGGATTGCTCACATCCAGAGTACACTTACTCCCGTCCTGTCCTGTTCCCAATCTTAGGTCCTGCTCCGCAACGAGGTGTACTAATGTACACTTCAATTGTTCAACTTCGTGTTCGCCGTACCTTTGTACCTCGGTACTTGCTTCGGACGGACAAGCAATGTTGCCGATACGCTCTGTACTCAAGTGTTTTACGGAAGGCACACTTGACTTGGAGTTTTAGTTCCCAACGCTTGTCGTATGAAGCAGGAGCACCACAAGCACTTAGGATCTAGATCTTCTGAGCAGGCAATTGATGAAAGGGCTGCACTAGACTGCAGACCGACCTGCGACTTCGCAGAGGAATTGATCAACTCATGCACAGTTATGCGCATGTACAGAGCTCCACATGGCCAGCAGGCCAGGCCTAAAGCTCCTTCCGGGACCCCACTACGGCCTTCCATAGGCTGGCAGCTCCAGACCCCAGTACATCATCTGTGCTCGATGATGTACCACTGCAGTCAAAGTGACCCAGGAATACCCTTTAAGCTTAGCCTGGCTCCCCGACCCTGGCCCGTTTTGGTCATTGCCTCTCCAACAATTGCATCACTTGAGGGTTTGATTCCTTCTTTGCTTGGCCCCCCTCCAAGTCTCCAAGTCGCTCCCCCCCATGTGTACATCAATTGATCCCCTAGCAAGTGGGAGCTTCATTACCCGGAAACCCGCTACTACCTCTCACCTTCCCATCACACCTTTTACCCTTCTCTCGCACACTACCAGATCCTCGCAATCAAAATCTCTTCCTCTCATTTCCTCTGTTTTTTTTTTCTTCCTTCCCACTACAACTACACCTATCATCGGTTGAAAATACTCATCCGACTAAATCTTTTAAATCTTAATCATCTTAACACTGTCCCCGGAAGGGCTCTAATATATCAATTGCCCTCTTTCCTCTCTGCTCTTTTTTCAATTGCGCTTGCACAAAAGCACCCGAAGAAAAGGACACCATTCAGCTGACGCTTTACCGCAAAAAATCTCAGTTCTTCGTTGACGGAAATTGGTCCATCGACGGCGACGCACCCCAAGAATTTGACAATAACGGCAACCTAAACAACGTCCTCGAGCCCAGTCTAATCACCATGGCTGACGACAAGGCTGCCGCTGCCGCGCTCCTAAACAATGTCACCCCCGACTCCACCACCGCGCAGCTCGCGGGCGCCGTGCCTGTAGAGAGCGCCGCCGACAAGAAGAAGGCGAAGAAGAAGGCTAAGAAGAAGGCCAAGAAGAAGGCCGCTGCTGGCGGCGCCGAGGCGTCCACTCCCGCGGGTGACGAGTCCGGTTCTGGTAACGACGAGCCTGCGTCTCAGGATGCCGCTGCTACCGACGAGGAGAAGCCTACCGCCGAAGAAGAGAAGCCTGCTGCGAAGGAGGAGGAGAAGCCCGTCGCAGCTGCCGCCGTTAGCGACCAGGCTGCGACGCCGGCCGTCGACGCCCCCGGCCAGTTCCCCGCCACTCCCCTCTCTGAGCTCGACAACCCAGTCAGCGTAAATCCTCTACCTGCTGCGAACGGCGCTGTCAACCCCATCCAGCTCGAGCCCGGCCAGGAAGTGCCCAAGGCGAGCGCCGAGGAGATTAACAAGAACGTTAAGCTCGATGAGGAGTCGTATGAGAAGAGCGATGCGCTACCTTCCGGTCCCGATGCGCCGGTTAGCGTTAACCCGCTTCCTGCAGCCGACGGAGCCGTGAACCCCGTTAAGCTTGAGGCTGGCGAGGAGGTGCCCAAGCCTGCCGCCGAGGACATTACTAAGAACGTGAAGCTCGACAAAGAGTCGTACGAGAACGCCGACGCCCTACCCTCTGGCGCTGATGCCGACAAGCCCGTCAGTATCAGCCCTCTACCCGCCGCTCCCGGCGCGGTGAACCCTGTCGACCTTCCCGCCGGCGAGGAGGTTCCCAAGCCTACCGCCGAAGATATCACGAAGAACGTAAAGCTTGACAAGGAATCTTACGAGAACGCCGATGCGCTTCCCGAGGCCGACGACTTGGCCAACAAGACCGTCAGCGTCAATCCCCTCCCCGCAACCGATGTTGCGCTCAACCCCGTCCAGCTTGCGCCTGGCGAGGAGGTTCCCAAGCCTGCCGCTGAGGATATCACCAAGAACGTCAAGCTTGACAAGGAATCCTACGAGAAGGCCGATGCGCTCCCTGGCCTTGACACAGATTCTCTCCCTCCTGTTTCTAAGAACTTGATTCCCGAGTCTAGCCTTCCCATCATCGGCGGTGCTGGTGCCACTGTCGCCGCCGGTGCCGCCCTTATCGGTGGTGTTACCCCTGAATCCACTACCGCTAAGCTCGCCGGCGAAGTGCCCAAGGAACCCAAGGAGCCCGCCGCACCCGGAGCCGCCCTCATCGGCGGTGTCACCCCTGATTCCACCACTGCTAAGCTCGCGGGTGAAGTCCCCAAGGAGCCCACTGCCACCGTCCCCGAGATCGTCAAGGAGAGCCAAGAGGAGGCCCACGCCGCCCCCGAGGCGAGCGCCATCCCCGCCGAGGTCCAGGAGAAGGCCGAGGTCGAGTCCGAGCTCCTCCAGAAGGTACCCGAGGTCCCTGCCGTCGCTGAGTCGAAGCCCGCCGAGACTGCTCCCGCTGCTGTGCCCGAGCCCGTCAAGGAGTCCATTGAGGAGGCCGGTAAGGCGCCTGAGGCTGCTGCCAACGCTGCCGCTGTCGAGGAGAAGAAGGAGGTTGAGGAGGAGCTCAAGAAGACTGTTGAGCCGGCGCCTGCTGTCGCTGAGACCTCTGCTGCGCCTGCTGAGGCCGCTGCCGCTGCTCCTACTGCTGCTGCTGAACCCACCGATAAGACTGCTGCTGCTGCTGAGGCGCCCGCCGCCAACGGAACTTCGGATGCCGCCGCCGCAAAGAAGAAGAGGAGAAACAGGATCAGCGCGATATTCTCCAAGATCAAGCACAGGGTGCTCAAGGACTAAGGCACTGATGTCGGCTGGGTTTCATGGCGCATGGATTTCGCTTTCTCATAACTCGTCATGTCGGCATGCCTAATGTCCTTTTTGAGCCCACGGTTTCGACTCGGAGCGGTTCTGATACGAACACATACACATACTCGCAAAGGCGGTTATAGGGTTTTTGGAGGGACAACTGGAATTCTGGCGGTGGGTGGTCAGGCTCACTTGGAACATATGAAGGCGGGAGGGGAGGTGGTCTTATTTTATCGCTCCCATTTCTTCTGTCATTTGTCATTTTGCTATTTAAAGGACTGATCGTCACTCTATTTTTTTTTTCTTGCTGGCAAGGGGGTAAATCACCCGCCTCATTTCCCGTCATTCTGGCCTGATCCTCGCTCCCAACAACTCCCCCAGACCAACCCTTGCCAGTATTAGACGCGGTCCCAGTCTTTGGTTGTTGTTTTGTTTTCTTTTTCTCGTTCGGTATTGGTTTGAACTGCCGCGCACGATTCCCCCTGATTTGTTCTTGGTGTGAGTTGTACCTGAAGAAGCTTGGAAGGGCAGTTGAGCCGCGATTCCTTTCTTTTTCTTCTTCCTTTTTCCTGTTTCTTGTTATTTCTCTCCCCTCTTATTTTGCAACCCGAAGGAGCACTATATCCCTCCCAACGACACGCATTCGAGACAGCTTGCGGTTTGGGTGGAAGTAACTTTCTTCCCGCCGCCGGTATTTGAAATTGTTGGTTCTCTATGTCGTTGGGAAACTATAAATCCCACACCCTTCGAAAAGTCTATGCTAGTAGAGACTGGAGGAGGAAAGGAAGGAAGGGTCTAGATCCAAGAAGCCCCTCTCCGGCTTTTGGGAAGGGGGTCCATTTTGGTTTGAGGTGGAAATGGGGATTTGGGGAGATTGACGGAGATTGAGCTTGTATCATAGTAATACCACTTAATTTGGAGTTGAAGATACGTTTTCTTGAATATGGGTTCTTTTATGTGCTTGATGTTTTGAGGGTGATGGTGATGACGGGTAAGGCATCCATCCTTGTGTGGATAGCGAGAAGAAACGGAATGGCGGAACTGCTTGAGAAGTCGAGATTCGGTTCGTGCCCATGGGCGATTCAGCGCGAGGTGAATGAACATGGCGAGAAACGCCCTCTTGTTCTTTTATTCGTCTATTTCCGAATGGAATTGCGAATACCGTCTCCGTCTCTGGAGCACTTATAATTCCGAAACGAGCAAGCGAGGAGAGAGGCAAGGAAGAGGCGCGAGGAAAGGAGCCTCCACCACAATCGCGCCTTCATCTTCCTCATTCAAATCTTGGAGAGCCTGGAATAAAAGCCTTGAAACACAAACATTTGGTCATCCTTCTTCCTGTATATGCGGGAGCTCATCTAATAACTGGCTGAGCCTGAGATTGGTGTTGACGTCCGTCCCGAGATATTTCGGAGAACATGCATCGATCCGGAGCTGAATGCGACGCGGACATCAACAACGCTGGCAAATCTGGATGGCTTCACATTCCTTGCCAGAGCGGCGGAGTCTCTGTAATAGCCTACAGCCCCAAAACATTGTCTTCCAAGGAAGACTTAATCCCAGAACCAATCACCACTACGGACAGAGGTTAAGCTTATTGAAACTTACTGGATCTAAATAATCTGCTGAGCATTCGCCCATGAGCAACGAGGCCTCTGAAAGGGCGCCCTGAGGAGGTCAACGGGATGCTGTAAGGTCTCTTAAGTTATGAATTCGCAACCGTTTCTCTATTCATTCGAAATATCAGCTCAAAGAAGAACAATGGATCTTCGATATAGGCTCTTTCCTTCGTGCAACTGTTGATACTCTTGGCTTTGGGTCGGACCTTCTTCCATCGGCTGCACAGTGCAAAGACTAGATTAGTCTGAGGACCCGCATTCCGCATCCCCCAGATTCTGCTGACGCGCTCCTTCCAGATCAGAATCAGGATCGCGTCACTCTTCTCAAGTCGCATGTCCCACCCTTTCGAATCGTACCTTCCGCTTCGTCATTGTTCCTGGCTCTCTCGTCTCTCCACCTTCCCATTGGACTTGCCGGGACAAATTCCATCTTCATCAACTTCGTCTGTACGACTTGGTGGATTTCTAATTGATTCGTCTAATTCTTTTCCCCTTACCTGTCACAAAACCTAGCGTTCAGCTTGTTTGCTAGAGAAAACTTGCCTCCCAGCAATTTTTTTTTTTTTTTCAGCCTACAAAATCCAAACTCATCTCCCATACGAATATCTAACCTCAATTAATTTTCACCACACCTACGCGACAACGCAGAAAACGCAAAAATGTCCGACGCAACTGAGCCCAAGGCCGTGCCTGTGGAAGAAGTATCCGCTACCGCCACCGAACCGACCACCAGCGAACCCGCGCCTCCGCTCACAGGAGCTAACGTCGACGACGCCCAGACCCCCGCGGCCGACGCCACGAAAGACGGCGATGAAGAGGAGGAAGACGAGGAGGAGCGCAAATCGCGAAAGGTCACCCTCGCCGACCTATGTGCCAAGGGCACAGCGCTCTACGTGAAGAAGAAGTACGAAGAGTCGGCCGAATGCTACGCCAAGGCGGCCGAGAGGCAGGCCGAGCTGAACGGCGAGATGGACCCCGAGAACGCAGAGATTTTGTTCCTGTACGGAAGGAGTCTGTTTAAGGTGGGGCAGGCCAAGAGCGATGTGCTGGGAGGCAAGGCCGGCGGGGATAAGCAGCAGAAGAAGGCGCCAGCGGAGAAGAAGGCCGCGAAGCCCAAGGAGGATAGGAAGGGTGAGCCGAGCGGTTCGGTGACGGTTGAGGAGGGGAAGAAGGATGTGAAGGAGGAGGACAAGAAGGCGGAGGTAGCCGTGCCGAGTACGAAGAAGCCATTGTTCCAGTTTACGGGGGATGAGAACTTTGAGGACTCCGATGAGGAAGAGGAAGAGGTAAGATATTCCCACTTTTCGTTTTCTCAGTGCTTCCAAGTGCTAACTGATTGGGCTTTGTAGGGTGGTGACGAAGAAGAAGAGGAGGAGGAGGAAGACGACTTGGCCGTAGCCTTTGAAATTCTCGACCTCGCGAGGGTTCTCTATTCGAAAAAGCTCGAGAACTTGGAGTCTCGGGAAAAGACTGAGGAAGAAAAGGAAGGCGATGAGGATCCGCTGCTAAGACATGTCAAGGAGCGCCTCGCCGACACCCACGATCTTCTCGCAGAGATCTCCCTCGAGAACGAAAGGTACCCCAATGCCATCACCGACTCACGCGCATCTCTCAAGTACAAGCAGCAGCTGTATCCCAAGGAATCGGAGATCATCGCCGAGGCCCACTTTAAACTATCTCTCGCCCTCGAATTCGCCTCCATCACCACGGACGAGGGTGGTAACAAGACCGACTCCGTGGACCAGGAGCAGCGGGACGAGGCTGTCAAGGAGCTGGAACTCGCCATTGAGAGCACGAAGCTTAAGCTCCAGGCCAAGGAGGTGGACCTTGCGACCATGGCATCGCCCGAAGATAATGAACTCACGCGACAGGAGATTGCGGATGTTAAGGACATCATTGCGGACATGGAGCAGCGGGTAGGTTCTTCCATTTCTATAGGCATACCGCAGTCCCGACTACTACTACCACTACTCCTACTACAATGACAGCCACTAACGTGAGAGGTACTACAGTTGGTTGATCTTCGCGGACCTCCCATCGATCTCAATGAGACTCTTTACGGCGAACAGGGCCTTGGGAAGTTGGGTGGTATCCTCGGCGCCGCCGTCGGCGGGTCCTCCGCTGAGAAGCAGGCGGCCATTCAGGAAGCTAAGAAGACGGCCACCGACCTGAGCGGACTCGTACGCAAGAAGCAAAAGGAGCAGAAGGACGAGTCCAAGCCCAGTACACCCACTGCCGAGACGAACGGAAAGCGCAAGGCCGAAGATGATGCCGAATCGGAAGAGTCCAAGAAGGCCAAGGTCGAGGAAGCCACAGCATAATGGCTCTATACTCCTTTTCTTTTCTTTTCTCTTTCATCTCCTAACATCGATGGCATTTTCTTGGGTCCTTTCTTTTCCTGAGCTGTAACATTAATGATTTGCAACGGTCGTGGAGGAAGCGGATAAACATGGTATGGGCGGAAGTTGGTGGCTTTGGCTTTTCGCGAGAGACAACATGGAGCAATCGATGTATTCCGGCGAAGTGGATGGATGCCCCGGCGGGCTTTGGTTTGTAACAATTGATTATTCAACTAGTGTTTTCTTATTTTGCTTAAGAAGTACCTTGATGCCTTGCAACACACAAACTACCCCACATGGCAAGAAGAGTTTGCCAGAGCTTGAGCTTGAGAACGATTTGGCAATGATATTGGTCGTTGGTTGACCTGACAAGACCTGTCCGTATTTCCAGCGAAGTCCCCCGTTTTCCCCAAGTTGTCCGAGAGCTCATCAGAATGACACAAATACGGCCGGCCCTAGGTGAGAGACGATCACTTGTCTGGAGTGCTTGGTTGATTCATGTGTTTGAAGTGGTGCCATTCATTTGTCCAATGACTCTCAGCCGAGACGGTTCGAGACACGTTCCCGTTTTCAATTGCGTAGCTTACGTAGGTTCCCGATACGGTTTAGCCCAAATCCGTTTTGTTGATTAGTCACCAATATCGCCACATGTGACCTCCGTAAGGCTTCACTTTAGCCGCTTCGATCCAGCGTCAGACGCATCAAGACCATGACAGACTCTGTCCATCCTATCAAACCCTCCACGTTCTCTTCCGTATCCCTTACAGTTAGCGAGCCCTTGACCTCCAAAGCCATTTTGGCTTCCCTGTTCCTGTTCTTCCCCTCCCCTGCTCTCCCATCAACCTAGAGCTCGTTTCTTCCTCCTAAATCCCCTCCTCTACCATACGTCTTATGCTTCGCCTCCCCTCCATCTAGAACATTGCAATTCTCCATCCCCATCTTCGGGAGTTCCAGAGCTGGAAGTCTCGAATCATGGTGGGCTGGGTTTCGTGACAGCATTCCTCTTTTTTTTCTTTTTTTTTTTTGTTCCGTTGTCCTTGACTGCGAGTTGGTCACGTAACCGGTCCTGGTGCGTTCGGAAAGAGCCAGTCACGACTTGAATCGTCGGTCCATTCCGGAGATACAAACGAGTGCGAGGGAAAAAGACAAGGGGACGGATTTCCCTTTTCCCTCCGACGCCGATTCCGTTCATTCGACTTCTCGGTCCTTCGCTAATACTTGGCTGGATGTTCGGGAGCTGGCCTCTAAAATTCGGATCGAACAGCGTGGAGTGTATATAATCCAGGGCCCGCGAGAGACGGGTAGTACGGGGAACAGGAGACTGCTGAAATACTGAAACCCCGGTTTTTCTGAGGCCTTCGTTTTCGAAAGGAGCATTGTTTTCCGGACACTCAAGCCTCGAGTGGCACCACGACTTTGACGCGTCTCGCCTTCAAAAAAAACAGCGTTCCGAAACCGCCACCTCTAACTATCGTCCCTGCTCGAGCTGGTTCGCTGGATGGTTGCCCCCTGTTCTGCGCGAACAATGTCATCGAACCTGTCGAACCTGGGAAAATCCCTTCCCCAATCTTCGCCTTCTCCCCAACCCGGACCAACGACATCGAGTTTCGAATCCCGCCGGCCCGTCCAGTCGCCTTCGTTTGTCCAGACCAACGCGGCGCCGAGGAAGGCCCAGGTAGCAAGAAAGCAGCACAGGAACCAGCGCAGAGCCGGACGATCCGCCGCCGCCATCATCGAGGACGACGACTTCGCCATGACTCACTCGCACACTTTCGGCAACGGCACCTCCCGCCGGGGCCAGACCTCCATCACACACCTCCTCGACAACTACCACGCTCCCATGCTCGTTCCCGGCATGGATAACTACCATACGTTTGCTCGTACGTATCGAAGGAATCCGCATTGGGGTTCGGGATATCGCCCGGCCGACAAGCAGCGATACGTCCGGGCCAACTACCGCTTCATCGTGTCCCCCGATGGATCGTACTCCACGATCGCCAGTGACCCCGATGCGCAGATCGACTGGGCCAATGTGCTGCAGGTCATTGCCTCGTCACAGTCACAGACGACCTCCTGCCCGATATGCCTGTCGGATCCTGTAGCGCCACGCATGGCGCAGTGCGGTCACATATTCTGTCTCCCATGCTTGATCCGTTACCATCACTCGGAAACAAATGAGGACGTAGACTCGCATATCCCGCCACATAAGAGGCGATGGAGAAAGTGTCCGATTTGCGAGGACAGGATTCAGCTTTCCGACGTTCGGCCCGTGCGGTTCTACGCCGGCCAGGAGAGCCCGCTACCGCGTCCGGGCGACGATGTCGTTCTTCGACTGATGGTGAGGAGCGCCTCTTCGACGTTAGCCATGCCGCGGGAAGGCGGCACCGAGGTTTTGGACGTGGGAGACGATATACCGTGGCAGTACGCGGCGAACGTCATGGACTACGGCCGCGTGATGAAGGCGAATGGAGCGTACATGGTTGTCCAGTACGACGAGGAGATTGCGGCCCTCGAGAAGCAGGAGAAGGAGGACGAGTGCATGTTTGGGTCCGACGGCGAGTGGACACAGAAAGCGATTAAGGCTATCCAGAATGCGAAGGAAGCCATCAAGGACCTTGGAAAACAGGACCACCCAACCACACCCCCCGGTGGAGTGTCTGACGAGGACAGCCACCACCATCATCAAGATCACGCCAACGTCCCCTCTGGCCCCAAGGGTCGCGGGAAGCAGGCGGCGGGTCCCGACTTCTTCTTTTACAGCGCCCCGCCACACCTCTACCTCTCGCCCCTAGATATCCGCATCCTCAAGACGAAATACGGCGACTTCTCGCTGTTCCCGTGCACCCTCCTACCTCGCGTCGAGCACATCTCGACGGGCCACGTAGTAGACGACGCGATGCGACGGCGGGCAAAGTACCTCGGCCACCTGCCGCGCGGCTGCCTCATCAGCTTCCTCGAGTGCGACTGGACTGACATCGTGCCCGGCGAGATCCTCGAGCAGTTCGCCGACGACATCGAGAAGCGTAGGAAGCGCAACAGAGATAAAGCTACTCAGGAGGAGAAGCTGAGGCAGCAGGCTGAGAGGATTGAGGCGGCGGCGATTCAGAAGACGATTCCGCGATATGAGCCGATGTCGATTAGGCATGATGATGGTGAGCCCACTAAGGTGGACTTTTCGGATGCGGACTTTTTGCCCCTTGGGGTTGGTGGCGGTGCGGCAGCGGCTTCGACGACGCCTCCTGAGCCTAGGGCTGGTTTTGCGCAGTTGGCGAATTTGTCGACGAGTCCCTCTACGGCTAGAACTGTATGGGGCACGCCCGCCGTGCAGCTCCCGCCGTCGCCGACGATGACGGGAACGGAGAGGGATGCGGTTGACGATGGATGGTTGAAGGACGCCGATATCCTTGCCGATGCGTCGATAGCGGCACAGCTGGAGGCTCTTGGCGTGGAGGATGTAGGTGCCGCCTTGGGTGCCACAAACGGTGTGGGAGCTGGGGCGGTGGATGGGCAGGGTCAGGGGCATGTTAATGGCGGCGGCAAGGGGAAGAAGAAGAAGAAGCAGAAGATTACGCTCATGAGTACGGGTGGAAGGAGGGGTCTTTAGATTCTTGCGTTCTCTGGCTTCAACAATTTTTTCTTTTTCTTTTTTTTTTCTTTTGCCTACTGCTACACAGCCTCGTCTCGCCTATCTTTCCATCCTAGATTTTTTGTTCCACCCTCCCCGCCAGTACATTCTTTTCTCCCCGTGTTGTGAGCTCTCGAGAATTTAGGGGTTGAGACGGTGGGATGGGTGTCGTCTTCCTTCTTTCTCATCTTTTCTTCTACTCCCCCCTTTTTTTCTGTTCATGTTCTTCAAGGATGGCGAAGCAGGGTGTTTTAGGACAGACAAGATCAAGACGGATGAAAGATACAAAAAAATACAGTGATTATTATACAGACATGTTTTGACAGGAGGAATGGGGAGGGAGAGGAGGAGGACGAGGAGAAGAAGAAGAAGAATGGATATTTTGGCGAGAGGAAGTTGTTGAGTGCGAGACTGGAGAAGGCAATGCAGGTGTGGAACTGCAGTCTACATCTATTTAAAGCGCAGACCCTTGATGGGGTGAGGAGGTGATATGATATGCTGGCCTGTGGACTGGTATGGTTGAAGTGCATTTAAGGAGAGAAGAAATACACCCTATATGTTTGGGCCTTTTTTTGAGGGTTTTGTTCTTCTGTGTTCACGAACTCGTTTCGCGTGAAGCCGGGGATGTTTTTTTTCCCATTTCTATCCTTTGGTGAGGCTGGCTTCTGGAGTCTTTCGGCAGTACATCGTGATCCCCGGCTTTTTTCCCTACAAACGATCCGACCACATCGATGAAATCCCCACCCGGGAAGAAGCTAAGCACAACAAAACACCACTAGCCTGCCCGGTTAGCTCAATCGGTAGAGCGTGAGACTCTTAATCTCAAGGCTGCGGGTTCGACCCCCGCATTGGGCTCAAATCCCAATGCGTCTTCAAAGAAGGCACATCGATATTTTTTTCTTCCCCCCCCCTTCCCCCCCTCCCTTTTTCATTTTCTCTTTTTTTCTTCGTTTTTTTTTTTTCCCTAGGTCTAAATTGTACAGCAAGAGGAAAAGGAACGAATCCCTCACCTCTTGGTTTTGGTATAAGTCGTAAACGGCAGAGCCCTGAGGTTCGAGATGGCCGGTCCTGTGGATAGTCTGCCTGGATTACAAGATGGAGAGAGCTGAGCCTCGTCCCTGAACACGAGCAGATTGATGAAGTAGGCCAAAGAGTAAGCTTCAGCTTCACGCCCCCAAGCTCAGCCGTAGGCACCGACGATACTAGCCAGAGGGTTAACACAGCATCTGGGGAAGGTTAAGATCTAGAACTTGTCTCGCTTGGCACCTGAAGATGAAGAACCCGAGGTGCTCATCTTTGCTACAGTCACCCCCGGAGATGGTATTGATCCGGCACCCCTCCACCTCTCCGAACCGTAGATCCGATGTACTCCTAAGCGACTTGTGATGCGTCTCACCGAACTTCTAGACACCCCCCAAGTTCTTCACCGAGCCGCCAAAGTAAAAGCCACATATACCTCGGTGGCGGCAGGAAGGCCGAGAATGGCTACTGTCCGTCGAAAAGATAAACCACGTTATAACCACGCCACCATAAACTCGACAAACGAAACTTCCAGAACAAAAACATTTGGCTAAGAAGCTTTCCCGCCAGAAACAAAATGGCCGAAAGTATCGCTTTTAGCTCCGATAAACACGGACGAACCCGATGTATCTATACGCAAAGTACACGGTATGTGTTCCCCACTGTCTTTCGTCCGATCTACTAGGCACGAAGGACAAATTCCCACGGATGTTAGTGGAGGAAGTAATTCTTGGTTACGCCTCCGAGAGTAGATCGTCCGGATCGGGATGGCCATCCGTCCCACATGTAGCCCCGGCGTCCGAATCCCCCGGAGCCGACTCGGCCGTTTCGCGTCCGCTGGAAGACGGTAGAGAGGGAGCGAGCAACCGCGCGGTGTCTCGTTTCGCTATGTCAAAGGCCCGCTTTCGGGCCTCGTCGGCACCGTCGCCATTGAAGATGAAGTTGAGCCATTCGTCCTCAGTATCCTTCTGTAGTAGGGGGCCAGGAGTTTCATCCGCCGCTTGGTGCTGTTTCTTCACGCGTTCTACTTTCTTGTCATCACTGGGGCGGTGACTCCCTGTTTTTGAAGAGGCACTACCCATGCCACGGACACTCGATCGTGAAGAGGACTCTTCACCTACGTATTTCGGATCCAGACGCGGTTCCTCGTCGGCAGAGATACTATCGTCGTCCGATAACAGAGCAGTTAAACTGACGTCATCAGACTCCGACAAGGGAGGTCGTGGAACTTCGTCTTTCTCCAAGGAAGGTCTATCCGGCGCAGCCCGGATCCTTTCCCCACAAGCAATATCTCTACTCGGGATACTCCCACGCTCCTCATCAATAGCACACCCCACATCACGCACCACATGTCCCGTGCCGCTGCCTCCAGCCACGGAAGGAGCATGGTATTCAGCAACACTCGAATCATCCAGATAATCAAGTCTCACCGTCACGTCAGGCAACTCGTCGCAGAGAGGTAACAGATTATCGTCATCCTTTTCCCCTCTCTCAACACTTGATCTCAGCGCCCCCGTCGACGACTCAAGTTCCTTCACGAGCTGTTGGCCCGCATGACGAATAGGTCTTGGATGGCGAAGTCGTGGAGCACAAGATCCTCCTCCTGGTGCTACCTCCTCTTGAGCAGGTGGGGTCTTATCCTTGCTTCTTCTTCTCCAAGCTTGTTGTGATGTCATTAAGTGGGATGGCATGTCTCCTCCTCGCTCGACTGCCGATCGATCCCAACGCCGATCGGAAAGTGTCTGCAGTCGCTCGATTTCTTCTTGCATCTCGAGGCCCGCCCAATCTGGCATGGCTAGGAGCCGTCGCCGCTTGGCTTCTAGATCGTCATCATTTCTCTGCCCTCTCTCCAAGCCTCGCTTCCGTTTATTGGTATCTCGCTGGACGGCCTTTTCGAGGGCTGCCGTGAGAATGGGTGTAGTTTCCTTTGCCTTACTTGGCTTGCGGACATGGTTATCCTCCTGCGGCCGATCCTTCGATGGGAGGCAGCTATCACGGAAGAACGACGATTGTATTTCTTCGGCTGGCGCTCTTGCGGGTTTGCTAGAAGCACCCGTAGTCGACCGAAGGGCCTGCGCCCTGCGAGCACTGGCAAAGTTCTGGCGCTGGCGTGTGAGGTCTCGAGTGTGTCCGCGGCCACGGGTGTGACGGGCTAGATTCCCTTCTGTCCAGTTCATCTTATGCCCTTTTATCATGAGACTTTGAGCGGCTTTTCTTCATGAAATAGCGATTCAGCAACCTTGGCATATTATGGATATACTCTAGAGGTGTTTCCACTTCACTCTTTCTCATGATCACATGTATCTTGTACACTTCTAGGGAAGGATCCATCGACGCATGTGGTCCAATTGTCTAGGCAGGCGCAAACCCCAGCGCAACTTCCTACTATCCCTGTTTGCGGAGATACAAAGTGCGAGGCTTGTAGCACCTAACGCCTCACGACGACTTCATAGAAGTGAGCTTGGAGCCCACCGAATTACACCACTGTTTGAACGATAGGAACGGGAACCATATTTCTGGAGGTCACGAATATACAGAGGTAGACCCAAATAATACTATACTCTCCGAACGCCAGTTAAGATCTAAAATGATCATGATCCGCCAACATTAGGTTACTGCCTTCAAGAAGAGAAGAAGAGAAAATGAACAAGAATGGTAGAAGACTCGGAATCCATTCCCTCAAGGACCAAAACTAATCATAATCCTCCAAAAACGCCGATAATCCGTTGATATCCCTACCGTACTAATGCTCAAAAAGCCTTTAGTCGCTTCAGTGCCGTTTCGGGGAGCCCTAGCAAGAAATGCGGGTCAGCCCTTGCTCTATCAACTCGCCACAGGAACCTCGGGGAACAGCTTCATTTTTGGAACTTACCAAGCCTCGAGGCACTCATGCCCATCAAACCGGAAACCCTCGCCATCACCTCAAGGTTATCCCCGGGGAGATCTTTAAATTTGTCCTCAATGCAGGAAGAGACAGGTCCGGACATTATCGACGGGTAGCGAATAACAAAGGCCATAAAGCTCAGCGGTAGAAAAGAAGCGTGCTCGAAGTCAATGACGTAGAGTTCACTAGTATCTGTGAACATGAAGTTCCCCAGGTGCAAATCAGCGTACACGAGATGCAGCTCCCTCTCGAAAGTGACTGTGGGATTATCTTTACAGAACCACGTCGCGAGCTTGTTCCTTGTGTCAGTTCCCAGAAAGACAGACGAAAAAGAAAAAGAACAGGCTGATGCCTCGGATTTCTCACATTGTTGACGTGCTCTTCCAACTCGTCGACGGATATATAGGGGACTGGTGCCTGCTGGTCTTTAAAGAACACATGCCTGATTCCACCCCAACCGCAAGGACCTGGCTTGGTGTCCGGTGGAACTGGAAATGATAAAAAGAGCCTGAGTGCTCGAGTGATTTTATCGAAGTACGGGTCCGAGATTTCGCTCTCGTAGAAATTCTCGATAGATTGGCCGATTTCGTCAAGTCTTTTGCCGTTCACCAACTCCATGACGACAAAAATCCTTTGCTGCTCTTTGAGTATGCGAAAGATTCGGGGTATATGGATGCCTTCCCTTTCCTCTTTCGGTATTTTCTCGAGATTGTCCAATGCGAATTGCTGCGTTCGGGTCTCGGCAAACATGGCCTCCTGCGATCGGTTCCCAAACTTAACCCAAAAAATGGGTTGGTCAGGGGGGTATACGAAGCCCGTGATGGCGTATCCTTCTGGAGTACAGTATCCTGCCGCCTTCCTTGAGGAGAGTAGCTCGTCGAAGGTGAGTTCATGGGCTCTCTGAGTGAGATAAGGGATGCTAAGGGGCTCCATCTTGCGGACGAGGAGACGTTGTGTACTGAATGTAGTAAGTGAGGCATGGCCTTGGCGGGTTCCAAGGGCGTCTTGACGTTTCCCGTGTCGAGAACTATATCGATTCCTATATGCCGACCCTAGACCTTACCTGATCGTGTGTAATTTGTGATTCGCTTTCTTTCCTTTGGAGGGTGTGTCCCGGCGTGTGTCCCGGCGTGTGCTAAGAAGGTTCAACATCGAATCACTTCGGACCCCTAGCATGGAGCTCCAAGAGCCAACCCTTGCAGTGCATATACACTTGTAAATCCGGTACGCCATGTCCCGCGAGGATCAGCTATGCCTTAGATTCCCACGGGCAACCTTTCGTTTGACTCCCTGGCTAGGTTGTTTTATTTCCAGAATGACGTAGTGTCTCCATCACCCAGGTCCCCTTTTTCTTAGATTATGACAGTTATTCGCTGTGCTTTCCCCAAAGAGAACTGCTTCTGGACAAGAGGATAGGGGGGACGTTCATCGTCGGAGAAAACCCGCCGCCGCCACAATCTATTAATGGATTGCCAGCTGCGCCACCCAAACTCGTATTGCGGGCTCCGCACGTGAGCGGACCTTTACCAGGAGACCTACAGAAATGGACCACAGTGTACGGGGTACTTCGGGCATAGGATTCCCAACATTCTAGAAAATCGGCAGTGGATTTTTTTAAAAAAAAAAAAAGCCTTGGCTCGGCAACTCATATGCCGCGTGTCCGTGTCCGGTGTGGTCCGAATCAACACTGTTTTGAAAGGGGCTTTTCCCTGGGTTCGGGAGCAAATCCTCCCCAAAAATGGGGTCAGCCGAAATATCCCAAAATAAAAAATGGGAGGAAAAGAAAATTCCCCAAAAAAGGAATCCACTATTTAGGCACTGAATTCATGCCCAAACGGCAGGGCTTCGATGCCAGCCTTAAGCTTGGCGAAGGATGCATTCCTTTTCCGCCGATGGCCCTGGGTGTTTGTGAAACCGACCCCCGGCGGGACACAGCTTTCAGGAAACAGGTGCCGGGCCGACGGCTCCGAAAAAGGTCCGGAAGAGAAAATTCCTTCCGGTAAGCTCCGCAGGCTTAACTCCTGACCGGAAAACGTAACATTTACACAACGTTCGAAGCAAACCGAGATGTTCTTGATCCTGCAGCCCGTTCTTCCGGCGGAGAGTTTCTTGGGAAAATACTTTGAAAAAGCAAAAATGATCACATTTTGAAATGAAGGAGGGGAAGGGAGGCTTCGTCTCCAAAGGAAAAGGACCTGCATTCCATAAAACTGGACTTGGCGGTGTGTGGAGAGTGCGGCTGCTGCATGCACGCGACAGCGGGATATTGATTCACCGCTTTCCCACTAAAAAAACAGCTAAAAAGGTTCTGGCCTCCCGTCATTTTCAGGCTCTTTCTTTCTTTTTGTTCTCGAAGGGTATCCCCAGACATGAGAACTGGTGGAACATGGACATCGACGGTACTAGGGCCGAGATGACAAGACAATTTGTTCGAGATATAGTTTGAGTAATAATAACCCCTTTGTGGGGGGTGTGGACAGAGAGCTCGAATCCAGTAAAACGCGGACAGGAGTCTTGCACTGTCGTAATGGAAACTGAAAGGGGGTGAAGGAGTGGAGAGAAAAAGGGCGCATAGTATGAAGGAACAGGTGCCAGGCTGCATTGGCTTAGCACTTCCCGTCTAGAGAGAGGAGAAAAAATTTTCTTCCCCCCGAAAAAAGAGGAAAAAAAGAAAAAGAAAAACACCCAAAACGGCTGTCGCAAAGACAAGCTCGAGGAAACTCGAAGTTTTAGAGGATGTAGCACTTGAACCTGGGGATGCAACACCTTTCTCTTCCTTAGCCGACAACCCCGGCACCCGGCTATCTGGAGATAAATGCAAACCAGATCTGACCAGAAATCGAACATAAATGCGGTGACGAGAAAGAAAGTATCGATTCCCATGTCTCAGTGTTCACGGGGTCCTCACCGACGTAGGGAATATACTCGGGGCATATGACCAGAGAATGAAGCGAGGCAGGTGTGGCAAGAAAGAGAAGAAGGAGGGGGAATTCAACCTTCAGTCTTGAGATAAACTTGAGCTTGATTCTGAGTCTTGAGGTACGTGGGTACCTAAATACGTTGTGCTACACTACGAAGTACAGAGTTGGAGACCCTGATCTTCAATCAATTATGCAGAACATCAGGTAATAGCCAATAAGAGACAGCTGATAAGGACCAACCTTACTATTCCCTTTTTGGAGGGATACGCAAGGTACACGAGAATTTCACTTGTACTTCGTACACTGTGTTGGCGTTGAGGGAGCTGTCTGGGGAAGATAGAGGAGGAGGAGAGGGGGCTCTAATACTTCGCACATGCGAGGCGGCAATAGTTCTCTCGATCAATTCCTCGATTGATACTCCTTCGAAGCAGCCCCAATGATCCCTCACATAAATGTGCTGCCCAATATGCAATATCTAGACGCTGAAAGGTCCATCTCTCATTTCTCAAGGTTGTCACTAGGTTTATCTGCACAGTGCCCTCGGGATTCAAACGGACTCTGCACTATCTTCCAATCGTAGGCGCCGGTTCATCTTGGCAAATCCTGCATGAGACGGACATTTCCACATGTACCGTATTATGCATTTCCATTTCAATGCCTGGGGCACCGTATGTACTTACACGAGCGAGTTCATAGGATCGGGAGGTGTACCCTGAGTGAAACGAACTGTTCTCTGTATTCGTCCACTACATACATAAACTACTACGTCCAAGTTGGGGAAAAGAGAAGAGGGGCTGTGGCGGGGATAGTCAGGGGAATGTCTCTTGACAAAGAGGGAGAAGGAACATCGATCTCGACTCCATCAGGTCGCACTTCGTATGGAATACACTACGGCCCACTATGGAAAAGGCACTTGGGCCAGAGAGCCACGCGATGGAGACGATTTGTAACAAAGCTGGTGGAAAGGGAGGAGGGGCCGAGGGGAACCTAGCCCAGATCGACGGGAACGGCAACGGAGGGAAGCCTCAATTGGGCATTATTACCTGTGTACGAAGTTCTGAGCACCAAGTGCTGAGGCATAGTACATATAAAACTCACACATGAAGACGACACATTGCCCTGCTTGTCTTGAGGAAGACAGGGGTCTGGGGTAAAAAGTTAAAACCGTGTTTGCGTCGTTTTGGACGGTTCGAGATTCTTTCTCCGTGGGGACTGATCCCGTCTTCGTTTTCCCTAGTCCTCTGTGTCGTGGACGGTCACCCCACCGTCTAGCTCTCCGTTGTGATTTTGCAAAGTCTGGAGAGACACCCATCGTGCTTCCGAGGAGGGAAAGGATTGCAGCTTAGAGGCCCAAAGGCCACAACAGATAACCGAAGCATCAATACTATGGAGGATCGACCAGACACACCCAGCAAACACCGATGCTCCCCAGTCCAAGCAACCAATGGATGAGTCGAGATAGCTTCTTATGACACGAAACACGGTAGCTGTGCTCGGTTCCTTCCAAACGGGGGAGAAGACAGGTCAGATGGCAGACAATGACTGCGTTCACGGTGGCTGCCGAGACAAAACGTACGACCCCAGCATAAGTCCATCTGTGGACCGTTCCAGAACGTTGGATGCCGACCGAGCTTGGCAGGTTGAGAAAATACAACCCTTTTACGTCTATGATAGGGTTTGCCTGCCTTCTGCTGGCGCTGGGGGTAGGTTTAGGCTAGTCGATACGTCAATGTTTTGTGGTGGCTGTTTTCTAAACTACACATTTTACTCCGTCCTGCTGGCGGATGGGGAGCTGGAATGCGGATGTACACTACTTGCGTGTACCTCTTCCGAGGTCGATTTTCGCAGATTTCCGATGGGAATTTGATCATGTCTCTGTACCCGTACCCAAAATTCAGACTCACGTTCTTCACACTAATTCTCCGCAGGGTCGCACCCTTTCATGTGTTCTCTGTTTTTTCTTTTTAAGATTGATCAATCAAATGCTTTTCTCTTTCTGCGACTTCCCAGTACGGTGATACGATTTGTACAATCGAAAAGTGTATTCGAAGAACGTCTTATCCCTCAGTCGAGAATCAACTAAAACAAACGTGGGCTGACGAGCGGTAACACAGAAAAGCGAGATATCACAAGTGAAAATAGTCAGTTGAGATGGTGGGTTGCACTTGATGAGATCGAGACTTAATGAGCCCTTGCACCCTTCCACCAACCCAAGCGATTTCCTTGGCTGGGCCTGGATTTAAAGTGGTGGTGGTGTGCGGGTGAAGCGTGGCATGCCCCTTCCCATCACCCCACACCTTCCCCGCGGGTAAAGACCCTGGGAATTGCGCAAAAGGAGTTGGGAGTTGATGACTATGAGGAACTGTTTCCTTGAGAGATTCGATCGAGTAATACTTGATAACACAATTAGCAACAGAGTTTGCAGGAATTGCTACTTGGTATGATGCCAACGATGTTAGTGCCCGGCGTACTGTGCTTTTTTTCTTCTTCTCCTCCCAGGAACTATTGCGCCTTTTCTGGTTCTTCCAGGTTGATAGAATCTGGGCGGGCAAGGAAAACCTGGACCTCGGGCTGGGGTGGCGTTCAATACGGATGACAACTTGGAGAGCAGAGCTGGTAGCAAAAGCGGGATCAGCTCAGTCCCAGACCAACCGGCGACAGCAACATGAGCGTGCAGTCGTCCAGTCAGTCACTGGGGATTTGATAGTCCGCAGGCGGTCCTTGCATGCGAGAGATAACTCCTACATATATCAATTGATGGATGGCAAATCTGGTTCTTGGATTTAGACGAGCTGTGACGCGGTATGTCAGTCCCCAAAAAGGCCCGTTTCTTAGCGTTGTAATAGGCCCTATTCGCGTCGCCTTCCACTGGTGTAGTAGTACTTGGTCGATTCTTATTCCCGTTTGCCCGTAAAAACGAATCTACGTTCATCCTGCATCCCCAAGGTCCCGGGATGGGCAATCCATTCCGACGCGTGTCGCCTCTGATAATATGTATGATAATGGATATGTTTCTTATCGTGAATCTCCTCTCGGTGGACGGGGGTGGTCTAAAAAGGGTTGCGCTTTGGAAGAACAATCGGTGTGGTCAAGCGAGTTGTGGTGGCGCCTGACCCCCTCTCCGCCTAATCTGGCGTATGTGTACACAGTCCAGAGGAGTTCGGCTGGTCGGTGTAGGGCGCCGCGAAAAGCAATAATTTCATAGTACGTGCAAGCCACCCAGTCGGGACGCTTAAAGCAACCAAAGGGGAACCTCCCGAGTGGTGCGGAAGAACCTGTCGTGTACAGCAAGACACAAGGCGATACGGTGATTGACTATTTTTTTTCGGTATCTTGTATGATTGTATCTTGGTATCTATTGGAGACCCCGCCTAACAGTTCGCGCCTCAGGTCGATGGCTTTGTGACTAGACATATACCTGACAATTGTGTACTAGAGCGTACTCATATCGTACTGCACTTGTAGCCGGCGGGGTACATTAGGAGTAGCCAGTGTGGTCCCCCGTTTCATATGCCATCAGTTGTTGGCTTGGGGGAAGTCTTATCGCCTCCAAACTTTCAAGGCGAAGGGGAAGGGGGAAACGAGCAAAAGCCAAAGCTGGGAAGCAGGGCGGCTGTTGCTGTCGACAAAAAGGTGGGCGGGCTGTGCCCACGCCCCCCCTTCTAAATCGGGATGACCATCGTGCTGATTTGCCTATCAGCTTAGTGACCAGGATGATGCTCGTGCACTGTGTCTTTCGGCAAGCCCTTGAGTACCGAACCTCGTGTTGCGAATACCGTGCCCCAACAAAGGGAGAGAAAAAGAGTCATAGGGAAACTGGTGACGAATATTGACGGTAGCCAGGAGAGAGAGAGTGTAAAACAAGCGAGGTCGTATATCATACAGGGGGGGAAGGCTCCTCCCTCATCTTTTTTCCCACAGACGATGAGTCGCACCTGAAGAACCTTGCCCCTCTAGACTAATACTTGGTCAGCACATGTTGGGTGAGAGGGAGCACAATTGATTGGGGATGATACTGAGGGGCAGGTACGCCAGGTTCTATCGATAGGCGGTGCGGAAAGGCCGCCCTTCGTATCAGTGAAAGTACCTAGGAGAGTGAGCACAGCACTGCACAGTACGTAAACAGGACGCTACTTCCAGCATTAAAGCGCCTTGGGCGGCCTGGCCAGCTTATTGTGGAAAGAATCCTGGCGGGCCTAGCCAGGGAAAAAAGACCGTATCTGTGCGGTAGCCAGACTCACTGGGTACAGCATTGCGCAGCAGTAGGCTACGGGCTATGTAAGTCATTGACGGTACCCACCATATCTTGTAACTTGTAGTACTTGGCAACTACCCGCAAAATTCATCCTCGGCCAATCCACGCCCTATCGTCATACTTGACAAACCCCACCATGCCCACACGCCCTCAATGTCCCGAATCGCCACCCCCTGCCTCCATTCGCCTAGGCAAACCGCGCTATTATGGAGTAAGTCTCTTATCGGAATCTCCAGGGAGGCACGAGCCTACACAGTCCCGTTTATTGTCCCGTCGACCACCGGTACAGGAACATAAAGACCTCAGGTTTTCCCCGGTCTACTTTCAAGGCCTCGATTTTAGATTTCCCATAAATATCCCCTTAGCTCCCGTGTTCCCCATCAATCCTTATCGCCTTCGACTTTGAAGTCCATATTTTTTCCTTCTTCATTTTCTCTCTTCTGAAACCGCTTTGCCTTTCGTTGTTTGGTTCTAGAAAACGACCACTTTCTGTTACCGATATCTCAAGCACCCACCAACAAAACCCACCTTTAACGCACAACACCAGATACCGCAGCCATGGTACGTGCTAACAAGCCCTCTCAGAAACCCCCGCTGTTGGACTCGTCCGGTACTTCGACCGGAAAGGATGTGGTGCCTTTATCTTCAGAAGAAGAATTGGGATATACTAACGCTTGTTTTTTCGTGCTTCTCTAGGCGTTCACATCGAGAACTGATACGGTAAGCTGCCTTTTTCCGCAGCCGCAAATTCTTCCGCGCCGACAGCGGCGGCGGCCTCCCTTCAGGCTGCGCGCATACAACCGGAGTCACGCTGGAAAAAGGAAAAAAAAAAAAAAAAAAAAAAAAAAAAAAAAAAATTTACTCTTGCTAACAATTCCATCACAGCTCATGAAGTACATGAGCCTCGACCAGAAGGGCAGTGTCATTGCCGAATACATCTGGATCGACTCTGTCGGCAACACTCGTTCTAAGTCCAGGGTAAGTTTTTCGCGAACTATTCTATAACATGCACCCTTGTCTTTGCATCTTCCGCGGATATTTGTTTCCTTTTCTGCCATTCGCTGCTTTCTTTTTGCGAGTCTTGGTTTCTTTCCCATTGGGGGCGAGAAACCCGGTGCGCTCTGCCTGCAGGTGGAGGGGCAAGGGCATGCTGTGACTAATGGTGATGGTGGGGCTGGACGCGGTCTTCGCCGGCGGTGGTGGTGTGCTCAGATTACTAATCTGCACCACCAACGCCACGACCGTCAACTTGTGTGCCCATCATTTGGATCGTGAGTCTCAAGACCACGATCGAGGTGTCGGGTTCACTTTTTTGCAGCATTGCGTCGTAGCCCCAGCATTTGGCTGAGATTGGCAGGCAACCTGGGGGAACGGATTCACGATGATTTTAGGCGCGAACTTGCTCTTAGCATATTTTGCTTTTTTTTATCCTCTGAAGCCCAGCCTTGACTAACACCATCCGTTGCAGACGCTCCCTGCTAAGGAATACACCCCCGCGGACCTCCCCACCTGGAACTTCGACGGTTCCTCTACCGGTCAGGCCCCTGGTGAAAACTCCGATGTCTACCTGAAGCCTGTCGCCGTCTTCGCCGATCCCTTCCTTGGCTCGCCCAACATCCTTGTCCTCGCTGAGTGCTGGGACAACGATGGCACGCCCAATAAGTACAACTACCGCCACGAATGCGCCAAGCTCATGGAGGCCCACAAGGACAGGAAACCCTGGTTCGGTCTGGAACAAGAGTACACTCTCCTCGGTGATGATGACAGGCCCTATGGCTGGCCTAAGGGCGGTTTCCCTGCTCCTCAATTCCAATATTACTGGTATGTGGATGGAAGCGATCGTATTTCACAAAGCGTTTGACAACAAATTGTACTAACCCCCGAAACAGCGGTGTTGGCTACGGCAACGTCGTCCAGCGCGACATCGTCCTTGCGCATTACAAGGCCTGCTTGTATGCTGGTATCAACATCTCCGGTACCAACGCCGAAGTAATGCCCGCTCAGGTATGTTGTGACTCGACCTCAATTGAAATCTTCTGCGCAATATGAAACTAACAGCGAGTAGTGGGAATTCCAAGTTGGCCCGTGTGAGGGTATTGCGATGGGTGATCAACTCTGGGTTGCCAGGTTTATCCTCAACCGTGTTGCTGAGGACTTCGGCGCCAAGGTTTCCGTACACCCCAAGCCCATGAAGGGTGACTGGAACGGTGCTGGTCTCCATACCAACTTCTCCACCGAGGAGATGCGTGTCGAGGGCGGCATGGCTTACATCGAGGCTGCCATCAAGAAGCTCGAGGCCCGCCACGCCGACCACATCGCCGTCTACGGTGAGGAGAACGAGCAGCGCCTCACTGGCAGGCACGAAACTGGTGCCATTGACCAATTCACTTGGGGCATTGCCAACCGTGCTTGCTCTATCCGTATCCCTAGGGAAGGTGAGTTTTTATTACCTGAGTTGTATGCGCAGGAGATGTCGACATACTAACTATTTCCTAGTTGGTGCCAAGGGCTATGGTTACTTCGAGGACCGCCGACCTGCCTCCAACGCGGATCCTTACAGGATTACGCATGCCATTATGCTCTCATGTTTCGGCGATGCCGAGTAAGGGGAGCATGGGAGAGTTGGGGTGCTTTTGATGGTGGTGGCGCATATACCGAATACCTGCGTTGCCTTCTTTCTTCTTCTTTTCTTCTTAGTTGTGTGTACGCACTATTAATAATAGCAGCGTTGTGTGTTGTTCGTTGTTGCGCGATGTGTTAGATTAGAGAATCTGGACGGGGACAGCGGCATACCGAACCCCCTGGGAGTGCGTCTTGAACGCATGGTCCCTAAAGCATGAACATATTTTAGACTGGCAGACAAGCTGATTGCTAAGTCTTGCTGCACTGACGGCGTTCGTTTTTGTCTTTTTATAGTTATATGATGATGGGAACTGGGTACACAATACTTGCACTCGTAATGAAGATCGGATCCGCCTCTGGAGTCAACTTACACCTGTCAATTCGGAAACTGCTCTCGTGATATTGGACTTGGAACGGAATGTAATACTCCCCTCCATGGATGCTCAGAAGATGGTCTTGGTGAGACGTGAAGTGGTGTAAGAGTGCCACTTCTGAGGCGCATTTCGGGATATAATATATCATGAACTTTAAGGCTTCGTATTCTCTCCAGTCTTGCCTTGTTCCTGAAGACATCACACCAATCTGGGGCCTTGCGAAGAGACCGGGCCTTTTGATTGACGTCGAGATGCATGTCATGGATGCAAGGGGGAAGATCAATAAATAACAGCTGCTAACGGCTGTCAACATATGTCATTTCCATTGCCAGCCCCTCGCCGCGAAACACGCATTTTTGGTCGCGTCTCGACGCGTGCCCCCCGCGTACAATTGAATACAGCTTGGACCAGTCTTGCAATCCACCCGATATATTAACAGAGCTCACCTGCGCTAATACACCTTCTCGACCTTCAATTATATGTACCAACTACCTTGAGGATAGTTCTATTCCTCACGAACCTCCTTCCGCCCTCATATCTTGTCCATATCGTACCCAATTCCTTGACCAATTCTCAATCTCGAGCCTTTATTGATACAGCATGAGAACATCGACACAATAATTACGTTAACACGACCTAGTCCTCTCCCAACCCATCCATCTTCCCCTTTCCGACTACACCATGTCCTCGACTCGGTCGTCAAGTCCCGTCGAGGGAGGATCGCCCCTAGGGGCGTTCCTCTCGCCCAAGTCGAAGATGAAGGCGCTCCTCGCTACGGTCGGGAGTGATTCCGAAGACGAGTCCCCGGTCCGAACTCCAAAGATTGCCCGACGATCACCGATCCGGAGGGCAGAGCTGAGCTCTGACAGCGAAGATGAAATCGTGCGGCCACGAGGCCGGTTCGCGGCACAGATGCTCGCGTCGGTCGAAGAGACATCCAATACGGAGACGAAAACGGAGATAAATCCCTCCGAGAGCGCCAGAGAACGTGTTCGAAGGCTGCTTGAACTTGGTGTCAGTGACGCGACAGAAGATACACGGGAGGACCGAGGCAACGATGCAGATGAAGATGTCCCCGTTGCCCGAAGGAGACTACGGCCTGCTGCCGAGAGGGCATCTACCCCAGAGACGGCGGACTTTGCAGCTCCCACCTCTAGCCCGGGTCTATTCGTCTCGCCCGGCCAGAAATCCGCCCATGGTGAAGACGAAACCAGACATTCCTCAAACGAAGCCTCAGACGACGACACGATGAAAAAACTACGCAAAAACGCCCGCTTCCAAGCCCTCGTCGAGCGGAAACGAAAAGAACGCGAGGCCCGCGAGGCCGAGGAAGAAGCCAAGAAGACCGCCCGACTAGCTCGCCTACAACAAGGAGAAGGTGACGAGCGACCCACAACACTCGAGCTCTTTTCCGATTCCGAAGGCGGTAACACGTCGAGTATCACAGACGACGAGGGCGGTCGTCGTCTCACGCAGAAAGTAAGACCGACGCGTAAAGCGAGCAAGAGGGCCATTGAGGAGATGAATCGGGAGACGCAAAGGATGGCGAGGAATATGCAGCTTGCGCACCAGGCGAAGACGAAGAAGAAGATTACGAAGGCTGCGCTTTTTGAAAAGTTTGGGTTTAAGCCTGCGGATGGCGCGAGTGCATCGGAGCCGAAGACTTTGAGCTCGAGCAGACCGACTACGCCGGTTTCGGATGTGGAGATGGGGAATGGGGAGACACCGCCTAGCTCGCCTCCTACTGTCCGTACACCGAAACAAGCTGCTGAAGCTACCAGTGCTGAGGCGGCGGCGCCTGCTGAGGAGGGCATGACCACGTCTCCTAGTAAAATCGAGGTTCCCAAGGCTTCTGAATTACCGAAGGAAGTTCACCCGAAACGTCGTATTCGTGTGAAGCTTCCGGTGAATCTTGTAACGATCGACTCCGACGACGAGTTGAGCATCACCGCCACGAGAAAGAGCAAGCTCGACGCCATCTTCGACCGCGTCCCCAAGGACCAAGCCCAAGAGCCCAAAACCTTCCAAACATTCCGAGCCCTCGCCCAGCTCACGTCCCCAGGAAAGGCCGCCAACTGCCGCCGCAGGGGCGAGAAGCCGTGCATGACGCCGGCAGAAATGCAGGCCATGCTACGCGCACGCGCCCGGCAGCAGGCCAAGGACGAGAAGCAGCGCCGCATCGAGATGCTCAAGGCCAAGGGCGTCGTGATTCAGACGGAAGAGGAGCGCCTCAAGGAGATTGAGGAGGTGGAAGATATCGTGGCGAGGGCGAGGGAGGAGGCGCAGGAGATTATGCAGAGGGAGAGGGAGGAGGCGAAGAAGGAGAAGGAGGAGAGGAGGAAGAATGGGGAGGTGGTGGACAGTTTGGATTGGGATGATAGCTCTGATGATGAGGACTACAAGGAGGAACGCGAATCTGGTGGTGAGGAGGAGCCTGATGAGTTGGCTGAGCTTGAACTTTCCGGGTCTGAAGAGGAGGAGGAGGAGGAGGAAGAGGATGGTGACGATGAGGCTGAGGATGGGGATGATGAAGAGGAGGCGCCTAATCCTCTCTTTGACAACGAGGCCGATGAGGATGAGGATGAGGAGAAGGAGGTTGGTGATATCGCCATGGGGGATGATGATGAGGAAGAGCTGGTCATGATCAAGACCAGGAGGTCAAGGAAGACGCAGGTCTTGTCTGATGATGACGAGGAAGATGCTGTCGCCATTGACGCTACTCCCAAGCCCAAGGCGGCCTTTTCCAAATCTCCCGCTCCCCCTTCGACCAAGTCTCCCGCCGCACCCATGTCCGTCCTACGGTCGGCGACCAAGACTTTTATCCCCGGCCTCCCCGTTGCCCCTGCTGGTCCCGCTGGGCTCGGCCTCACGCAGATGTTCGCTGCTACGATGGATGAGAGCCAGAGCCAGATGGGTGGCACGCCCAGCCAGTTGATGGACACGCCCCGACCTACTTTTGACCCCTTCGCTCGGCAGAGTTTCGTCGCCAGCACGCAGGACATGAATCATGATGACGACGTAATCATGGACAGCCAGCCGCCGCTTCAAGAAACCCTCAGGGAGGAGACTCAAGGGGGTATGGACCTGCACTACTCGCAGACCCAGATGCGGAACCTTGACAGTCTTGTTCGCGAGGACACACAGCTCTCCGATTTCATGCCGTTTACTCAAGATGGTGGCCTCGAGGACCATACTCCCCTCAAAGAGAGATTCATCGATGCTCCTGACTCGAGTGCCACTCCTGGCACTGTTTTCGGCGCGACTCCAACCCCCGATTCCATCCATGAGTCCCCGCTTATTAGGAGAGGAAGGCTACGGCGCAAGCTAGATGTCATTGCTTCTATTAACGAGGAACTGTCTCAGGTCGCTGAAGAAGAAGAGGCGCGCGAAGGCAGCCCCAGTCCCAGCCCGCAGAAGGACGAGTTCGGATTCAACACGACCACCGCGTTTGGGGTCTTGCAAAAGGCAGCTCGTGACGAAGAGAGGCGCAAGAGGAGGGAGGAGAAGCTCAAGGAGTTTAACAGGAAGAAGAGCAAGGCGAAGGAGATGATTGAGGAGCAGGCCGAGGAGTCGGAGGATGAGTATGCGGGCCTTGGGGGTGTGGATGAGGATGACGATAGCGATGGGGACCTCGCGTCGGTCAAGGATCTGATTGATGATGAGAAGGGGGCTGCTACGGCGGAGGACGAGCGGAAGCTCGCAGCTTTCTATGCGTAAGTTACAACACAAACCTGAGCCATCCCCAAAACCTTTGGCTAACAAATCTCTACGCAGCGATCGGGAACGCGCCGACGACGAGAAGCAAGTCGAGAAGCTCTTCAAGGACATCACGACGGGCATGCTCCGCCGCAAGCGTGCCAACGACTACGACCTCTCGGACTCGGATGACGGCGGCGAGGCGCGCAAGCGCATGAAGCGTAAGCAGTTTGCCAAGATGCAGAAGGCGCTCTTCGCCGACGAGCGCGTCAAGAAGATCGCCGAGATGCCGGGTAACCAGGCCTTCATGCGGACCCTCGAGGACCGAGCCAGCGATGATGAGATGGATTTCATTGATATTATCGAGGATAATACTACGGAGACGGAGGATTCGCAGTCGCAGCAGCAATCCGATGATGGTGCTTCTGCGCGTGTCCTCGTTCCCAACAGCCAAGCGGACGTCAAGAAGGCTGCTAATGGAGGGGAAATACGAGCGCCGGCGCATATGAGGAGGACCAAGGATGGCAAGAAGCCGTCTGATATTGGGCAGATTCGGGAGTCTCTTTCGAGTCTGCTTGATGAGCCTCTGGGATCTGTCGTTCCTGCTACGGAGGTTGGCAGCGATAGTGACGACGATGAAGAGAACGACGACGAGCGTGGTGATTCGAGGTCGCGGAGCAACAAGGAGAATATCAGCCCACCCCCTGGCGCATCTACGACCTTAAACCGCAAGGGACCAGTCATCCACGACCGACTCTCCTTCAAGCGCGGTAATTCCTCGACGACAATGACAGGACGCCGCGCCTTTTCGCGCAGCGCCTCTCAAGCAGGCAAGCCGCCCACGCTCCTCCGCCGCGCAACGTCCAACTCGTTCATGTCCAACAACGTTGGCGGCAGCGGTGGCATCTCGGGATCCTCTTCCGGAACAAACTCGCCCCTGACGACGGGGTCGGACAGCGACATGTTCGGCGGCGACAAGATCCGCAGGGGCGCCGCCAAGGGGTCTAGTATTAGTTTCGAGAGGAAGGGGGCGAGGCCTTCGGCGGCGGAGGGGTTGGCGATGAGGAGGACGGAGAGGAAGTTGAAGGGGGCGGAGGAGAGGTTGATAGCTGCGAGGGGGTTGTTGGGGAGTGGCAAGTTTGAGTGATTGTGTGGGTTTGGGTCTTAGGGGCTGGGTCATTGGATGGATTTCATCGGATTTGGCGTTTGGCATGGGGAAGCGAGGGATCCATGTGGGTTTGAATGAGGATATTATTATTACTACATTGATTGGCGGGGTCTCGCGACATGGTAAAATATGAATACAGATCTGTACAGGCATTTCTTGCTCTAGAGTTTAAGCTACAGTTGGTGACTCCCATATGTGTCTCTGGATGGACAGCTTAGGGCCTAGTTGTCTAGCCGTTCAAGGTGGATGAGGCCGTTGGGGGGCTATTGTCGTCAAGTTAGCACACCGAGCGACACGCAAAATAGAGAGCCGCAAAGGGAACCTCACCGGTGAGAACTGTCGCAGCTTGACACCAGCCTCGCGAAACACGGCCGCAGTATCGGTATCCATGCTATACCCCTGACTATACACGACCTCACTAATACCAACCTGGCAAATCTTGATACTGCAAGTCAAGCAAGGGCAAGTATCGCAATACAACACGGCGCCGTCCCTGATCCTCTCCCTACCGGCCTCCAGCAGCGCATTCTCCTCGGCGTGGATACACAAACACGTAGAGAGACCCACGCCAGAAGAATTCGCCTCGTTGCACCGCGTACAGCCGCCCTCGGCGCAATTCCTCAAACCCCTCGGCGTGCCGTTATACCCCGTGCTAATGACGCGTTTTTCCCTGCCGACGAGGACGCAACCGACGCGGCGCTTCATGCAATTCGAGCGCTGGGCGGCAAGCGACGCGAGGCTCATGAAGTAGCTATCCCAAGAAGGCCGTAGCCGTTCGGGGTTCGCGAGGTCGATTTTGCCAAGCGTAGCGTATAGATGGGCCAGCGATTCAGACGTGTTGAGCAGGCGGACGGAAGCGCGGGAGATCAACGGCTGGAGCCCCGTGGTGGGGTCGTACAGGTGGGCGTCGGATTGGGCGACGAACTGCTCGAGGGTGAGGTCCAGCCGGTGGGGCTGGGCCTGGAAGCGGCGGTGGCGGATGACGAGGGGGCTGTCGACGGAGACGAGGATGAAGAAGGGGCGGCGGGAGAGGAGATCGAGGATGGATTCGTTGTGGATGTTTGTTGTTACAAAGCGGGAGCGCCAGCGTTTGGTTACGAAGTCGAGGAGGGATTCGACGGTGGGGAAGGTGTAGGGTTGTGAGGGGTGGGTGAGAGGGAGGGGTTGTTGTTTCTGGTCGGAAGAGGAGGAGGTGGTGGTGGTGGAGGATGGAGTGGATTGGGAGGTATCCTGGGAGGGGGGCTCGAGGTAGAGGTGTTTGAAGCCGTGGTGGTCGACGAGGTATTGGGCTACGGTTTTCTTGCCCGAGCAGATGCCTTGGACGAGTGTTAGTCTATGGATTGTGGGGAGAGCGGAAGAGCAAGGGGGGATACAAACCACCACAGATGCCGATGAGCATTGTTGCGGTTATATTTCGTCCTGAGACGCACTTCTTTCGGCAATTGACTGTATATTTTTCGAAACAAGCAGATGATGGACTGGACCTGTCTCGCCCGTCGTCTAGATGTCGAGATGTCTGTGCAGCAACCGATGATACCTTCCTCGACTTGGTCGACTTGGTTGACTTGATTAAGCAAGGAAAAACCAAGCCACGTGACTTTTGCGCTTGACGCGTCGCAACGCGTCTTGGAATTGCCGGAATTCAGCCATGACGTATGACTCTTTTCAATTGCTGCCTGTCACCTGGTGGCACCCAGCGCCAACAGGTACCCCTCCATCCACAACCAGTTAGATCATCAGCAGCTCCCACTTTCCGACTCCCACTTCCCACTTTAGCAAGCGTGAGCATCGTGATCTGCTCATCCCGCAATTGCCAATTACCAATTTACCCCACGTTACGTCGCACTTTGTACTCATCTTCTCAGCACAAGGCAGCCTCCTCTTGTGATGCTCCCAAATAAACCACTGACTCTGACCTCCTGACCTCTTTCGGAAGAATAAGACATGTAGATGGTCTAAATCTTCATCTAGGTTCTTCTTTCAAATAGCACTTTCTTCTACGCATTTATTTTCTCATCCTGGGAGTCCCTTTCCCATTTCACTCGCTGCTTTCTACCTTCTCCATCTTCCTTATTTGTCACATACCCTCAGCTCACCATTTCGCGGAAACAACAACCCTCACAAAAGCAAACACGAGAACTACAGCACCCAAGATACGATGACAGCACCTGCTGGAGCGGCTTCCCTTGTGGGAAAGCCCATCCGGTTTGTTCCCAACACGTCTGCGATTGAGCTGCCCTTTTATGCGAAGCTGTTTGCGCTCAAACTCGACCATGACAAGCTCAATGACTCAATGCGTCCGGTCTTGGGCCTCTACGAGCCCCTCAAAGTCGAGCCCGAGTATAGCAGCAAGATCCAGATTCTGGGAAATGCCCTGACCAGTGACGAGTACGCCAGTCTCTACGTCTCTCTCTCCCTCCCAATCTCCATTCCACTTAGAGAGCTCTGTTTGTTCCACGCTAAGAAGAAAATCACTGACGATACTTTCCTCCTGAAGGGGCCCCCATGGAACTTGTCGCGCTGAAGGCCAGATCAGGAACACGAACACCATGGAGGAATTCAGGAATCTTGATAGGCCTACCATTCTAAGAAATTCCGCACGTTCGGTACGATGATGATGGCTCTTTGATCGCTAGTGTAGTTTGCGACGAGTTTTACTGACGCTCATTTTCACGTGCGCGCGTGTTTGCAGATTTGGGATGCAATCAAAGACGGCTCCATCTACTCGGTCCCGTCGCTCCTCTCGTCCTTCATCATCATCTCCTACGCCGACCTGAAAAAGTACCAGTTCACTTACTGGTTTGCTTTCCCAGCCCTTCACTCCTCGTGGATCCACACCGCCGATTCCGCTAAATTCACCGAGGATGAGATCGAAACCTTAGAAGGTAAAGTTGGAACATTCCAGAGGAACCGCGAGGAACAACGACAACATGGATATTTCCTGGCCAAGAAGGTGCCGTATTCCCCCGACGAGTCGGAAACGAACGATAAGCTCGCCGAAGGCCTCGGCTACAGCTGGAAGATCGGACCCCTTGGCGACTTCGAGAGGGGTTTCTTTGAAAACGTCCCTGAGAAGGACAGATACGTCTGCTTTGTCGATCCTTCGACTTATGAGCACAGTCCTGGCTGGCAGCTGAGAAATCTCCTAGTGCTGATCCAGCATCGATTTAAGCTCAAGGACGTGCAGATTCTCTGCTACCGAGACACCCATGAGACACGCCACCTTTGCAGAAGCATCGTCCTACACATCGCGCAGGCACCCTCACCCGGTTCCACCGTCATTGCCAATGGCGCAGACGGTGAGATGCCCAACATTACGGGCTGGGAGCGAAACGGAAGGGATCTCCGCGCCAAGCAGGTCAATCTTGCCGACTATATGGATCCGTCGAGGATTGCTGACCAGGCTGTGGATCTGAACCTCAAGTTGATGAAGTGGCGCATCGCCCCGGGCCTGAATTTGGACGCCATCAAGTCGACAAGATGTCTTTTACTCGGTTCTGGCACGCTCGGTAGCTACGTCGCCAGAAACCTCATGGGCTGGGGTGTTCGTAAGATTACCTTTGTCGACTACGGCAGGGTCTCGTTTTCGAATCCCGTCCGCCAGCCTCTATTCCAATTCCAGGACTGCCTCGAAGGTGGCGTGCCCAAGGCGCCCCGCGCCGCTGCAGCCCTCAAGGAGATTTACCCCGGAATCGAGAGCGAGGGTCACGTTCTCACGGTCCCCATGCTGGGCCACCCTTTCGTGGACGACGGATCGCAGACGAAGGCGGATTTTGAAAAGCTCGAGGCGCTCATTAAGGATCACGATGCCATTTTCCTGCTCATGGATTCGCGAGAGTCTAGATGGCTGCCTACGGTCATGGGTAAGGCGGGAAAGAAGATTGTGATCAATGCGGCTTTGGGCTTTGACTCGTATGTGGTCATGCGCCATGGTGCTGAGGACCCTGTCGAGGGACACACACCGCTTGGATGTTACTTTTGCAACGATGTCGTTTCCCCGGCCAACGTAAGTCAAGCCGAAAAAATCATCATAATTCTCCTTTGCTAATTCCTGAATTCGCAGTCTATGAAAGATCAAACGCTCGACCAGCAATGCACCGTCACGCGCCCGGGAGTCGCGCCCATCGCATCGGCCCTCGCCGTCGAGCTTCTCACCAGCATCCTTCAGCACCCACTTGCCCACCGCGCTCCCGCGCCCCAGCCCACGGGCGGAGTCACCGCCGAGCGAGACCCTCCCGAGCACGCTCTGGGGTTGGTTCCGCACCAGATCCGCGGCTACCTGTCGACCTTTCAAACCCTGAACATTCTCGGCCAAGCTTATCCCAATTGCAGCGCGTGTAGCGCCCCCATCTTGGACGCGTACCGAAAGGACGGCTGGGAATTTGTTAAGAGAGCGCTTCTTGAGAAGGATTACATCTCGGAGCTGTCGGGCCTCGCGGAGATTCAGCGTCAGGCCGAAGCGGCGGAGGCGGATCTCGACTGGGATGATGAAGAGGATGGCCTTGGCAAGGTCGAGGAGGGCGATGGCGAGCTTCTCTAGATGGGAAACTCCAGTAACGACTTCAACGACGGCGAAGCTGACGGGGACTTTGTCCAGGTTGTACCTCAGGCGGATGCTGCGCATGAGGCGCCGCTTTGGTATAGCCGTATTTTGCCTGGCTCGGGGGTTCGATGAGGAGGTGTGTTTCGCCGAGGCGGCGGTTAGGTGAAGATTCTGAGAGGGCGGCCATGAGTGATGGCCGTGAGGATAAGGGGTGACCATGAAGATGAGGGATGAACCTGATATTTTGCAAAATGCGTCTCATACTACGAAGCATTTTACATCTTTGAGGTGAAGGGGAAGAGGAAGTGCCTTGATGCCCTATTCGAGGCTTGGCTTTGAAGGTGTTCGATGATTGCTTTATCGATGAAACAAAGCTCTGGACAATGCGTCCTTTTGCTTCGTTTCCTTACGTTTTTTTTTTTTCTTTTTATAAAGGAGTTTAAGGTTAGAGAATAGGCGATGGAAGGGGGACGAACGGCAACACTTGAGCGAATGGTTTTTTTTTGCTTGGCTTTTTGCGGGGTCTTGTGGATGGACCTTGTGTATTATAGCTACGAGATCAAGGAGGGAGACATCGATGCGGAATGAAAAGGTTTTTTTCTCCCCAATGCAAAATTTGCTTGACCTGTTTGTTATGTGTGGTATGCCAGCCAGGCGGGAGCCATTCCCTGATGTAAGCGAGGACCTTCATTGCTTGTAAAGAAAATGAGCTCTAAGAGGAATGATAGGTAGGTAAAACCACGTCGGGTATCATGTCGCCAAGTGACTCCGATGCCGTTCAAATTTAGGGCCTGCTTCCGTGCTCCCCCTTTTGAATGTTTCTCGCCAAGTGATTTTTTGAAATGAGCCTTTGACCCAGTCCAGAAAAGAAGCACAGCGCTGAGGCTATAATGGTGCGGAGATGCCTTCTCTTCCCTCATCCCGCCCCCCCCCCCCGGGGGGGGGAGAGATGAATTAATTTTTTTTTTTTAAAAAAAAAAAAGAAAAAAAAAAAAAACAGAAACGCCATAGTTTCAAACCCAGACTCCTTACTTTCCTCCCTCTTTCTCTCTCCCAGCCCGTCAGAAAACGACAAAGAAAGTCCAAATATCCGTCTCCTCCTCCTCTCTGTTAACCAAACTTCCTCGACCCCCCCTTCCCCCCAACCCTCTCCCCCGCCTCCGTCTTCTTCCCCTTCCCAATCAACTCCAGATGTCCCGCCCTCTCCCCTAGAAGCTGCTCCGTCCTCGCTACCAATCCCGAGGTGAACTTCTTCGTAGCCTTGCGGGCTGCCGTCGTCTTGGCCTTTTGGGGCTTCGTTTTGGAGACGGCGTTGCGTTGTTGTTTCTTCGTGTGGGGTTTTTTGGCGGGTGCGCCAGGGCGGGGTTTTAGTTTTGTGGTTCCTTGCGCCATTGTGCCTTTTTTTTGTCGGGGTTTTCGACGGGAGATGTGGGAATATCGTGTGTCTTGTGGGGGTTTTGATCGATTCAAAGTTGTCGTTGAAGGTGGATGGAGAGACGGTAACTTGGAAAATATAAAAAATTGGCGGGGAATAAATTCTGCCAGGCGGTATCGATTAGATAGTCTTATCGATATGCATCTACCGAATCATATTTCTGTATCGAAGCACGGCGTCCTGACAACATCTCGGAACTGCCAAAACATCACCCAGAGGGGAAAAAAAAAAAAAAAAAAAAAAAAAAAAAAAAGAGAGAGAAGGAAAAAAATTGTGCCGCCACGGCTGGATTCGAACAGGTGTGGCCCCGTCCCCTTGCGCCATTCCATGGCAGTTGGGGCGCTCCCAACTGACCATATAGTATGGTGCTTCCGTGCCGGTTGATGCCTTCGAGATGGCTCTTCCTTATAAGGCTATGGCGCCTGCGTTCGAGTACTACATACACAATGTTACACTTGCCACGAAGAACTCATACAGAGACTCGAACAAGAGCAAGGGAGTCAACCAGTCCAGGAGTATCGAGACAAAACACCCATAGACGCTTCCTGCATCTACATCTATTATCAATCCGTCTACCAAAACCCACTGTATATCTATATCAAAATGCAATGCAGACAAACAAAAGAAGAATGAAACAAAGCAAAACGGCTGTATGCCACGTAGGAAGAGCACCTCCTCCTTCTCATCACGCATCAAAAATCCTCTCAATACCCCCCCAAGTCCCCTTCGCCCTCTCCTCCCAATACCCTTCCTTCCCCCCCTTAAACCTCCAAACCTCATCTCCTTCAACCCCATCCGCCACCTTGACGAACCACTTCGGCCGATGCGCCTCTCCCTTCTCCTCCATGACGCGCCGCCTAGCGCGCTGCGCCTCCTCGAGCCTAACCTTCCATTCCTCCGCCTCGTCGAGGTCCCCTTGTTCGGCGAGCCTCTGGTCGGGTCGTAGTCTCGAGTCCGTGGGAGGCAGTTTGCCCTTCTCGACGGGGGTGATCTCGTTGAGGGATGCGGCGAACGCCGTGAGCCCGTACGCCTGCGTCGCATTCTCCGCGAGAGGCCCCGCCTTCCAGATTTCTACGCCAGCCGCTTTACCAGCCTCGACAATGCGGAGTCCACCCGTCCATGTGCCAGAGAGGCTGCTGCCTGTGTGGACACCCTCGGCGCTGTACGTTTCGACCTGCACGTCCTCGCCGCGGCCGCCGAACATGCCCTTGCTTCGGAACTCGACGGTGGCTTTGGCGCCCGTGCTGTCGTTGACGACGTTCATCGTGCCCACGGGCTCAACGTACTTTTCGCCCATGACCACGTTGCGCAGGAACATCGTGGCGATATTCCACGAATAAAACTCGTCCGACCCGTCCGCCAGCCTCAACGCGATGCGCACCCGGCCCTCCGTGTTGATCTCGGCGCTCTTGCCCCAAAACTTCTGCGACGGCGCGGGCGCCTGCGTGAACGACCAGTTGGCAGAGTCGGCGTGCATCGCGAGCCGCACGGGTCGGTGCGAAACCTTTTCCACGAGTAGGCGGAAGCCGCCAGGGACGTCGGACTCGGTGCGGATCAGCTCGTAGGTTTCGCCTAGGAGCGGGTTGAACGGCTTGCGCACGGCGCGCTCCCTCGCCCGCGCGTTGCTGAACTGCGACACGGCGAATGCCGCCACGTAGAGCATGCGCTCCTTTTCAAGCCGGGCTTTCGCCGCCTGATCAAGGAGTTGCGCGTACTCGAGCTGCTCGGCGACCTTTTGCAGGAGGGAAACCGGCTCGTTGGCAGAGACAGGCATGCTGATCGTGCTCAGGTCTTTGCCGACGTTCTTTCGGAAAAACGCGATGAGGCTGGGCGGCAACGTCGTCGCGGGCGGTATCGTCGTGCGTCGCTTAACGACTTCTTGGATGGGCAAGGGCGCGAGCGTCTTTGGCCTGGGGGGGAAGAACTGATACGTTCCGCCTAGCGCTACCGTCTCATCGTCGGACACCGTCGAAGACCCGGACGAGCTATGCACCGACACATAATCGGCGTCCGAATGAGGCTCATCTTCGCTGCGCTGGATCCTAACGATTCGCGAATCCACCTCTCCTCCACCGACGCCGCCGCCCTGTTCGGCGTCGAAAAACTCATCGGTAGTGGTCGAATCGATACTCTTCCTCGAGAGCGCCGGCGAGTGCGGGTGCTCCAGCTGCCTCCTCCGCCTGCTCCTCGAGATGAGGCTAGTAAACTCGGCGAGCACCGAGTCCAAGTCAGTCAGTAGCGCCTGGCAATGCTCCTCCGTCGAGAGCTCCTCGTGATGATGACTGCCACTCCTCGACTTGCGCTTTTCGCTCTTGCTAGTAGATCTATCGGCAGATATCGTAGTGGTGAGGCCAAGATGGCTCGGCACGGCGAGTGTCGAAGAGCCCGACTGTAACGGAGCAGTTGCAGCCTGTGTGGCGGCCAGGGCAGCCAGAGCTGACGTGCTTGGTTTGCGCTTCCAGAATAATGATCGCCTCTCAGGTTGCTGAGATGGTGTCGCATGACCGTTGGCATCGGCGGGGCTTGCAGCGCTAGTGGCGGAATGTCCGGAAGCGGGTGCAGAAGCAGCAACAGAAGAAGAAGCAGACCCAGCCTGATTCGCGATATCCTTGACTAATCTGCGCAGCGCATCACGGGTTCCAACGATGCGACTCACGAGGGTCTCCACCTGCTGCCATTCCTTTTCCTCTTCGGGGTTGATTTTCGTCACAGGTAGGGCCCTAAAGGCTTGCGCAGCCTCAACCTGCAAGCGGGGGATTGCGGTAGCGGGTTGTGGAGCGGGCTCAAGTCCGCGAGCGATGCGACTGGCCCTCTCCAGGGCGCGAGCCCATTCGGTAAATTCCTTGGCGTTCGACGCCTTGAGATGCCACACCTCGGCACCCGAATCGATGCTAATCTCGCGACGGCTCTCGTCGGCGGCGATGGCGGCAAGACTAAGCGGGATGGCGCCACGCAAGGCAGACGATCCACGGCTATGGTAGTAGGATAATGTGCACGACGAGTAATCGAGAGAAAAGAAGCGCCGAGCGTATCCCTGGCCCTTCTTCCTCCTGCGCTTTAGCAAATTGCCGACATGGTATGTTGCGGGAGCATTAGGCCCGGGCTCGCTGCGACCGGAAACAGACGCAGCATTCTGACCGGTAGCGGAGTGGCTATGCAAGCTGTCAAAGGAGCCCGCAGCGACGGGATTCAGGCGAGGACTGTTGTGTCGGCCAAGGCTTGTGCTGCTCGTGCTAGCCTTGTTCGTGATTCCGAGGTTCGGTAGGTGGTGGGTCGTCTGCGGCGGCGATTCGGTAGGGTAGATTAAGAGAACAAAAGTTGCCGTCTTTCCTGTCTGTTTAGAAAAGGTGTTGTCGAATACGAGGCCGTACATGCCACCCTGATTGTGGCCGACGTCGAAGATGCCCATGGACACCTTGTCGGCTTCGCATTTTCCATGCCATGTTATGGGTATGAAACCTTTGGAGGCCAACTGGTCCTGGGCGGTGGAGGAGTCCTTTTTGGCAAAGGTTTTGGATTTGGCGTCGGCAACGGTAGTGAGGGTGCTCGAGTCGACGTCGGGAAGCGCGGCAGTGAGGTTCGTTCCGCCAGAGCCGGGGTGCTTGACAATACCAAAGTTTCTAAACGTTGCGTGAAAAGAATACAGTTAGCTTTTTCTTGGTCAAGGTATGCGGCGAGAAGGAGAGGCTGATCGCCGGAAGCGACCGGTTCGCGGGGCGTCGATCCCAGCGAGGCGAGAGGGATCGTGGCGCGGGAGGACGGCAGAAAAGGGTTCGAGGATGCGCGACATACAAAGATTTCTTGTGAGGCTGGAGGTTCCAGGAGATGCTAAAGCCCTGCTCAACCTTAACCCAGCGTACAATATAGGACTAAGAAAAGGGGGGGAGTCAGACAACAATACTCGGCCAAAGAGACGCATCAGGCGCAGGGCGGGATGGTCTTCTCAACCCACTGCGCCCGCCAAGCACATTCCAAGGAGAAGAGGAGAAGAGGAGAAGACCTAGGGGAGACGAGACGACACACCTTGCTGTGAACCTCGAGTTGTTCGATGCCCGCCATTTTCGCCGAACAAAACTAGCTTCGATTCCCCCCTTAGCGAGTCGGCTCAGCGCAGGGCGATGTAGAAAAAGAGGCTCCGGAAGGAACGGGTCCTGACGATCGTCTCAAACGGGCGACTTAGTCTTCTCAAGCAAACATCGCGCAGCAAGAATCTCTGCTTGGGGCTTGATGAGATGGGCGGGGCCGAGCTAGATGGAGACGAGATCGAAGTGAATGCAGTGCCCAGCAGGGATATGAAAGCCTGGGGTGCAGACGCAAGAGAAGCCTCGTTGGCAAGTTCGTTGGGGTTGGAGGACTTTGCGGAATGTCTTGGAAACGATGAATTGGGAAATTTGGCCTTACGAAGTACGGCGTATTACGGTATTACGTGAGGGCTGCATCTGCAGACTGCAGGCTGGGAAAAAAAATACTGGCGGGGGTTGGTTGAACGTTGCATGGCTCGGGTTCGGGTTAGTTTGGCTTGGCGGATTGAGTTTTTGGGCGTGTTTGGCATTTTTTGGCATGATTTTGTTGGTGAGATTTGGAGGCACAGCTGCAGCCTAGAATCGAGGGAAGGAGCCGGCGACAAGGGGCTGGGCAGACTGAGACCCCGTCGGGTCCATCAAATCAGCCCCATCAGGAGGACCCGAGGAGGCGCAACCGTTGTCAGCCGGCTTCAAGTTGCTCTTTGCAAGTACTTGTACTTGGAGACTTGTCAATTGATTGAAGCACCAACGCAGGAATTAGTGCATGTTGAACGTTGAAGTGGAGTGCACGAAGTAGAGTACAATTGTACTTGGAGATATTGATTACTTCATATTGCAGCTCTCAGATACGCGGATACGAGACCTGACGAGGCACTGAACAGAAGTACCGACAGAGGTGGCCCCCCAGGGCTGAGGCCCACCAGTATTTCGTAGTGTACCATTGGAGGCCTAAAGTCTCCACTAAGCCCAGAGGAAAATGCGAAGCAGAACCGCCAAGTATCGATATCTCAAGGCATCATCATCATCAATGGATCAAATCCTTCCTCCTCCACGGCCACGACTAAGTAATAAGAAACACCATCTGCGCCTTCGAATGATTAAACATCAAGACCCGAGCGGATCATCCCAGCTTGAGCTTGAGCTGCCCCGTTGTGGCCGTTGTTGTCGTTGGTGCCAGTCTCTTTCGTATCGTCTCCTCCAGGCCTTTTCATAGAGATCCCAGTCGTTTTTATATTGTCTCCATCCACCAGATTCCCAGTCATGTTCGAACTGTCTCCTCCAGTCTTTTTCGTATGCTTTCCAATCTATTTCATACGGTTTCTGCGCATTTTCGTATTGTTCCCAATCTCTTCTATATCGTTCCCAGGGCCCTTTAGATTTTTTATGCGTTTTCTTTGCCTCACTCTGATCCAGCATATAACCGCAATACGTCATCCCGCCTATAAACCCGACCGCTATGAGGATAGTCAAAATCACGCAGCATGCATGCCGGATCCTAAGGGTGCGGAAGCCAGAAACGGGCCTTTGTCAGTCTTGATGTTTCTTGTTTACCGCAGCCGCCACAACGGCGGAGCATGGGGAAATAATAGCTTTTTCAGGAGAAAAAAAAAATAAAAGAAAATAAAAGAAAAAATAAATAAATAAATAAATAAAACTCACGATCCCCGGGGAGTGTCCTGCTTGCTACTTCGCCGAGTCCCCGACGTTGCCCCGGAAGTTGTAGAAGTTTGCGTAGTCGTGCTATTTAATCCGGTGGCGTCGGTTGTGTTGGTTCCGCCGGGCGGCGTCGCGTCGATCTGGATGACGACCGATTGTGGGTCATCATCTCCCGGAAGTGCCCCGCCCAAGCCGTAGGCCGGCGGAGGGAGCGCCGGAAGACGGAGATCGTCGAGTTGATACGTCGGCGGAGGTGTTCCCTCCCCTCCATGGGTGTTGCTACAGCCATCAGGTATTAGTGCTTTAATTTCCTAGATTTTAAACAATGCGTCCTACAATGGATAAGAAAACAAAACAGAATAGAAACAGGAATCGCGAATAGCTGGAGTCGCCGCATCATGCATCAATGATCAAGAACTAACCTGGAATTATCACGGCCCATCTCGCTTCGCAGAATTATTGGATGATCCGGTGAAAAGACAGCCGGTTACTCCACGTAGATCTAGGGGAGCATTGGTGTATCTATTTATCTCTTAAATCGAGGCTTCGAGGCCCTTCTCACATGTCGTCGTCCTTTTGTTTAGGTTCTCTCATGATGTCGATTGACAGGACGCTAGGTCAAGTAGTCTCTGGATAGCTCTGTCGCGAGATTCCTCTACCTTTCGAGAAATGGCGCCAGGAATTTTGAGGGCCCGTGTGACAGGATAAGTCCCATCCCGTCAGAGTCTATCTTCTGATCGATGGTTGTAAAGTGGATCATCGTTAACTCAAGAGGACGAGGTAAAACTCAAAGTCTCAAACCAACAACGGCTCGCTCACCAACTTTGGGGGAGTCGAGGTGGACTCTTTCTTTCCTCCTGATTACGAGCATCTTTCTTATGCTCGCATCGATATTGAGGACGATTCCCCATTCACATTGATTCCTGCGTTCAATGCCATGACTCCGAAGCTCACGATTCTTATTTGCACTGATATTTCTACAAATTCTATCAAATACCGCGAGCACCACCGCTAATCACCAGCATTCTCCTCGGGCCCAGCTACATCCGTCTTCTGTCCTCCTCCAACACCACAGCCTACCACCACCCCCTTCAGCCCGTCCTCCAGAGGCACTCATGGCGCTAAAGCCAGGTCCGGAAACGAGCCATCACATCTCCTGCGGACCAAAAGACCGGAGGAACATATGCCGGGCTTAGGTGCCGGCGTTACCACCCTTTCCAATAAGCATCCCCGCTGAGTCGTTCTCCTAGAGCAAGTGCAGCTCTAAACTTTTCACCTTGGACATTAACGTCAGCGCCCTTCTCAATAAGCAGCTTCACGATAGCCTTACGGCCGCTGGCTGCTGCTGCGCAGAGTGCAGTTCCGGAGGCATCTTCGGCGTTAACATCGGCACCGTTCTCGATTAGCAGCTTCACGATAGCCTCGAAGCCCCGACTTGCTGCTGCGCCGAGTGCAGTCCCGAACAATCCACCTTGGGCATTAATATCGGCACCATTCTCAATTAGCAGCTTCAAGGTAGTCTCGGAGCTCTCAAGTGCTGCTCCCTGGAGGGTAGTTCCAAATTTATCGATTTGAGCATTAATATCAGCACCATTCTCAATAAGTAGCTTCATAATATCCTCGTAGTTTCGAGATGCTGCTGCGAGGAGTGCACTTCCGTAGTATCCACTTTGCACATTAACGTCGGCACCTTTCTCAATAAGTAGCTCCACAATAGCCTTGTGGCCTGTTTGTGCTGCTGCGTGGAGTGGGGTTCCATAGTAAGAAAGCTTGGCATGGATGTCGGCGCCTTTATCAATAAGGAGCTCTACAATAGCCTTATGGCCATTGACTGACGCTTCGTGGAGTGCAGTCCTGGAGCTTCTATTGCGGGCATTAATATTGGCACCCTTCTCTATAAGCAGCCGAAGAATAGACTCGTGACCTTCTCCTGCTGCAGCGCAGATTGCATTTCCATAGGATCCACCTTCGGCGTCGATGATGCTAGAAACTTCCTGTAGACAGGGGCCGGAGGAAGAGGCAACATTTCCATCCAAGATCTTAGAGAGGATCAAATCGAGCCCAAGAAGTGAAGCATAGTAAACAGGGGATGCCATCTTGCTAGCGCTGTTGCGGTAGGGTTCGGCTTCATATATCTTGACCCAATTGTTGAAATCTGCATCATTTTGGAACAGTCGTAGGGCCTGCCGTTGAACACAATCGTCGCTTTGGTCTCCAGAGAGAAGATGTATATACCATGTTTTTGTAGCATACATGGCCAGTGGATACTCTTCCAGCTGATGCATCGACGTAGAGAGAGCAGGCTCCAGCAAGTACGTTAGGCATATACAGGCTATCTCTGTATGAGCCTCCCGTTTTCGTACGCTGAACTCGGCAGCCTTGCGATGAAGTATCCGGTCCGATTCTAGATATTCCTGGACTGAGAAATGGGCGATGCGTACAGTGGTTGGTTCGGGGCGTGGCTCAATTATGAGAGCATGCTCATCAAATTCCTCAAATTCATCAACTTTGTCAAGGTGCTCATCAACTTCGACAAGTGGCTCATCAACTTCGATAAACCCAGGACACACTTTATGAATTTCATCCATGGTTTCTAGTCTTCGGTCTGGGTTGAACCTTGGCGAGTCACCTAGCTCAACAGCAATGGCGTCGATGAGCTCCGGTATCGTCAATGGGCGTTTAGCGAAGCAGAGCAAGGTCAGGATGCGCCGGGCAGATTCCTTGGAAGCTGGAGCGATATTTAGAAGCATACGCTCATATGTTTCGTCAAGCGATTCGGGTAGCGAGCTCAGCAACTTTTCGAGCTGATATTTGCTTTTTGGGCATTGGCTTAGTTCTCTGAATTGGCATTCGACCCATCGAAATCTGTCAACGTAGCGAGTTAGCAAATGCCCTAGTATTATAGAGACTAACAACGTACACGCCATTCGCAGACTCTGTGAATACAGATTCGATGCGGCCGTGGTAGTCCTTCCACTTCTGGAATTTCCGATTGTCTCTGAGCTGCTGGGAGACGAAAGCGGCAATGTCACGATCGACATATTCATTCTTCATCGAGAGCATCTCGCAATTTAAGGCACCAAGCTCATTACATAGGACATCACGAATGTCGATCTCATCCCGGCTTGTGACTAGAAGATGAAGGCCGGGCGCCGACCAACTCCGTAGATCAACGAGGGCTTGAAGCACATCTTCTCGTTGCTCGCCCCGGGGGCTTTCGTCTAGTGCGTCCAAGAGGATGTAGACGTTGTCAAACAAGCGAACGAGTTCATGAAGGTAGCTAATGAGAACGTGGTCGGGTGGTGTCGAGTTGCAGTATCTGTCATGTAGCTGCGAGAGAGGGCAGTGACTGCCCTCTTTTAGTTGGTCCGACAGCTGTAGGATAAGGGAACGAAGCATGGCGGAGATATCTTGCTTGGATTCGTCGTTGAAGACAAAGAAGAAGAATGCGACTCCGATACGGGGATTAGACCTTCGATGGCGGAACGCGTACTGGATGGCAGTGGAGCACAGTACCGACTTGCCGCAGCCGGTGAAGCCGTAGAGCCATAGGAAGGAGTTGGGCTTCTCCAGCCACGTCGAAAACGAGGGGCCTTTAACAAGCCAAAGCCCAGTCTCGCCGTGTCTCTTTTTGCAGTTGCTATTATACTCTACGGAGGGATCAGGAGCCTTCAGCCAAGTGCGGATAGCTGTCGTGATCTGATCGTTTCTGACTCGTTCGATCAAAGTCTTTGTGGCCTCGATGTCATCCTGGATGTTGGCAATGACCTTATTATCTAGGGCCTGCAGTGCAAGACGCAAGTGGGAGAGGGTCTCGTCGACAGCCTCCTCGAGCTTTTGCAGCGTGCTCTGCCGGAAGGGGTACGCTAGACGGCGAGCCGCGGTACGGGCGGCGGCGGCGATACTGTAAGTGCGGCGATCTTTGAACTTCTCATTTTCGGCATCGAGCTCAAGGATACACTCCTCGCAGTCTCGAATGGATCTCTCGATGTTCTTGAGTAGGTCTCGCTCATCAGATCGGAACTTGCGGTTGGCTAGTTGCCCCTCCAGAAGGTTGAGTTGGTCGAGGAGGCGGTTTAGCTTTGTGGCGGTGTAGGCGGTGTTCGACTTCTGGCCCCGGGCGGCCGTGTAGAAGCTGACCAGGCCCTGGGTGACTGTGATGCCGAGGGAAATGATGCCGACAACGCCGCCGGGGATGGAGAGCGGATCAGTCATGGCCGGACACTAGTCGTGGCCCCGCTGCCCCGACATTAGAATCTTGCAACTATTGTGGTATGGGACAGAGTTTTCCCTTCCGGAAAGGCAAAGCCAGAACGGATCACCGTGTTGCTTAAAAAGTTCGCAACGTCGGTTTTGCATTCGTCGTTTGCAGTTAGGCATTGATTGGTTTGACCAGGAGGCTCCGCATCCGACTTTGTTCTGCCGTTTGGTTGTTGGTCCTGCCATCCAATCAACGGCTCGTAGTAGACTCCTCTGCAAGAGGGGCGGGCTTCGCCTCGCTGGGCATAACCAGGACCGCCTTGTCAGAGATGGGCGGGTAGGCGCAGTTCGCACCAAAGCATCGTATGGTTCCCCGACGGCGATGCAGACGCAATTTACGTGCGCCCTGCGTCTGGCAAGGTCGGCGTTTTGGTTGCAAAGGGACGGGGTCCTTTTCTTTCACAGCCGCGTTACAGCCACAAATTCGGTACCAATGTTCACCTTTCATAGATTAGCATCTGTTCGAGGAACTATCAGTGTCGTGTGATACCGACTCATAGATACTTTGCCTCTGCCCTCTCAGCTTCTGTGTCCTCTCAAAATTCCGCACCTACACACCCTGGTCTTGATCGGTGTGCGGGTCATCGTGTCTGTTCTCCTTCTGCTCATGAGCATAGCTCCAGCTGTGAGTGACTGAGAGGAGGTGTCCCGGGTTTTAAAAGTAATTGCTCGCAGGGCCTCCAAATAATCAAAAAGTAATAATCGGAATACTGGACCAAATACTTGAAGAGACTTTCGCTTTCAGGTTTTATCTCTCATCATGAGTTGTTGCCCTGAGATTGACATGGAAGGGACTGAGTGGTCTTGCCCAAGAAGATTGAGACCATGATTAATCGAGTTCTGATTGATCGGGTGCCAAACGAAATTTAAGTCACCCGCCATCAACTGCCAGACGCTTGTTGCTAGTGGGACCAGAAAAAAAGTCCAGGACCCCTCAAAAACTTTTTTTTTTGCCATTCTCTGCATTTTCGATATGCTCCTGTAGAAGCGGGCTCAAAAAATTTCCCAAACGAGACGGCAATCTACAATGGCCGAAGGGAGCACGACCTCATCGCTAACATCAACCTCGCACACCCTCACGTTCACCCCGGGAATGGCCCCTGCCACTCCCTTCCTCGGCGGCGCCAACCCGCTGGCTCTCCTCGAGCACATTGCGCCGTCCAACCGCCACGCCTTTCTCCAGCCGTCCTCCTCGATTCCCTCCGCTTCGCTGAATCTCGTAAAGGAAACTTTGGAGTCGTTTGCTGGCCACGTTGGGGAGGAGCAGCTTCGGAGATTGAGGGAGGAGAACAGGAAGAGGAAGAGGTCAGAGAGGATACGCGCGGATGAGGCTGAGGTGCTCAAGATTCGAAAGATACATGTTGATGGGTTTGAGACGGGGCAGGTTTGGCAGCAGGCGAAGAGGATTATTTCAAGTGCCTTGAAGTCTTCGGAGGAAGCGCTGAGGGAGCTGGAGGAGGAGAGTGGGATTGCGAATGGAGTGAACGGGCATGCGGAGAGCGACGATGAAGACGAGGATGAGGATGAGGATATGGAGGGTATATCCGGGAAGGGTGAATCAGATGAAGATGACGATATAGAGGGAAGTGATGTCGAAGAAGATTTCGAGGGCCTGGAAAGCGGCGACGAGCTCGACGAGGATCTCGGAGACGAAGAAGACGGACTTGAAATGGATGACGACGAAGACGACGAAGACGAAGATGATGAAGAAGAGGAGGAAGAACTAGCCGAGGAGTTTGTGGAAGATGTCCACGGTCTCAACGACGGCTTCTTCTCCATAGACGAGTTCAACAAACAAACACAATGGTTCGAGGACCAAGACGCGAAAGGGGACCCTAATACGGATGCGGTGAGCGATGAAGAAGACATCAATTGGGATGCCAACCCATTCTCTGCCGATGCCACGAGATCCAAAAAGACCGGCAAGAAGGGCCAAACGGGCAAAAAGGACAAGGACGACTTCGACGGCCTCAATCTTGGTATGGATGAGGATGAGGAAGAAGAAGACGAAGACGACGAGGAAGAGGATGGCCCTACCTTTGGAAACATGGATCTTTATGCCCCTGAGGGAGCGAGCGATGACGAGGGCGGAGACGACCTCGGAGAAGAAGAGGAGGAGGATGACGGCGGCTACAATGCCAACGACATTTTCTACAAAGACTTTTTCGCCCCACCGCCCAGGAAACACAAAGACGGCGCCAAACCCAAGAGGAAGAACGTCCACTTCGAACCCACGCAACCAGACGACGCCGACATCGACCGAGCCATGTCCAACGTCCGGCGCGATCTCTTCGAAGACCTCTCCGACCGCGAAGACTCAGACGACGCCCTCTCCGATGCCTCAGCGGGAGACCCCAAGTCTCGCAGGTCCGCCCACGAGCGAAGACAAGCCAAGATCGCCGAAGAGATCCGCAAGCTCGAAGCCGCCGCCGTAGCCAAGCGCGAATGGACCCTCTCCGGCGAAGCCACGGCGACGGAACGCCCGCTCAACTCCCTCCTCGAAGAAGACCTCGACTTCGAGCATGTCGGCAAGCCCGTGCCCGTCATAACGCCCGAAGTGAGCGAGAGCATTGAGGAGCTGATCAAACGCCGCATCCTCGCCAACGAATTCGATGACGTCCTCCGCCGTCGGCCCGATTCCGAGTCCGTAGCCGCTGACACACGTCGCGGCCTCGTCGACGTAGACGACACCAAGTCCAAGAAGGGCCTCGCCGAGATCTATGAGGAGGAACACGTCAAGAACGCAAACCCAGACACCTACGTTAGCAAAGCGGACGAGAAGCTCCGCAAGGAAGAGCAAGAAGTCGAGCAAATGTGGCGCGACGTCTGCGCGAAACTCGACGCCCTCAGCAGCTGGCACTACAAGCCCAAGCCCTCCGCCCCCGCCATCACCGTCGTCTCCGACGTCGCCACCGTCGCCATGGAAGACGCGCAGCCCACCACCGCGCAGGGCGTCGCGGGCGGCGAGAGCATGATCGCGCCCCAGGAGGTCTACCGCGCCGGCGCGACCAAGGATGCCGTCGAGCAGGGCGAGGTCGTGTCGAAGGCTGGTCTGCCTGTTGCTAGGCAGGAGATGACGCGCGAGGAGAAGTTGAGGAGGAGGAGGCGCGAGAAGGAGAGGAAACGGAAGGCGGGGGCTACTGGGTTGGCGAATGGGGTGGCGAAGAGGGACCCCGGCGCGAAGGTGTCGAGGAAGGATACTATTGCGGATTTGAGGAAGGGTGGTGTTAGGGTTATTAATAGGAAGGGCGAGATTCTTGATGTTGATGGGAATAAGCCCAAGGCGGCCAAGGTGGTTACGAGCGGCGGGTTCAAGTTGTAGGTTGGGATTATCATATCTAGACTCTCCGGGAAACATCATTATCATGACATTTTTTGCGTGGTTTTCATTGTCTTTTTCTTTCTTTCTCTATCTCTTCTCGTCACTGAAAAATTCCAATGTATTTTCTCATTATTTCAGGGGCATTAAAATGCATATTTTCATCAAAATATAAGAGACCGTCAGGTCTATCGCCATGCAAACAACACCAACCCCAAGTCAAAAAGCACTTCATGCGTCTCTCTCTTCTAAGGGAAAAAAAAAAAGCCCCAAGTCCATTTGCTTCTCGGATAAGAAAAAGCCATTCGAAACCCTTCCTCAGACATCCTAAAGCTGTAAATGTCCCAACGGCGACCGCCCACTCGCAGGACCCTTCAGATGCGCCGCCGAGCCCCTGAACAGACTCTGCCAGATGTACGCCTCGGAAAGGAGCATCTCGATGTCCTTCTCGCCCCAGTCCTTGGTGGGCAGGCTCTGCAGGAACATCATGATTTCCTGGAAATCCATCTTGACGAGCTTATCGGACCATTTCACGAGGAAGGCGGCGCAGACGTAGAGGTGGAATTCAGAGAATCCTTGTTCTTCGGCCTGGGGTCATGTTGTTAACAAAGTAGGACAGAAGAGAAAGCCTTGGGAGGGGGGAATGTTCTTACCAAGTATGTATCCCACATTCGTATCGTGTTCTTGACGCTTATCTCCCTCATAAGAAGACAATTCATCCACCGGAAACTAAACTGGATAAACTCAACCCCTTCCTTCTCCAAATGCTTCGAAAGCCCCGCATCAATCCTCGCCGTAAGATCCCTCAGCGCAGCAACCTGCCTCTGAATCCCCGGCTGCGCCACAATGTAATGGTCCTGTATGCCGTCAAGCAACTTGGTCAAGCACCAGAAGGAATCCGCTTCCACCGCGTCCAGCACTGGTTTCGGAAGCTGACCCGGGTCCATGCCGGTCTCTATGTTCGGATCCGCAATGTACACGCTCAGAAACACCTGCCAGAACGGCGTCACGAGATCGTTGATGCCCTGGACGTACCCGCTGGCAGGGTGCCTGACGGCCCAGACGTAGAGGATGCGTTCGAGGGAGCGCTGCGTCGCTTCGTAGCCGTAAAGCTCGAGGTGGGGGTTGGTCCGCGGCACGTCGATGCTGATCTGGTGCCAGATGGCCTCGTCGAGCCCGCGCGTCTTGCCGGCCGTGGGTACTGCACTGACGGTTGAGCTACTACCGCCTCCCCCGGCCCGTTCAAAGGCTTGCCGTACGCCGTCGAGGTACTCTTTGCGCTTGCGCTCGAGTGTCGCGACGCGACGTTCACTGTTGGTGGGGAGATAACTGAGGAGGAGCTGCCAAGTCATGGCGCGGACTTCTTCGGGCACACCCGACCAGGCTAGCTTGCGGAGCTCGGCGAGGGGGATGGAGGTTGCTTGGAGGAGTTTTTTGAATTTGTCGATGCGGGAGATTTTAGAGTTGATGGCTTCTGCTTCTTTCGGGGTGGCATTTGGGGGGATGGATGGGTAGTTTATGAGATGTAAAGCATTTGCCGGGTCTAACGATCTTGTAAGCTCACCGGCCTTTTCCCGCTCCAGGGGCCAAAACGCTCACCTCGTAATATTTCCTTATACTGGGGTCTGAGAATCTTTCCTTCACTCTTCTTAGGTAGAGGATACGTCGGGGCTGGCCGCTCAATCGCGATATCGGCACTATTCGAATACCGCCTAGAATGGAAAGCCCCAAACGACCCATCTAACCTCGGAGATAACGTCGCCCCAGGCGAATCGTCTATTGCTGTCTGACCTGCCGCTATCTTCTTCTTCCGCCTCCTCATGTTAGATAGGCTAGGCAGCCCGAAATCGTCGCCATCGTCGTCTTCATATCCCATCATCTCATCCTCGTCGGCCTTCCAGTCATCGTTCGTTGTTGAAAGGAAGTTGATGTAGTGCTTGAAGGGTGGGGAGGCTCTACCAGAGGCTTGGCGTTGAGGCGGCGACGTCTCTCCGGGACGGAGCTTGTTCGAGGAGGATGAAGGCGGTGTCTGCGGTCGGGAAGAGCTTCCGGAAACGTTGCTATTTTGCGTTAGCATCGATCGGTAGGTTGGGGCAGTCGGCTGGCCTTCGTTAGATTGGGGCTCTGACGAACAGTTGATTGAGTTTGAGAATGTCGGCATGTGAATAGGCGGCGCCAACTACTATGTTGGATTCGCGGCTGGATCTCTTCGGCGTCGTTTCTCGTTGACTAGGCGCTTTCCAGAAGGGCGATCCTGAGCTTGATGCCCGACGTTAGCCTTGGGAAAGTTTGGGGGGGAGGGACCGAGATTGAGAGGGGGTCATGGGTTGCGCTCGTGCCTAGAAACATACCTTGAGCGGTCTAGAAGGATCGAACGAGAGCAATTGTTAGCAGACTGCCCTAGGCTAGAACGGAGGGCAAGATATTCTTCGTTGGATAGGTAGGAAGTAGTCAAACTCACCGACCTGTACCATTTCCTTGGTCTACAGTTAGTCGTCGTCGTCGTCAGAGCCGTCGTCGTCAGAGCCTGGTACCTCGAAGCTCTAGGGCAGGGGTGGACGTACCTGTTGCGGCGGCTTCTTGCCGCTTCCCGAGCCCGAGAACATGATTAGATCTGGCTAGGGTTGTTTGCTACCGCATTATGCTTGTGAGAAGCTGGGATTGTCGTTGATGTTCGTTGGGGGGCGAGCCGAGGACGGGCAGTCCAGTCTTGGAAGGGCCCCAGCAACTGCCCACATTGCGCATGCCCATGCCACCAGTTGGAGGGGCACCTTGGCGGGCGCCGGACAGTTCGTTGCAGTTGCTGTCAGGGATACCGCGTGACAGCACTAGCCACAGTACTTCATCACTGGATGTTGTGTCCAGAGCCGGGCTCATGTTCCAAATCCTGAGGATCCAGCCTCGGATTCCCTGCTCACGCTTACATGTGCGTTTCCAAAAAACGAATAGATATTTTGAAGATGGGTCAGAAGTTTTGGGATACGAGAGCATACTTCGTGCTTGAGGTTCCGGGTTCTCCGTGCAAGTCTCTGCCACTGTGGAGTGACCCCACTAATATGACAATTTGACTGCGAGCAGCTCTAAATCGTGTTTGCCAAGCGACGAAGATGAAGACATCGATGGATAGTGTATTATGAATGTGGCACAAGCTAGATCTCATCACAATTTGATCAATTTTAGATGCTAAATTCAATTATGTCTTACTGCTCCCCATACTTGTACAATTGCGTCGTCAAAGTCGATTGCGCCTATGCAGATGCTCTGTAGCCAGTAGGAGGGAGAACTGAGGTACCGGGGTACTTTTCAAGACCCCAGCTGTGGCTGAAATGTCACATGATCTCAATCCTTGTTGTCAAGGAAGGGACCAGCCAGTCTCCCTATCCTTGCCTTAGGCAGAAGAAAAGGTAAAAAGTACTCCTTCCCTCTGAGACTGACATTCAGTTGCGACAGTGAAAAGAACAGTAGCTCCAGGCAAGACCTGCTCTCCTCTGTCAATTCATTCTCTTTTTACCCTCCCCATTCATCTTGCCACATCCTCGACCTTTCCTACCTTTTCCCCTCCACAAACAAGCCTGTGCCATTGGACTTTTCCTTGTCCACATTCTTCATCCTCTAGTTCTTCCCCTCACACTTTTGACCTTGGCAATTTTCCCTAAAGCCACTGATAACAGCAACCATGACGGAACCTGAGGGCTTCGAAGATGATCTCTTCGCTGATCTGTATGTTCTCCATCTAGTCTGACTCTTCATTGCATACAGCTGTTCATTTTCGGATCATCACTGACTTTGTTATGTAGGTACAACGATGATGAAGCTCCCAAGCCCCCGCCTCCCACAGCAGCAGCACCAGCCCCCGCTGTCAGCAGCGCCCCCGCGACAACAATAGAAACCAAGGTCATCACACCCGTCGTCGAAGAGGCCAATGGAGAAGCCTCGCCTGGAGGTGCATTCGACCAAGATGACGAGGATGGCGATGTAGATTTCGACTTGGGAGAACCCGAAACAATCTCGTCTCCTCCACCGCCACCACCTCAACCACAAAGACACGATATACCCGAATCACCCCCCTCCACTTCAGGCGCAATGATGAAGGCAGGTTCGACGAAGGAAGATGGGTACGTAAACTTGTTTCTTTTGTCATTTCTCATTTCTCGTTTCTGTTTTTGTTTGCGCGAATCGATTGTTTGTGATTTTCGCATGTGGCCACATCCCGCCACCACACAGTGCTGCCGTTGGCAAGGCTCAATGTGGAAAGAGGCTTGCTCAGTCAAGGATCGTTTGGTGGAAGGGTGCTATTACCTTGCTTCGGGTGGTAAATGGTCAAATGGGACTGTTGGATCGAACGCAAACCCGAGTTGTTTGGGCGTCAGGAGGAGTTCTTCCGCAATCGGCTCCCGTTTCGAGGCCTGCCTAAGCATCGAAGTCGATGTTCTTAGGCTGCAGACTGGAAGGAATCTAGACATCGTCCGTTGGATATGATCGGGTTTCGAGGTCGAGGAACGACCCAACTGGTGTGTGGGGATTACTGGGCTGGTCCGGTCTCAAGGCTTCATTCATCTTCATACTCGAAACGATTTATATATCCTGGTCCAGTCGCAAGGAGTCTAGAGTGAATCCAGCTACATACAAAACTCGGAAGATGCATACCAGAAGGAGGCGGAGGGTATCGACACGAGTGGCGGATTCGACGGGACGATGACATGGCGTTGGCTCTTGGGCAAGGCGGTTGTCTGAGAGAGGAGAGAATAAGTTAAAAACCCCCTCGAGAAGGAAGAAGAAATAATCGCCGTCTCTCGGTTGGCTGTAGCAGGATATGCACACGCGAGTTTATCTCTCGAGCCAGTACCTAGCAAGAGCAGAAAGAGGACATGCAAAAGAAAAGCGATAGCAAAGACATACTCGAATACTTTACGACTCAGCTATAACCCTGATCAACACGCTACCTTGTACTTCTCACTCGCGAGAACTGCTTTCTGGCGTCCCAACGCTATGTCTAGTTCCGTCATCTTCATGGAGCTATTTTAGTGTTGGCGTGGTCTTCCTGCCAACTCACGGGAAGCTCTCATGGCTCTTTGGCCATCGGGCTTAGGGCAGGTTTGCGTTCCAAGTCTTGAGATGGTGATAACACTGGCATCGAGCCATGAGAGAGGGGAAGGAACGAAGAGCTGGTGATGAACCCCAAGCCGTCAGTATCGGAATCGGAAAGAAGAGGGCTAGCCGTATGATTCATGAGCTGGGAAATGAGTCTATTCAGAGCCCCTCCATATCTGGAAGTTGCAAACCAAGCTCAATTGATCTCAAGGTCTATTGAATCGACTATTTGAAGAGGGAAGGCGCTCACTATTGAATCTGATCATTCGGCTGCCCGTCGCTGGCTATAAATTCCGTGACACCCTCACCTTTCTTCTCTTTAACTTCCTCTTCCTCAACATCAGCATCTCACTCTCACTAGCTTGCCTCAAGCACACACATGGCACTTATATCCCTTCTTTCACTAGCCCTTTTCTACACCTCCTTCACCTAAGCTTTCCTGTCATTTCGCCAACGAGGCATTTGTCGACCATCACCTACTATTTTCGCAAATCTTTGCATATCAAACACCTAAGATTTACCTTCCTTCCGCGACCATGGGGGAGATTTTGGTGCATAGCGTGGCCCAAGGCCATGGGCAGGGCGATTTTGAAGCTGCCTCCGAGATGGACTGGAACAACGAGTTGACAGTGGCCGTGGCTGAGTCTTCTCCCGAGGAGGAGGAGGAGGAGGAGAACATTGATCTTTTCTCGGCGTTGGAGGATCATCTCGATGAGGTGAAGCCTCTTGCCGCGAACGAGCGGAGCACCTTGTGCCCAGACTCTCGTAATCCTGGGTATGGTGGTGGATAGGATAACATGCCCCTTCAGAAGACCTCTTTTCTTACTTTAGCACTTCGCCGGGAGCCGGATCTGTCGCTAGCCTTGACGCATCACTCTACGCGGGTAGTTTGCTGGCCTGCGGATGAATTGTCCCTGCCCGATTCCCTCATTAAGAGGGATGTGTGCAGCCAGCGCATTCGTCCTCGCAGCGCCCATCCCTCGGATAGTCTCTGACTTTCTCATTTGACTGATTTGTCGCTCTGAGCAACCACTCGATCCTTGACTACCGTTTTGTTTATTTGTTTCTATTCAGTTTAATCGTTTATCGTTGCGCTAGATTTAGACTTGAGCGTAGTTTGCTAACATTGGATTGTGTTTATAGAAAGATGTTTATCGGCGGTCTCAACTGGGAAACCACAGATCGTGAGCATTCCCCCCCCCCCCGGGGTTTTGACTTCTCTCTCATTTACCAGGATATACTGTCCCGGGTTGTGATCTGTAAGATAATAATTCGAACTAACCATGGCTTGTTTAGAATCTCTACGGGATTACTTTTCTCAATTCGGCGAGGTTCTCGAGTGCACCGTTATGCGCGACAATAATACGGGACGATCTCGGGGCTTTGGTTTCCTCACATTCAAGGACCCAAAGACGGTTAATATCGTGATGGTTAAGGAGCATTTCCTGGATGGGAAGATTGTAGGTTTTGTGTCTTTCATGTCTTCGTTTTAATGTGATTCTGACACACGCTCTCCAGATTGATCCGAAGCGAGCGATTCCTCGAGACGAACAAGAGAAGACGAGCAAGATCTTTGTGGGAGGCGTCAGCCAAGAGACCACAGACCAAGAATTCCGCGACTACTTTGCCCAATTCGGCCGAGTCGTCGACGCCACGCTCATGATGGACAAGGACACCGGTCGACCGCGAGGCTTCGGCTTCGTCACGTTCGAGAACGAGTCCGGCGTGGACGCCTGCCTCAACGCAAAGCTCGAGATCCACGGAAAGTTCATCGAGGTGAAGAAGGCGCAGCCGCGCGGCAACATCCGCGAGGAGGAGGAGGCTGCGCGCCGCAGCAAGTTCCGCAAGGGCGACGAGCAGCCGGCGGGCGGCCAGCAGGCGTCGATGAGTAGCCAGATGAACGCGGCTGGTATGAGCCCGCAGGTGATGGCTCAGTATATGCAGCGTATGCAGCAGTACTTTTCCGTCATGCAGCAACAGCAGCTGGCTATGAGTCGTGGCATGAGTAATATGAATCCGATGATGCAGCAGATGATGATGGCGCAGCAGATGCAACAGATGATGAACGCGGGCCGAGGAGGCGGTGGTGCCGGCGGCCCAGGTGGCCAGGGTCCCAACCCCATGATGGCGGGCATGAACCCCGCCATGATGCAGCAGATGCAACAGATGATGGCTGCCGGCGCCGGTGGTCCCGGAGGACCCGGCGGCATGGACCAGGGCGGCCACGGTGGCCGTCAGGGAGGAGCCGGTGCTGGTGGTGGCGGCTTCGGAGGCGGCTACGACCAGCAGCAGATGTACGGTGGCCAGCAGCAGCGCCGAGGAGGCGGACGAGAGAGCCAGTACGGCCAAGGCGGTGGCGGCTACGGTATGGGCGGCGGCGGCGGTGCCCCTACGTCGTGGGAGGGCATGTACGATGACGTCCCCCAGCCCAATATCCCCCAGGGTGGAGGCGGTCGCGGCGGTTTCCACAAGCGAGGCGGTGGCCACCATCTAGCTCAGGGTCCTATTGACCCTGCTAATGCTCCTCCTGCTAATGCACCCACAGGCCCGAAGAATGCTGGACGGCCCGGCGCCAATTACCGAGGTGGTGGAAGGGGTGGCAGTCGCGGTTTCCACCCTTATGCCCGTGGTTGATTCGGTCGGCGATGCCTCTTACCTTTTCTTCTGGTCGTGCTGCTTCTTTGGTTCGTTTGGGCGAGGAGAAAAGCCCTTGATCAGGGCCGACCTTTTGAATTCTTCTTTTCCTTCTTTTTTTCCCTTTCTCTTCGGAGATATGATTTCCCTTTTTGTTTCGTGCCACCAATTTGGGCCCCCTTTCTGCATCATGTTTTTTCACGCATTACTCGAACACCTCGCGCCCACGACTTTTTTGGGCATCTCAAGAGTGGCTGGCTGGCGAGACGGTCCGTTTTCGTTTCTTTCTTCTTCTTGATTCTTCATTCCTTATAATACAAAACGGCAAGGGCCAGGGAAGGGTGTTGGACATCGAAGAAACACAAGGACGAACCCAAAAAAAGAAGCAAGTTTTTTTTTTTTCTTATTCAATGGTTATTGCAAGTTCTCGAGGAGTCCAGGACAGAGGGTTTTTGCTTTTCGCGATTCCTTTCATTTGTTTTCCTTTCTTTCCTCTTACAACGCAGTCGAAGAAGAGCTTACGGAAGGGTGGACTCTTTTCGAGAGAAAACATCAATACTCTCTCTACTCGGATCACAAATATCTCCTTTATTTTATTTTTTCCAGCTCCCTTGGTAGACGGCGGGTTTATCTAGCTAGTTTCTTGGGGAGTTTGGAAAGTGTATAATAGAATCCGAGTTTCCAACAAGATTTTCTTCTTTTGATATCTTGAACGTATGAGTGAGGAAAAAAGGTACGTACGTGTTGCCTGGGGATAATAAGTGTGACGATCTACAGGAATGCACAAGTTCAGAGCCTACCAATCTTCCACCTCTCCCGAAACAGCCTGCTTCTTCCAAAAAGTCCTTTTCTTAGCCAATGTGGCTCCAAATACTCTGAATCACAGTATTCGACTCATCAAAGAACTCTCGTTACTTCCACATATATATATTTAGACTTTCCAAGCTGCCGTTACCCTGGCTCAGTGCACAGAATCGCGAGATGTTGACTCCGAGTCAACCACGTCGCCCTGACCTCGGGAGACCAGCCATTCTTTCAGAAACTGACTGTAGACATATCCTATGGATTATATCACTAGATGTCTTGGCTTCACGCTACGGATCCTCGAAATCGGACTGGCTCAACTGACTTGAAAAGAAATAGGGTATTGCGCACCAGGAGGCTGGCACTCTCGGAGCCGAAACTTTGCGAAAACCAGCTGCAAAGAGGCTCACCTTCCCCGGATCGTGCAGAACGCGAGTCGGTCTTGGAGGGCTCGGACGGCGTGAGCTAAGGGGGCCGTCGGACTTGGCATCATCGCATGCGTTGGAAGTTTGGCTAGGCGCCCTGTAATATCGTCACTCTGGGCGACATCAAGGGGCCAGTGGAGCCAAGGTCAAACAGCGTTTTCGGATACGTGGGATTTGCGCATAGACACCTTGGCCGCTATAGGAGCAGGAGAAAGCTTCTGGCTTGGCTATGCCTACTGTGTGTGGGCGTATGCAGGGGCAGCTTGGCCAGGCAGTACGACCAGCAGCATGACGAACTCCAGCATCGCCAACGTGGTTGAGTTCACCAGTCCGCCACGCCCGACCCTCACAGACACCCCGCTTACTTGGATTTCCCAGTCTAGTACCTGTGTATAGTGTGAAGATTGGCCACACCCGTGCGATAGACCTATTTATCTACCTGATTTCTGCCTAGGTGGTTACGGGACGGGAAAAGCTGTTCCCAAGACGGACCCATGCATTATAACCGATGTATTCATCTTTATATGGGCCAGCCGGTGATGGCCTCGGATTAAATCAGGAGAAAGAATCAATACATCTATAGAAGAGAAGTACTAATATACAAGAATTGAACATGACTGGCGAGGACAATCGCAGAGGGCGAAAACAGCGTCTCGAGCCGAACAGAGAAAAGAAACAAAGAACCAAAAAAGGAGCCTTCACGCCCAAGAATTGTTCTGGCTCGGTTGCCGTCTTGCTGGCAATGACAGGCCGTCTTCCACCCTTTCAATAGCTGCAGGACGAAATAATCACACACTTTTTTTTTTTTCTTCTTATTCTTATTTTATTTTATTTTTTATTTAATTTTTTTTTTTTTCACTGGGTAGAGAAGAAGCGGATTAGCAGGATTTTATCGTGGAGTACCTTGTAGAGGATGTTAACCTACTGGTGAAGACGTCTCCTTCGATCCCGGTATCCATAACCTCGCGGTGACGGGGTCCGTGTTGGCTAGAAGCCAAGAGTCTAGCATGCTTTGGTACGCCACGTCCACGACTGGACGCGCCTCCTCAGCTTGATCGTGGCTGTGGGCGAAAGCGCTTAATGACTCTGAAGAAGAATCTGAAGACTCTGACTGACCCTGTAAGATGTTGATGTTAATTGGCACCAGCCTCACAAAAGCGCTAAATAGAGGCTCGAAGTAAACCTCTCATGAGAAATATATGCGGGTGAGATATGTAGTGTAAAAGGCATCAATTAATATAAAACTTACGAGATGAATGTGTTGTGCCTCGGTCGTTGTGAATATTCGAGGTGGACATGATGTTGTTGAGTGAGTGCTCATGCGTGTAAGCTGTGATTCGCTTTTGTCCCGGTCCAGCTTCAACCTCAAAACAAGCGCCGCGCCGGCTCCCGTCGCGGAAGTTGGAATTGGCGCGGATTTCCTTTGGTACAGCAACATCTTCTTCATGCAGGTGAACTTAAAATGCAACCGGTCTGTTGACGCTGCATGTTTCACAGTTTCTTCAATCGTCGAGTATAGGCATTTCGGCCTTTATAGCTTCGGGTGTGGCCGCCTACATGGGTTGAATGTGCCAAATGGTCTGTGCATCGCTCAACTTGGATTTCTGACCGGTTAGGATGAGGCGCGATCCATCCCAGGCTGGAGACTGTCCTGGAAGAAGGGCGAGGGAAAGGGGGGGAGCAACTAGGTTCCGATGGGGACCAGGGTCACAGCTAGAGGAAGCACACCCAAGAGTGTCCGGCGTTGAGCCAACATGCCTCCCCCCTCGGGTAGGCGTCGTCCTCATACGCTAGCTTGGAGCATAGCGGACCTGAGTTATGAACAGAGACATAGACCAAAGGGATAGAGCGAAGAGCTAGAGAATGGAAGGTGAGGAAGGTCGATACTGCGACGAGGGTGTAAAAGAGTGGCTTAACGTTTGAAGAGAAGCCGTGGAATATATACTATCGTTACGGATTTTGTCATGAGAACTTCTTCTCCTTCCCAGGACAAGGCAAAACGTACATTGAAACCCACTGAAGCTTTCGCCAGGATGCCTTCGGTCATAATCAAGTCACTCAGGGACCGGTTTCGTTACATCCTTTCCCACGCTACGCTCATTGGTATCTCTTGAATAATATATTGATATGATAACACTCTTGTCTGCCTCCTCCGCGCAGGCTAGCTCATACGTCGAATGTTAAGGGTATCTTGATCTACGCCTGATCCTTCTTGACATCAAGGAGCCCCAGCCAGGCATATATCGGGCTTGGGTGAGCTTCGTAGCCTGGAATCTCCACCGTTTTTGCCTCTTTGAAGCCTTTGTGCGAGAAAAATGCTTTACCCATCGGTGCGCCAGCCACGCCGAGTCCGATTCCATCCAGCTTCGCCAGCTCCAGGAACCAATCCGTGATGGTAGTCGCATGTCCTTTTCTCCAGTAGGCTGGATGCGTAACCATCATGTCGATCACCATGCGGTCTTTAAAAGTCCTGCGCAGGTCCATCTCAATTAGTTTAGGAATGGGTGGGTTAGGGCATGATTGAATCTTACTTGACTTCCTCCGGATGGAGAACCTCGTCCATGGTTTTCCCTCCCAACGGATGTTTGTCTCGGGACAAGACGGGATCGTCAATTGGCGGAGGGTCATCTACCATATTGCCAATGAAAACGAGTCATGTTAGTCGCATGGTGTGCATTGCATTGCATTGCTGACCACCAAAAAGAAAAAGAAAAGCTAAAAATGAGCGCACCTTCTGGCTGGAATTGCCCATGTCGTTTGGAATTCGGCAAAAGAGAGAAGCTAGCCACGGCCACAACCGCCTTGCCTTTCTCGAGCATCTCTTTTGGAATTTGCTCATCGAATGCTGGATACACGCCGGCAAGAGCCTCGTAAACTTTGGAGGCCTCGGTGGTATTCAAATTGTCCTCCACCACGAGCACGATTGAATCCGAATCAAGGATTGCATTTCTAAAGGAATTCCGATAGCTGGAAAGCGTATCGCGGGGGTATTTCTCAAAGTAGGGCCTCTCATAGTGAAACCATGATGAATGATAGAAGGATGCCGCAGCCACCACGCCGATACGGGGGATGTCTGACAATCGCGCCAAGCGTAGGGCACCTTTGAAAGGAGGGGCCTGCGGGAACATATCTAAAAGGAGGGGATAGGGCAATGGGAGTTTCTCGACTTTGCTCGGTTATGATCTCGACATGTTCGAGTCGCGAGAATATCATCCATTGATGGCATCCGAGAGTCCTAGATATATCGTTCGCCTTGACGCTGTCGTCACCAAAGTCAGATCCGGAGGTCACTTTCAGAGCCTGCTGCTTTGAAAGGAGCACCTGCCTCCTCTGATTAGCGGGCAGCTGCAGCTGCATTGAAACCCCGCACGAGACAGCCTCACTTTCCAGCCGGTCTTGACGATTTTCTTGACCGGTCAGCACGTGATTTCATAGTAGAAAGTGGGAAGGATCAATGGGCAGGATGGGCAGGATGGACTGGGTGGGCTGACGGAGGCTGCGAAAATTGCAACAGGAAGGCATTAAGACGAGTGGTTGTCCTTCATATGTAGTTCTGGCATTTTATTTTATTCACAGCACCAAACATTGAAAGCTGTCAAATGCTAGTCTCACTAGTCTCGGGAGCGCTAACCTCAAAAAAGCCGGATCATGGAGAGCGCCGATACTCTACCCTCATGCACCAGCTCCACGAGCGCAGGGAGGAGTGAGAAAGATGGAACCCATCCGCTTGGACAAAGAGAAACTCGTACTACGGTTCGAGGGTTTCGTGATGGCCGAGACCAAACCCCGCATCAGGAGATAGGTGATGAGCAGTTCACGTTACAGTCGGTGATGGATACTGTTGACTGGTTTTCAACCAGGGCAATGTTAAACCAACAGTTGCAACTCGATGATTTCGTCGTTGCACAGTTCACGCTGCAGCCGGCCACGGATACTGTTGACCGGTTTTCAGCCGGGGTAGTGCCAACCGAATCGGCGCAATTCGACGAGTTTGTTGTTCCTCAGTCACTGCAGAACAATGGCGGCTGGAATGCTTGGAGAATGACAAGTCAATCCGAATACGGAATGCCGGTGGGTATTTAAGACTACGATGGATCTTCCTCTTTCTTTTGCTTTTCCGGTGTCTTACTGGCATCTGACTCCTGAGATTTGCCGCTCACAACAGGCCATTGATATCGAATGCGCCCCGACTGGCAATTCAACTGGTCGCAGTGCGGTTTCATCAAGCTTTCCCACCGAAGTCCTCGACACATCGAGTGGCCATCTAGCACAAGATCCAGCTTTTTCAGCCCTCGTACAAGCCGCTTTCGACGCTATGATGGATGAAAGTCGAAATGACCCGCAGGGATCACCATCTTATCCCGCGCCGGATTGGAGTCTTCTGGGACTACCCGACCATGGGGGTGTTGATTCCTCACCCCAATCCACCGGCAACACGATGCAGCCCTTAATTTACCCCTTAGACTGGGACCAGTTTGGAGACATTCGGGTGGCCAGCCAATCTGCCGACGAATCGAGTTGGGTGCACGCGGGGTTGAGTGGTGACCGCATCGCCACATCCGCAAGAGACAATACCGACTTGAGCGCAGACTCGGGAACGGACGAGCAAGTCATCCTCACGCCCTCGTCTGCGTGCATGCCTCAGTCAGATATGTCAGAACGCGCCTCCGAGCCCCAAATCACTAGTCCGGGCCACATGGAGACGACCAGCCCTTCGAGGTCGCAAGTTTCACAACCGGAATCACTGGAACCGCAGGAACCACAGGGACGCCCGAGGTCAAATACGCAGGAAACCGCGCCATCGACTACAGCACTGACCAACTACACGTCCTCTGCTACTTCTACGAATTCGCTAGCGTTGAGTAGTCCTAGACCCGGAGCAAGTCTCGCGATTTTGCACCGACAGCGGTCACCCCAGCGCGTGGGTGGCAAGTTGAACGAGGGGCAACGGTATTCCCAGCGTGTCCGTGGCAAGCTGAACGAGGAGCAGCGAGAAAAAGCAAGGGTGATGAGAAAAGTGGGCAACTGCCTCCGCTGCAGAGCTTTCAAGCTAGCTGTAAGTTGCCCCCTCCCCCCCCTTCTCCCTGAATCTTTGAGTCTGCTGTAAACGAAATCTAATTTCATCACGCAGTGTGACCCAAATTCGCCTTGCCAACAGTGCCAATCCGTTTGTGATAGCGCAAGATCATTCTTAGATCCTTGCTACAGGGAGAAACTCGACCATGTGACTTTGGCAAGACATGGTAAGTTCGGGCGATTATGGAGCTCTTATGCTATTGGAGAAAAGCTCAGGGACTAACGAAATAATAGGCAATAACAACTTTGGGCAACGCAACGTACAATACATTGACTATATCTGGGCGGACAACGCAGCTCCCCGTAAACTCGTCGAGATTCGCTGGAATCTTCCAGGAGGACGCCCGGTTGACTTGCCCTACTTCAACGTCACCTGTAAAAAGTTCTTTCCTCGAACTAACGATACTCACTTCATCACCTGGAACGTTGGTGACAAGGTTATGACAGCAGAGCTACCTCCTTATGCGGCCGATGACACGCGGAGTCTAAAACTGGACGTTGAGGCATTCCTGAACAAGAGCTGCTCAACAGTCCTCGACTACATCATTGAAGACACTGCTAATGAGCTCCTAGCCTCCACATTAAGAGAGGCAATACGCTTCAACAATAAAAACCGCAGTCCAATCATCGACCTTGCACTCCGCGTGAGATGTGCATCCTTCTGCTCTCAAGGATGGGGCTCGATTACGGGCAACGAAAAACTGGGTATTCTACCCATTGACTTCAATGAGCTTGGGCAATGCGGCTACGCAGCCTATGACAGAGGGAGGGACGTACCCCTTCCGCTCTCTATTGACCATCAACTCGACGTTGCCCTGCTCCATACGATACAGGAATACCAGCGAGAACTCATCAAGCAACTGAAGCAGAAGATCTTCGGAAAGGGCTCGAAAAAACCTTGGTACGAGATATTCTTGACCATTTTCGTCCTCTTGTCCAACCTCGAGTACGTCCATAGCGGCGCAATTTCATTTTACCGCGCGCAGATGAATACGGTATGTCGCCCTCCTCATTTTTGCCCCGCAGAAAGAGCTAAGCTCTAGACTTAAGACTTCCCAGAGGCCAGGGGGTTGGTTGAGCACTGCTAACTGAAAAATCAGAAATACAGCAAGTCCTGTTATTCGCTCACCCACGAGATGATCGACGAGTACAATTATTCCGCTGAGAATCTTCTGTATCATTTCTGCTCGATTCTCCGCGGTAATATGGGGTTCATGCTGGGGTTTGAGAAAATGGACGAGCTAAAGCATCGGGAATCACTCGATGACGATGCCGTGGAGTATATGAAGAACGTGTTCGGGATCCTGTCCAAGATTGGTTCGTCCTCGACACCTTGGGGGCCCCCTTTTCCCACGAGAAGGCTCGTTATGTATCGCTAATGTTTCTTTGCAGCGCCGCTTGAGAACCCCGCCGGATCGGGACTGGACCCGGAAGATCTACCCCGTCAGGATGGGAGATGGATTATGAGACTGTTCAGTCGCATGATGTAACTTTCTACGTATCATTGATCACCCACCCACACACGGTCACGGATACGAAGGTATATTGGGTATAACCTCCTCTTTCCGCCCGGCGTCGGCTAAGCCCTTAGGATATCTATCACGTGCGGTCCCATTGCGCTCTATCTACTCTGTCAGTTCTATTCTATCGAATACCCGCGCGCCGGCTTTGTTGTTTCTTCGTTTTGACTGTAAGAGAATCAATGGAAACGAGTGAATGTGCCCGAAAGATGGATGGAAGCGGTACTGCACTCCCGTAACCTCCGCGGGCGCAGTCCGCACACCATCTCTCTTGTTCGTCTCGTCAGCAACCCTGTACAGGTAAGCTCTGCCGGGTCTGCTGACCCGTCTCCGGATGCGTTGGGTATTCGGCACAAGCAGGACTTCCCGGAGGTTGGTTGTTCTGGACTGTTCTGGACAGCGGCGGCATGAAGGAACGCGCAACTATTGCGCACTCCAAAGTGTCTTCGTCTGGCCGTGGCCGTACCCCCCACGCGCGGTGTACAAGCCCGACACACACCTCCCGCTGAGCTCTCGCCGCAGCACGACATGGCCAAGCCGTGTCTGAGCCAGTAGGCTGGCTGCTCTCTGTCTTCTCTGGCACAAATTAACGCAGATACAAAAGAGCCGACCGGCAATAGCCATTGAGCGACGATCATGTCTATTCCGGTACTGCCCCTCCTGTGATAGACTTGCAGCACACAGAAATAGATGAGGCCTAGACGAAAATGAGGCGTGTCATCAATCTACAGGCTCTCTATCATCTACCATCACACCTTCAGGAGATGCGAGACCTGCGGGGCTGCAGCCTTGCGTAAAACGAGGCGATTTTTCCCCGCACGTCTTGTAAAGGAGTGCCACGTCAGACACCCTCGGCTTTTGATTGATGTGCATAACGGGCAGGGCTCTATCTAGACAGGGAGATCTAGGTGATGTTTCGCTGTTTACTTAAACCCCGAGTATCACTCTCCAGAATGACCGTCTTGCCCTTTCTTTTCATTTGTAAGGCGCTTCGAGGATTCTCTCATGAGCTATGGCGTCGATTGCTCTCTTGACTAGGCCGCCGGCCGGTCCCGGGCCGGTCACCACCCCGAACCAGATTGCCAAGCCGGCTTACACCGGTGTCTCTGAGGGCAATGAAGCTCGGAAGGAGGATCCGCTTGCGCGGTTTCCCGACAAGCTTTCATCGCCGCTTTGCTGGGATGCACGTTCCTTTCCCAAGGGTACTGGAGACTATATCATTCAGTTTACTGCCGACGATCTGGCCAGCATTGACAATGCAGTAACGTCCTTTAGGGGTACGCCCAGTCAATATCTTTTTCGAGTGATGTGCGCAATTCTAACTTTGTGAGTGTCTAGCCCTCAACCTGAAAGATGTCGCAATGGTTTGCCCTGAGAACTTCCCCTTGGCACCTGGGTTAGCCCAGAAGCTGAGGGATGCAAGCGACATCGTTCATAACGGCCGCGGCTTTTCTGTCTTTCGTGGCCTTTCTCCCAATGGCCGCTCCGATGAAGACAATGTTATTGCCTTTGCCGGTGTCAGCAGTTACATTGGTCGTGATCGCCACGCCAATAGCAATGGCTTCGCCATGGGTTAGTAGAGGCGATTCAAGAATGATGGTTAGGCGCGTTGGCTTAACTTTTTGTATAGATCACCTTCGCGATGCCATCCGCGACCCGAAGCCGAAGGGCCGTGAACACGTGGAACTTCACCCATCGAAGATGATGGTTCCCTTGGTGTGTATATCTGTTCATGGCGGAAGCATAGTTGACTTAGATTCTAACCCCCGTCGCTACAGAAATTCCATGCCGATCGTAACTTCGCAGACGTGTTGGCTCTGTACATCAAATCGAAAGCCGCCAGCGGCGGCCAACAATACCTCTCCAGTGCCTGGACTGTTTACAATATGATGAAGGAGTCTTACCCCGAAGAACTCCGAATTCTCGTCCAGGACTTTCCATGGCCCGGTGTCCTGTACGTATCCCTCGCTCCAAAGCCTAACCTTTTAATGTGCTATGGTGCTAAAATTACTACTAGGAATGAGATGCCTCACACGACCTATCACCCCGTCCTTTTCGAAAAGGACGGCCGTATTCTCTGCCAGCTGGTCTATCGCGTCTTCGAAGGCACCACTCTTCTCAATGACAGCCAGTGGCGCGCCCTCGACACTTTCGAGAAGTGTGCCAACGAGTGCGCCATCGAACTCGACGTTCGCCCCGGTGATATCCAACTCGTCAACAACCTCGGGCTCCTGCATGCACGACGAGGATGGATTGATCGCCCCGGCATTGAGAGGCATTACTATAGACTGGGACTGAGGGATCCCGAGAATATGTGGGCGAGACCTGATGGGTATGAATTTGTCTTTGACAATCGATTCGTCACGCCGAAAGAGGAGCAGGTCATTCCAGTTACTGATTTCGATCCGTATGGATTGACGAGCTTGGATATGGACGGACATGGTTGAAATTGTACTTCTTCAGGAGGATCTTGTCTTACGCCAACCATAGTTTTAGCTTGTAGTCTTTTCCGTTGTCTTTGATTCGCTCTCGTTATTGGAATACGGAAACAACAGGTTTAGCTCCAAATTCCAGACTTCCCGTTTGTACCATGTATCTCCCTCCAGCCACCCGCGACTTGACCACGTGACGTATATCCCCGACAATGTGGCTTGCACACCAAATGGTCTCGTTTCCTGCTGCCAGGTGGCCACAGCTCCTCTCCTACGTGACGGACGTGACGTGTTGGGGACAAAAAAAAAAAAAAAAAAAAAAAAAAAAAAATCCGCCAAGAAAAGGTCGAAAACGTGCAACGCATCGAGCCGAGTCTAGACCGTCTGGCCCCTATTAAGGGAAAAAAAAATTCTTTGGAGCCCTCATTTAAGATTGAGATTCTGTGAGGAGGACCGAGTCATGGCAGAAGGAGTTTGGGATAGAATTCGAGGGGATTCACGCGATTTGTCCCTTTGTTTCTTGTCCCCTCTTTTTTTTATCCTCTTCAATCTTGAGGTACAAAGGCATTATACAAGTATTGTTGGAGGTTGTTGAGGTTCTTCAAGATCCTCCCTCAGAGTCTTTGGCTATCGGTAGATTGCGTGTGTTCCCCAAGTCCCAAATTCCCGATCGTTTTCATCTCTCTCTTCATACTTGGTAAACGAGCACGGGGACTGCAACTACTTCGTATATTACGAAGCAGAGCTATTAACGGGCACCCTCTCCTTTTTATCAGCCCTCTATACCCTCTACGAAGACTCAGAGACTGCACATGCTTGACGGCTAAGTGAGCCCAAGTCTATCCAAGTCTCTCGTTGTCACTTGTAGATGTTCCGAGTACTTTGAGCAATACTTCGTTGCTCCTTCCTGAAGCTCTGGTGAAACTGACGCCATCGAGGGTACCAGAACTTAGTACAATCAGTCTCGTTCATCGATCTCTACTTCCCTACTTGTTTCTCGCTGTTCTCCCTTGCCGAGCTTAATTCGACTCCGTGTCCATCTCCACCGCTCCCCTTCATTCTCCATCAATCTTCTCTCCATCATCCCACCTGGACCTGGATCTCTCTGCTTTATCAATCGCCCGCGTCTATTCTCCTCCAGACACTTTGCGCCAGGTACCTCTCCCTCACTTTGATCGATCCCCACAGAGATCCCCACATCCTTTCGACGCAAGTTCCATCAATAGATCTCTCTCGACGAACCCGTTTCTCGTCAGTTATCCTTTCGTCCATAGCCATCCTTGCCACACCAAATAGCTACGAGAACAGAAATAGAAAAAGACTCCGGCAACACACAACCTCATTCCATGATACACTACGCAGCTCCAGATCCTGTTCAACACGCCGCTTTCAAGATCGACGCAACCTGTACCAACAGCGCTAGGCCCGATCCACCTCCCAAAACCGACCCACACGCTTCCAACGAGGGAATGGTAAATCGCCAATAGCTTTACCTGTAATAGCTTTGCCCCATTGTTGAGCAAAGAGGTAACCCACAACCAGCTGCCAGTTGGGCCTAGAACCGAAACTCAGAACTCAGACCCAGAGCAAGAGCGAAGAGTCGAAGCTAGAATCTTGAGCCAGGGCCCGATTTGCCAATCTCCAGTCTCACACCACCTCTCTCCTTTCTGCTGTTTGCTTCCAGCCGTGTTCTGGTTCATTGCCCAATCTTAGACCTGGTTACTCCCCTATTCCGTCGCCTTGCCCTTTGTTTCTCTCTTTTTTCTTTTCTTTTTTTTCCCCTCCGTTTTCTTTTCGTTTTCGTTTTCCTTTTTTTTTTTTTTTTTTTCCTCCCAATAAAAACATCGTAATGTCCTCACCCGCATCCTCATCGACCCACTCGGGCAAGCGAAAGCGACCCTCAACCACCGACCCCAACTTCGACATGATGGATCCCGCCCTGCAGCCGTCGTCGCGCGATGCCTCCGGCGAGGAGGGTGACACCACCGCCCCCGAGTCCGGCAAGCTCCAGAACCGGAAGCAGCTCGACAACGCCACCTCGTCGTCCCTGTCGGCCCACCCGCCCAAGAGGCAGCGGGCCAGCTCGGACCGCGCCAGCGCCATTGCCGAAGCCAGGAGCCAATCCGCCGCCGACCCGGGCGAGCCCAGCGACACCACCGAAGCGAGTGTTGATATTGCTGAGAGGGTCGGCCGTAGGGGTAGGAAGCCCTCGCTGATCACCAAGGAGAATGAGAACGGCACCGAGAAGCGCGCGATGCCCCCGCCCCCTATTGGAACCTTGTCTGATCCCGCGGGATACAAGACGAATCCTCCACCGGTTGGAAGGCCGGTTAGGGTATATGCGGATGGTGTCTTTGATCTGTTCCATCTAGGGTGAGTGGTCCCCTTTTCCTTTGCCTCCCTCTTGAGCTATTTTCGACGCGTTCGTCGGCTTCTCTTGCTAACACCATTGGCTCCACCTCCGCAGACACATGCGACAGCTCGAACAGGCAAAGAAGGCCTTTCCCGACGTTTACCTGATTGTTGGCGTCACCGGCGACGAAGACACACACAAGCGCAAGGGTTTGACGGTCCTGTCTGGCGCCGAACGCGCCGAGACGGTACGCCACTGCAAGTGGGTCGACGAGGTTGTCGAGAACTGCCCCTGGATCGTCACCCCCGAATTCCTCGACGAGCACAAGATTGACTACGTTGCGCATGATGATATCCCCTACGTCGCCGATGAAGGCGACGATATTTACCAACCGATCAAGGAGGCTGGAAAGTTCCTTGCTACGCAGCGTACCGAGGGTGTGAGCACCACTGGTATCATTACCAGGTGAGTACTTGCATCTTGGATCTCTCACCCCCTCTCTCTACACTCCTTTATACTCTTCACACCCTTTCCCTCCCTTGTCCTCTACCGCCATAAGCTGACAGAGCTCACTTCTACAGAATCGTCCGCGACTATGAAAAATACCTCGCCCGGCAGTTCAGGCGCGGCGCCTCTCGTCAGGAACTAAACGTCAGCTGGCTCAAGAAGAACGAAATGGATCTCAAGCGCCACGTCCAGGACCTGCGCGATAATATCCGCACCAACTGGTCCACCACCGGTCAGGAGCTCAGCCGCGAGCTTCGCCAGTTCTGGCCCGCGAGCCGACCCCAGAGCCCTGCCCGCCACGCCTACATATCCAACGGCGAAACGTTGTCTCCCGTGTCCGCGCTGAGGTCGCCTGGCCAACCCGGCGGACAGGGCAGTATGAACGACTTTGTGGCCGGGTATGCTGTGGGGCTTATCGGTGGTGTGCGATCATGGGTATGTCCCTCCGACACCTGCTATATGATTACATGATTCTTGAGATTGGGGTTTACTGACTTGGGCGCAGATGACGAGGAGCCGCAATCGGGACATGGATAGTCGACCTGTCAGCGACGACGACTCCGAGGAGAGCGGTTCTGACAAGGTACAGGTGCAGAGGCCTGTGTCGTCGAAGATTTAGACTGCTTACTTTTACGTTTTTCTCATTGCTTACGGAAACTTTTGGGACCCGGTAATTTCTTCTTCCTATGTTTAAAATTGCTCTGCCTTTCTTTTTCGTCCGCCCCCTTATCCCTTGTCTCTTATATTTTGCTTTCCGCTGGTGTAATTATAATTTTCTTGTCTCTTCTACACTTTGAAAAAGGGGGTATTGGTAAAAAGCTTTCTTGAAAGAGGACGAAAGGTATATTTTTTCTACTTTTATTATTATTATTTTTTTTTCTTTTCTTTCCTTCTCTTTTCCTTCTCTTGCATGAAACATCAAAAGGGGCGCTGAAATCAAGAAAAAAGGCGGATCGGATTGGTTATCAGAACAGAAAGAAAAACACAGTTGTAAGAGGGGGAATGAAGAAGAAGGGGAAAAAAGGATGGGACTCGTTTGTTCTTTTTTGAACGCTTCGTTTCTTGGGTGGGATCTTTGGCGGAATGGCACAGGAAGATGGGAGATGATGGGAGGAATTGCTAGGGATTGTGCGGCTTTTTTTAGACTTGTTTCTTTAAGATATTCTTTTTAAGCTATGTCTTTTCTCTTCTTCTTCTTCTTGGGTATTCAGATTCGTGAGGCGTGAGATTCGAGGAAGGAAGGGAGAGGTAGGTTTTGGAAGTTGGGAGGTGATGTGGGGGGATGTGTGATGGATTCGATGTGCCAGTTCGGTTCGGAGTTGACGAGGAAGAGAAGGGAGAGGAGCAAGAGGGAACGGGAATAGAGGCAGGAGGGGAGGGAGGCCCGGTGCGAACCTAGCTTGAGGATAGCCTGGCCCCCCTGCCTGAGGGATTCGAGGACACCGGGATTAAGCGCTTGGGCGGGTGGTCGAGATGCGCGTGTGTATGGTTTGCGGGATGAAGAGTGTTGACTGGTTCATGGTTCGCCTTTTGGAAACTCGGCTGGGGCCGAGCGCCCCTGGAGAATGTGAAGGGTGCGTTGAATGCAGGATGGGCTGAGAAAGTGCTTTGCAGGGTTGGTTTCGGGGGGACGTGTGAGGAAGGCATATGGGGGCGGAGGATGAGTGGTCTCGAGGTAGGTTAGGCTGAGGCTGGGGGTGTATCGCGAGACGAAGAACTTTTTGCATGACTTGGGGGGTGTGTGCAGGTGTAGTATCGTAGACAGGCCCGAGCCTGGTCTGCGAGGGTCTCAAGAGGTGGGTGGAGACGCGCTGATGGGGGTTTGAAGAGATGCACGAAGGATTGGAGGTTGGCTAGATCTTGATGATGATCCTACCCTCGGAGCTGAACCCTGAGGATCTAGGAGTCTACCCGGACAGGTGCTATAGGGGGCGGAAACATGAAGGCGAGGGGGCCGTTACACATAAGATTGACATAGATGGTCTGTCCTTCCTGCGCAGCTCACACGATGCCCTCCACATCCTTGGCTACGGATTTAACCTCTTGATCCGGGGCGGAAGAGGTATATGGTTAGCCGCGGGGGGCTGTTTCTTCTACAGCTGCTGGGGGCCGAAGGATGAAGGCTTGAAGGCGATACTACCATCAATTACATGGATAATGGGGCCGGTTTAAGGCCTCATTCGTCTTCGCCCAACACGACGAATGCGAGAGATCACATCTTCAGGAAATTGACAGCTGGGTTGGTTCGCATTGGATCTGGACATTGGCTAGCTGGGGGCAAAGATCGAGACAACACACCCTATATTCGGGGCCGAAAGAAGCGGTATCTTCTTCGTCTAGTTCCGCATGTCATAGTTTGACGTCTTTGCCCCCTCCCCCACCAACAACCATCGCGACTATTCCAAATATCTGGCCTTTGTGCTCATATGAAGTCATCCTCGGGTTGATTATCTATCTCTGACTGATGCTGACTGGGGGGTCCGGCGGTTCTCTCACACAAGGATATGCGTCCGGGAGGCAGTAGCATGATGGTCAAAATAGAAGCAAGTCCCGTAGAGCTACATGGGAAAGAGTCCTGTCCAAAGGATGGTTCATGAAGATCCACTGACGAGCCTCTCTGCCGGAGGCAGCCTAGACCAAAAATAGAAAAATAATACCCCCCAAAATGTAATTCAGACGAGAGAAAACTTACTCGAAGGAAATAGGAGCACTTTCGTTTGGGAGAGGGTGTTTTCTTCGCTTCTGTGATGCAAAAAGTCCAACCATCTCGGAGATGCCGGGGCGGACCCGGAGCTTCCCGTCGTTAGCCCGGAAGGTTTGTCCTCCGAAGCGGAACTGACAGACTCCGGACGTCAGCCTTACAGTTCCCCACTAGACAGAAAAATCAAAGCAAGTTTATGAAGACATAAAGTTGTGTCTATTCTAGAAGAGGCTTATAGGTCCGGTTTCTATTTGCAAACGCCGAGACTACACCGTCCAGCGTCTACTGGCGCCGAAGGGGGGGATCAGCAAAGTAGGCAGACTAGAGGTGGAGCGGGTAGGAGGATCCCGTCTTTCCCGCGAGGCGTGGTGGAGGATCCATGCCGTGTTACGGCGGATAGGGCGAAAAAGGAAAAAAGAGAGCTGAACATAGTGAGTTCGGACAACCTCTACTAGCCTCATCCTCAGCTCGTTTTTCTAATAGTGCATGCTATAAGGGTATAAGGGATCTTTTTTAGGCCTGATGTGAGAAAAGTGTGGCTTGGTGGCCGGAAGGCTCACGATCCGAGCTAAATTTTGCTTCAAACTTTAGCGCGGGGGGGGAGCAGCAAGGCTCGATTGGAGAAGCGAAAGAAAAGGGAAAAAGGGAAATCTGAAACAAGGCCTGCGTTTACGGAGTAGGATCAAGTCTTTAAACGAGATGACGTGCAGCGAAAAAAAAGTACAAACACGAGGGCAGTGAAAGGGGGAAGACAGGATCATCTCTAACAAGAAAACACCCATGGGGTCATCCGATGATTTTGCTCCTCCGCCTCCCCGCTCCGCGCTCCTTCCGTAGATACCTTGTCTATGCGGGAGATCGTCATTACATTGCATGTTAAGCGCGGAAGGAGGCCATGCCATCTCGTATCAAGGACGAATGGAACAAGAGAAGAGAAAAAGAAAAGGGTGTCCGGCGTTCCCGGAATTAGACACATTCGGGCGCTTAGTCCCATGTCCGCTCTTCTTTCCTTCCTTCTGCCTCTTTTTTCCCTGGAGAGAGGACAGGTATTGGTTGAATCGGTCACACAAAGCTCGCTTGCATGGGGAAAAGGAAGAGGGCTGTGTCTGGCGTCTGCATCTTCGTATCTGCGCCTTTTCGCAGACAGAGTCCCGTCAGTGGTGGAGATAGACGCGAGAGGAGTGGCGGGGACCCGGGGAGGGGGGGAGCAGACTGCCGGCCGGAAGGGAGCAGGTCCGTCCGGGGCAGTGGAGTGGGCTGCGCCACCCGAGCCTTCGGTTTGGAGGGTGTCATTGATCTGCCAGGCTGGTTGCCATGCTCAGGTACCCGGGAAGAACGCTGTGGCGCAGCCTCGGCGGACACTAACAGTGGCTCGGTGTTTCTTTTTCTCAGAGTGTTGGTGTGTGAGAGACAAAAGAGAGAGAGTGTGTGTGTGCTTGAAACGCAGGCCTGCGTGCTGCAAGGGCAGAAGGCGTTCTGGTTTTTGCACCGCCACAATTGTCATGCTTCTGGAAAAGAAAGCATAGAGCATTCGAGATACACACGTTCCTGTCCCAACACTGGGTTGCCCTGCAGATTGGGGACATATACGACGTCGTGCACATGATGTAGTGCGAGGATCCTGACGTGAGAGGAACACATTTACGCCTCGATCTGGCTTAGGGTGAGAGGCGAATACCGCTGCACACTTCGTTCTACCCAAGTCGATGTCTGCCATCAGGCTGTTTTGATGCCATCTCCATGGCACAGCCCCGCCATCGGGCCGGTGAGATCTTGAGTTAGGCCTTGAGAAAAGTCCGGCGCTGTCTGTTATTGGTGAACTTTTTCGTTTCAACTGCACTGCCTATAACTTGAAACAAAAAACAAAGGGAGAAAAGAATGGGTATCGAGATTTATCGTTGGAAAAGTGCCGCCGAGGGAATGCCATTCCCTGCTCATACATACATATTTCATACAGGTACGATGTTGCAGCCTCTCGTATGGGTTTGCAGATGGGGCAATATTTCAGAAGATTGGGGGCCTTTTCTCGGAAGATGAAACACTTCAAAGTCCTAGGAAGCCATCATTGATCAATCGAAGTCCTATGAAGAAAGATTCTCAATGATCCTAGCGTAAACTGCTGAGGGGGCGGGCGGAGGAGACGATGCCGTCTTCACTGGTCCTGGGGGCCATGCACTGTGATCCTGGCACGCTGATACGATGATGTTAGTGGGACGGGATTAGTAGGTTTCAGTGGGCCAACAGCAGGCGTGCCTCGACCCAACAAAATTCAGTGCTGGAGCACCACTGAATATGGGGTTCTATGTTGCAGTTACAGTGGATTCGCTTAGCGAACTGGCCCCCAAAGAAGTCGCTAAACCTGCCAGATCATAGCAAGGAACTGCCAGCGTCGCAGCGCTGAACTTATGTAAGCCCACAAATACAAAGCACGAAGCTAGGAGATTGGAAACTAATATCGCGTCGATATCCCACCATGGGTCTATTTTGATAACCAGAGAGACCGGCCGGCAGCATGTTAACGGTTCCGCGGACACCTACATTACATTAGGGCTCGCATTGATAGTTGATCGGTCAGTGAATTGATGATGATGTCTCGTCTTGGCGCACCGTAGCGTCCCTGCAACTGCACCTAATATTTGCAGTAGCCTGGTCCACTCTGCGGTGTACTTAGTGTAGTTAGTGGATGGGCGGGAGACATTGGAGTGTCTCCCTCAAGGCTTACGGTATGGTGGGTGGAGTGTAGTCTGATCCTGACCCCACTGTGCCTTTTGGAGTTCAGAAAGTGGAAAGTCATGGCCAGGCGTCCATGGTTCTTGGGGACATGTAATTCCCATTTCTGAAACACGACTTACATCGAGTTTATTCCCACGAAATCTTCGATGTCAATTCTTTGTGCGAATGGCCTGCCCGGCCCTGTG